TAAAAGATGCATCTTCTAAATATATTCTATTCACATTTAACATCAACACGTTTCAATAATAAAATAAAAGTAGACAAATGCATTAGACAAAAGCCATTGTATTTTTGTAGGGACTTAAAATTTTATTTTTACTATCCAGCAAGAATCTTTAATTTCAAAGGCGTTTAATGAACGAATATTCATTCGTCTTCCATTCGAACGGTTCGTCGTTGTTAACTTCGGTTGAGGAACTATTGATTTCGAAAAGTATTATCCTCAGAAGGAGAATTTCCGTTTTCTTTCTATTGCATAATTAACGAAAGGGGTCGAAGAATAGCATTAGAAGGAATGATTCGCGAAATTTATAGTGGCGCATTTGAGTAATTGTTTCCGGAAAATGAAAATGTAACGAAACGACAAAAGTGCCCTGCTCTGATTATTTTATTCGTATCTCGGTTATTATAAAAAAGTACAGAAGCGAAAGGAAACGTTTTCTTTTATTTGGTCTTTATCTTGGCATAACAATTTCTGCTGACAAGCCAATTTAAAAATGTCCAATGCAATGATTGATCAATCAGTCAATTATGTTATACAATTTCCACTTTGCTTCCTATACTTTAAAAAGGGGGATTTTATCTTGACCCTTTGAATATTTCACAGAGTATTCCTTCGGTAATTTAAAAATTTTCAATTTATAATCCCGGACAAAATAGAGGAAAAGAGAATTTAATGACTTGGAAAATAATTGGTTCGCAAAACCTTTAACAGTCACGGAATATTAGGAAGTTAATTAAGGCATTAATTCAACTGCAATTGAACTTTTCATATTAAAAATTTAGTAGATAGGCATGGGAGATTAAGTAAAAAATATGAAGATAACGATTAATTATGCCGCATTATTTCTAGGACATTTAAGTTATATGTTACACATACTTTATGTTATTTATATTCTACAAGAGATAAACGTATTTCCACATTTGAATAAAACAACATATTATCATCGCATACAGCATTAAAGTATAATAATAATAGGTTTGTTTCAAGAAAAGTATTGAACTGTTCTGAACTTTTGAGATGACTTTACGCAAACGCGGTAAATTTCTGATAGATTATGGATTATTTTTGCTTGGAACTAACCCTATACGAGTGCCTATACGTAAAAAAAGTTTTAAATTATTTATGTATAAGATTCGTATTTAATTTATGGCGGAAGTCCATCGGATATTCTATATACGGCTTAAGAAATAGCCACTTAAAAATTTATAAACAATCCTCGATGCACAATTTATACAACATCACTATCAATTTGTTGCTGCTTTAAATGCGTAAACCATCACTTGGTATCAATTGATTGAGGAGCGTGAAAATTTATTATAAAAAGTCGCCGACTGCCGACTGGATGGCGCGGCGGCACCATGGCGTTAAATTTAAATTATTTATTACAAAATTTCTTCTTGAGCCAATTTTAATGCGTGCCGGAAGCGATCGTATTGTGCAGTAGCGTATCGAGAAATTAGAGTGATGGATTTTACTCGTTACACAATATCCCTATTTAATAGTTATTGAAGAGTTTTCGGCCCACACGAATTCCTCGAATACCCATAAAAAATAACAGAAGAGTAAAAATACCTAAAGCGGGAGGAATTATTGATGAAAAATACATTATTAAATTTAAACACAATTGGGAGATGAATCGTAGAGTCGAGTAAAAAATAAACGTGATGTGATACTCTGCACAAATAAACAATAATTACATCATATCGAAATTCGTTTTCTACTAATAAATATTATCGAATACCTCACTATTGAACAATGTTTGTAATTCATACTAGCTAATTATAGGTACGATGAATTTATGTGCTTATACAAAACTTAAAATTTAATCATGTGAACTTTTGCATTACTCTCAATATTGTAATTTGTTTATCACTAATATCACTATAATATTTTCAAGATATTACCTAAAGTATACCTAATATTTCAGGCTAACAAAAATTGCTCACGTAGACTTAACAAATAAAATAAATAAACTCGTCTCTTTATAGGAATCCTCCAGCGTGACTTCTTTAAAAATCCTATTAAATTCACCGCTAGGAGTGTTTTTAAGTATTTTTTCAAAAATTTGTATAGGTCCCGCCGCTGCGCAAACGACGTTACTGTAATGGAATAACGGTCTTGATATTTTTCAAAAGATTATTGTGCCGTATTTGGAATGAATACGTCGGTCTTTTATTCCAGTTTTGGAGAAGTCGTGCCACGATGCATGCGGAGAATAATAGAAGATTCGTATGTATGTATATGATAATTGTTATTGTTAAATATTACGAAGCGGTCAGTGTACAATAGATACTGGAAATCATGGCAATCCGAAGCGGTTTTATTCCCATGCCAAATCGAACCGGTACAATATAATAATTGTAGCACAAAAAAGTATTTCCTATAAATCTATTTTAAAACTATTCGTCAAAAGGAAAAGCACACTTAACAACGCGCATATTTTTATATCGCAGTAAATCTGGAAACTATAAAACTATGATTATGAATGAATCACGAGTTGTAGGAAAACTCAAGTTCGCACTGACGTATACAGTCCGAAAATATTTTCAGGAATGATTTTCATTCAGATTTCCCAGTAAAATAAACTTCGCACTAAAATTAACTTTTCGTAAATAAAATCAAAACGCTTTGTTTATTTGTGAAATACTTTCATATCATTTCACGAATCCCGAACGCGACGAAATTCGTGCGCGAAAATATACAAAAATCTATTTAAAGATCAGCGAAGAAATTCTGCCAAAAATGCTCGGAAACAGGAAATATGCAATTAATGTCAATAAGATTAAAAAGTGCACCTAAACCTTCGATTCTCGATATTTTCCACATTCCACCATAACTAGCATATAGCATTTAAATCTCCATACATACGAGTATTATTATACCTAGTTAATAATTAGAATAACAATTAAAAACATTCTAAATAGCACACTCTGTTCGCCTTGTAATCTCATCGACAGCAAAAAATCTTATAGCAAAACCGTATTCATAACTTTCATAAATCGATAATTATCAGCAGGAAATATTAAAAATTAAACACTAACTGCAGCGAGGAATGATAAATGTTGAATTGCAGTGGAACATTCGAACCATAAACTTCGCTAATGAAAGCGATTACTTTGTGTAGAAGGGAATAGAAACAAGCGCTTTTAAAGATATTGGTTTTTTTTTTGGTGCAAAGTAATTTCGGGATAGGGAGGAATTACTATGCGGGTATATTACGAAATTTGAATCGGCGTTGAAGGAAGTATTTTGTGTTCTACACGGATCAATTTAATCCAATTTATATCACTTCGAGTTCCGTGTACTTATATTGTCTGCACCGGTAAATCTAGTTTATGAGAGACGAGAGTGCCTTAATAAAGCGGGATGTAATTTAATTAATAAGCATGTGCAGCAACCAAATTTCTAGATTAAATTTATACTAAAATAAATTCGGTATAATTATACATGATATGCAGAAGTACACAGGAATTAAACTCTAGTTATGAACTAACTAACTGCTCGTGCAATAATAAACTAAAATAATTAAAGAAATTATACAGTTAGCAACCAAAAACACTGAAAATTTGTTTATTTAACGGTATAAAATCACAAAGTAAACTTAAAAATATTTTGTTTAAACAGTTAAGCAAATTACACATTTTTAATTATTCCTTTGTTAAAAAAACATGTATTTAAGTTTTGACTTGTTTAAGATATAAGTTTACATGTATACGAGTAACCTGCTAACTAAAAAGGCTCTACAAATTCACCAAGTCTAAACAAACTTTCCTGAAAGTTCCCCATTACAACACACTAATTAATAAAACGGGACATAAATTAAAAAGTTTTGTATCGCTTCAGTCGGAATTTCGTACAGAAACGACATTTCAACCCGAACGAGTTGTATAGGAAATATACGACAGAACTTCGTGAGCAAATGCAATAATAGAGCTCTTAGGAAATATAGACATTCTTTAACGTGATATGAAATCAATATTGACTGTATGGTTCTTGACCCCGTTTATTTGATATCCAGCACATAAAACTGATAAAACATTTGATTCCTTTCCGAATTTCACGGACGTAAACTACCTTGGGCACAAGAATTTTATATCGTCCCTGTTTTTATTTTTATCCGGAACTGAATTTCGAGAGAATGTTAAAAAATGTATGAGTAGGGCTTGATAAAACTTCATCAAACATTAACAGGAGAATTTCCTGCGTATACATCGTATAAAAAACTTCGTAATCCATAATTAGACGTTAATTAAAAATCCTTATTGATAGGACGAAGGAATGAAGGAAGAATAGAATTAGGGTTACAAACAACTTAAATTTGATACGATCATCATTATAACATAACCGACCACAACACGAATAAAAATAAATAGAATATCAATATCAAAATAAACGAGCCCATAAAAAATTAACGACTCGTCAAATAAACAAGATTTATGAACGCAAATGTAATTTTCGAATTTTCCACAGTAAATTTCCTTTTTCGAACTGCACGCAATATTGAATATTTAATGCCGTCATTCGGGTCCGGATACGCCGGCTGAATTTCATGCGGAAAATTCGGATAATTCGAAATTGTCCGCGTTTGGAACCTAGGTATGCGAAAGTTGGGAGTTATGCATATTTTACCATCTTTTTGAGTAAATATTTCGGCCGCAAACCGCCCGCCTCCTTTCGCAATAATAAACGTTTGTATTGAATAAAATAAAACGGATCATTTTCGATTTTCCGCGCAAAAAATTAAACACTCCCGGTTTTCCGGGAACAAAAGTGCGTGTTCAACAAAAAATGCGAAATAATAAATTCAATTAAGCAATCTTTCCATCAGTTCATTAGCGACACAATTCACTTCCAACGTGGCCGGATTCGGCGCGAATTTATCGGACAGCCGATATGGAAACGGTCGAATGGAAAAGTTTCTCGTTAATTGGCGTAAATTTTAGAAATTTAATTAAAAAACTCACCCCTGTTAGGGTATCCAGCTCTCCCAGCCATTCATTCAACAGTTGTTCCGGGTCCTCGGCATCCGAATCTATGTCGCCTCCTTCTGTGTTCTCGCAGAATTTATTCATCTGGAATGGAACGAAATTAATAGCTACGTTTTCGAAAAATAAAATCAGATCGGTGAAAAACGCCGTTTGCTTTAACCACGCGAAAGCATGTTAATCGTCACTAATTAAATGCAATTTCATTTTTTGTTATTGGTTCAGCTTCATCAGCCGTCTTTTATGAATTTCTTGATGCGATCAAAAACCTGCTGGAAAAGTGGTAAGTAACTGGTTGGTGTAATTGAAAATTATCATCTTACATTCAGCACACAAGTCGATTAATAATTAATTAGTAATCGATTACTTGCGAGTGAATTCAAAACAACACATGATGTATAATTAGGTAAACAGGTATAGGCAAAGTAAAAAAGCCAAAAATGAAGTTAGAGGGAGGACTTTAGATTTCTCAATAATTTTCACATATTATAAATACATCATTAATAATATGTATTCAAGGTACCTAAATTCATCAAAAAGGTAATATGTTAAATCAGATTAAAATAACCCACACCGACATCAATTAAGCTAATTACATTCATAAACATATCACGATCCTCGAGTGAGGAATCAAGGACATCCGTATCGTATTAATGTAGTTCGTTGGCATTCCTGTTAATTTGCGCCAGAACTTTTATCAGTTTAAATTAGAATTACTTCGGTTTGCACAAACCATTCAAATATTTTACGCTAAGTATCGCGATAAAGTAATCAGCAAACGTTAGTTGGCATTTTACTGGCGTGTCGATTGTTATGTAAAATATAAAGTAATTATTGTCCCGGTCTAAGAAAAAAGTCGCGATGTTGCGATAGCTGTTCCGTACCAAGTTTAACCACGTATTAAACAGCACGGAATGGCCGGGTAGGTACTTCAAGTAAATAAGTACATATCTAAAATAAATAGAGGTTTTATGTATTTTTGCTCAGTAAATATGTTTTTTATTGGCTATTCACAACTAAAATTTATTTTTAAATACATATGTAGGTATGCCTGTTTATGGGTTGTTTTCAACAAATAATTTTAAACCGCCCTCCAATAAAGATTTGGGTTGCGTGACACTGTGGATAAGACTTTTTCTACGTTAACTTCTAACTTATACATAATTGAGAGGAGAGACTTCTGCGTCAATAGCACTTACAAAGCCTAGTTGTCTTGTCACGTCTGAGAAATGTGCTTTCAACATCTGCGGTATCTCCTATTTTACAACTATACTTTTTATATTGGGATATTTATTGACCATGCACTTCTTTGAACGACAGGTAAATACTTGTGAAAGGTTATTTTTGCAACATGTTCTCCCACATCTTCAACCTAATTAGAAAATTTATGAAATCGCCTTATTCGAATAGACTGGAAATATAAATGGTTGAGAAGAAATTCTAATGATCAGGCCAACTGGATTTGACTGCACTGTTAACCTGGATTTTTCCTATATTGTGCAGGAGCAGACGGGAAAATTAAACGGGCTTGATGGGAAGAAAAAACCGTGGATAATTGAAAAATTCCTCGCTTTTTACTTTTTACGGTCTTCGCGCAATTCAGACGTATCCGGGTCAGTTTTCATAATACATCGCGCCGATTGCAGCGCTCTATAGAAAAACACCATCTTCGCTTTATTAAAATTTCGCCAAAGAAAAATAAACAACACAAGCCTCAAAAGCGCAACTCATCATTCAGGAACACACCTACATGCAACAATTACTAATCAAACAATAATCCCATTTACTCGGAATATATTTAAAAATATATTACCATCCTAACCTGAAGAGCTTATGGGCCACATTCGACACCGAAACCTCGACTCCGACGTCGCCGTGTCCCGAGACAATAGAAACAAGCGCGTAATCTCAATAAAATATGTGATTTACTCGCGCCACACTATCGGCTATTTAAATTTGAAAAATATAGAAAATAAACAAAAGGAGTCGAAGCGAGAGCGACGATCCATTCATAAAGCCGGCGCGCCCACGCGTCGCGGCGTCGTAGGCCGAAAAAATAGTGGAGTCGAGAGTAGGCTGCGGTGGAAAGCGTGGGCAGACGAACGAAAGTATATGGTACCATCGGGAGTATTTTTCAAGAATATAGGTGGGTCCAGTTTCGTTGTGTGCACGACCATATGGTCAACTCTATAATACAAGCAATGTAATCGCCCGGAATGAATTGTTATTTTGAGATATAGGCACATTTGTATTCGATAAATATCCGTTTTCTAACGAATTCGTTTCATTAACTAGGTGAAGAATTTGGAGATATCATGGCGTGGGAAGATTGTTTGTATACATTTCATTTCCGAATTTTTTACTATATTTTATAAGCTGCACAGAAGCCAACCCTGTACTTCACAAAGGGTACAAACAAAAGTTCAGGTTCAACAAAATTAATTCATTCTGAGAGAGTAAGTACTAGATAGCAGGACTTATCTTAAAGAGAATCAAAAGGATGCTATTTGATACATTTTAAAATCTCTCTTGGTAAATCTTATACTACTGGCTAAATGGATGACTCTTAAACACAATAGTATTAGATATTACGGAAGAATAATAAAATCTCCTAGCGTTATTTTTTTAATCAAAAAGCAATTTATAAAGGAAAGCAAGTTTACTAAAACCGATACACAACAGGAAGGAGAGAAACGATTCGCATGTGCTCTGCTTCCATGAAGCAGAATTGCTCGGTATTAAAGCTAGCCAGCGAAATGAAATATCGATTGGATGGGGCGAAGGTATGGTAGGTATTCAGCGAATAGACTTCACTCGATATTTCCTGATGATTTAAAAAGCACGTAAACTGGATGCAAACGCTGCCGGATGGCCGAGCACCGGTTATCTTATCACCGCCTCTGTTTGGCATGCAAATATAGGCATGTCAGTTTAGCACGTTTGTTTTTTGTCGAACGAATATTTCCCTTCACGGAATTGCCGTTTAGATATTCCCGTGATATTTTCGCAGAAGTATTTTGTTTATTTATAATGCCAATAATATCGGTTTTGTTCAAATATTACCCACGGATGTCAATGATTGATGTACGAGTTCATGAGTAAAATATAAGATGAATAAAAGAACAAATACACTTTCATTATACTAAAAGACACAGTATATTTTTACCATGTAATTGCTATTAAGAGAGATTATAGAGAATTAAGAGTTACTAATTTACCCAGAAGTAATATCAGGATAACTTTAATTGATTCCTTTCATGAAATATGATATATACTTAGAAAATGACTGTAATAATTATGGAAATAATTATTAAACATTTCTCTTGAAGGTCTCTGTAGTATTCGTGACATTTTTGGTCGATAACCTTACAAACAACTGATGGATTAAGAAAATCGTGAATCATTCATTTTGTAAAAATATTATCCTTTATTAATGAAATATTTTTAAGGATGATTAATCTGGCTAAATTTATGGAACAATATATTTTTCAACGTCTTATCATTCTACCTACTTATTTTTGTATTGCTGTAATATTGCAGGTTAATTACAGGTAATATTACCTACGTCAACAGAAGAGGAATAATCTGCACAAATCAAAGAGATTTATACAGCCTTCATACATAAATATTTCTTAAATTATTTTTAATGATTAACAATTTTAGTTCTGCATTAATGTTTATAAATTGGATGGATATCATTTCCTTGTAATAATGTTTTGGAATAAATTGACCTTACAAATCCTCTAAATGCAGCTGTTCATTTTATATTTGTTTTTAATAAACATAGAAAAATTGAATATCTTGTTATGAATAATGTTGTTTGTTTTGGACTTTGGGTAGATTAATTAATTTTTATTTGATAGGTATAATTATTACTGTCGTACCTTCCTATCAGAAATTACAAAGCAGTAATGACATGACATACTACATTTTTTGATGAAAAGAACGAATAAAATCAATTGCAACAGACATGAGGCAAGTTAAAGTTTTAATGAATATGTTACTTAATTGTACATTAGGCAATGCTTAATTTATACAAAAAAATGACAGTAACGCTTTTTATCATACAACAAAAGCAAGCTAAAATTAACTGTACTATTACAACATCAATTCAATAAATTTAGGTAGGTACTATGCACTGAATAAAAAGGTCATATTTATCCTGTCATTAGGTACTTGCTATACACTCTTGTATACACAAATAAGTATCTAACTCTCGATGCGTGTCTCGTAGATTCGAGATCGATGCAATAAATAATCAAAATAGAAGTGAAATCTATTATACAATATATTAGCTAAAATGATTTTGAATAAATTAGTTTATATGTAGATACTTATTATCAGATTTTGCGCATATGATACAATGTATGTAATATTAGAGTTTACACGTGAAAATAATTTTTGAATCAATTTTATCTATAATAGACTATAGACCTGCATTATCAATTCATAACAAAGGAATAATTTTATCATGATACGCACTATTTTACAGCATTAGAAAATTAGCGAGACCTAAAAATAGGTAATTAGAATTAACGAATAGATTCGTGACAATTGACAATGCATTTCTATATCTATTGTTTAAAATTAACCATATCAGATGACCACGTAATCGTCAATTAAAACAAATCCCGACCGTGAACAAACTGTTTCTAATTCACACAATTGAATTGAATTATGTACGTCCACAAAACATTGCAATAAATTCCAAACCTAGTACCCGCAAGTGACATCACGAGAATTTATTTTCACGTATACCGACCGATCTTCAAAACCGATACGAACGTATTCTACAAATCGAAACTGGACGACCATATTAAAACTAATTTTTCTATTTTCCTTTAGATAATTATCTTCATTGTTCGGGATTCGTGTCATTGCTCGCCGGTTTCCATATAGGTATTTACCTGAGCCCGTGAGATAGATGCGTTTAACAACTTCTGCATACTAATGCACTCACTATGCATCGTTCTTTTGAGAAGGCGCTCCGCTCTTTTTGGCTTTACCATGACATTCTACCGATTTTTAATGCGATAGCGACCCGAACGAGTAGTACAAGATGGCATCTACCTCAAAAACAGGGTGTACACTCTTCTTCCTAGCGTGTACAATGTTCTACACGTAGAAAAATAGGAATAGCTTAATAAAAGCCAAGTTTTGTAATACTTAAGTATTTGGTTCAAACCAAGATCTCTATTTAATATGGTACTATAATAGATCAAAAGAGACCTATATATAAATGAAAATATAAGGTAATGAAATGCATAATAATAATAATAACAGAATTAATGTTGTAGAAGGAAGTGAGATGAAATATGCAGATGTAAATAGAAATAATATAAAAATTTGATGAGCGAAAAATTGGCATATAGAACAAAAGAGGAAATGCTCTTGGCGAATAACCCTCTGAAATGAGTGTGCTTCGAGCAATGGGAAATGTGTGTACTTCAAAGAAATGTAGAAACCTCTGCGACAAAGCGGATTAAATAAAGTGCAAAGAGGAATAAATGAAAAATAATGCTTTTGAGTTTTGGAGGGCATAAAATATTTAAGGAGTTATCGATCAACGGTGACAAGAGAGCATATTTTAGGTGTTTTTTCGATTATTAAAAAGAAAAAATATTGTTTGTAGGGTAATTTTAAATCGATATGAATCTATTACTTCAAATGATTGAATGCCAAGTCGGTTTTTTGTATTTGTATGATTTATGGAAAACACATAATTCTTTAGAAAACAAATAATACGCAAAGTTCCTATTTTTCTACTTAAAATTAAATTCCATTTAAAAAATAGCAATGTTTTTACAAGTAACCAGAAAAATAAATATTAACATATATTACGTCTATTTTTTCAATAAAATTGAAAAAAACCTTGTTAACCATCCAATCTAATTTCAATAAATGTTAAATAATAAATTTTTCAACGCAATAATTTCGTCAACACCCTTGAAACCGTATATTATTGGATTACACAAGTCAAAGTTACAATACAAGAGCAAAGTGCAATAAATTTTTTACACTGATATCGCGTAATTTTTTCGCCGTAATATCAACTAGATACCAACAGCACAAAGAACAAACTATTCGCACATTATCCTTATCAAAAACTAACGATCGCAATATTAAAATATCACGTTCAACGTTCGCGAAAAGACAAACATACCTATGCGATAACATAACCTAAAAGTCCACAATCAAAATAAAAAAGTAAACAAACGAAGACATAACATGAAGGTAGTGTGATTACTTACCTTGATGAAGCTGTTCGATCCGTGCAGGGAATACATCATGAGGCGCTGGAAATTATCGCCCGAAAACTAAGAAAATGTACATCAAAAAAAATAAACAAAACTCAAGCAACTACCTATCACAAGATTGCACCCGAACTGAACCAAAACTGAACACCAAGCCAGCCAAAGGCCAAGCGGCATCGAGCACATGAGATAAACATTAGAGTGCATACTACTCGCGCAGCAGCGTTGCCATGTTTTCCGAAGTAACTGTCAACTCACGAAATATTGCCATTTATAACAGAATTGTAGAGTTGCTTTTAAAAAAAATATTTACTTTTACGCAGTAGTGATTATAAATAAGGCAAAATGAAGTAGTTAAACTCCAAAAATATGTGAAGTATTAATAATAAACCATTTAAAACTTCAAAAATTGCATAGGAGGATCTTTTGCTCGATTTGGCAACGTCGCTTTCAATCTGTTGAATCTTTGCGCGAACAAGATGTTCGATTAACGTTCAGTATAGCAGTGTTGCCGGCCAACGCGGTATTCTTTAGGTTAATGCATATTTCGCGCATACAATGCAATATCGATTTTCCTTGAAAATTCCCAAAAGTGCCCGAATAAATTTTTCATCAACAACGTCGAATTTTCGCGTTTGACTTGAAGCGTACTCTCGTAAAATTAAATTTAACGATGAGTTGTTATTTTGAGAAATATACCCAGCAGGAATAATAAATTTGTAAAATATAATTAATAAAATAATCATGAAATAAACTAAAAAAAAATAGTAGAAGTGGATGTATAAAATATGTTATTGAAAAAATTCCTAATTCTTCAGACGTTGTGGTACAAAAATAATCCTTGAATAAGATTAATAATTTAAGATAATGACCTTTTAATATTAACGGGAATACAGGTAGAGATACTCTAGCCACAATATCAATTACAAACAACTACATACAATAGTATTAACAAACCACCATTGCAAATACATTTATAGGTATTGTCCTTAATAATAGAAAAATTACTAAAGTTACGAATGATAAGCATAATTGACAGTTTTATTATAAATTACTATTTCCTTATAATTCATCCTTAAGCTCATTAGCAATTTCCTTGAGTGGATCATTCAACGATCTCCAAAACTCAGATCTCTCTGGAAAAACGCGAGTTGTCGTATCCAAAACAGAATTTCCGATGTGGAAATATTCTTCATTCTCCAACGTGAAAGGACTCCATTTATTGGGAATGAGGTCCGAAATTTCTGGAGTTGGATTTCTGGAAAATGAGCAGTTAGAATTTCACAGATTACAATGATGATTGCTGATCATTTCATACCCAGTTTTTGCGAAATTAGTCCATAGCGTGGTCATAACCCGATCCATTTTCTTATCACTTTCCGTGGATATTCCAGGGCCTATGGGAAAGAGATGTTGCAAGTCGTCCCAATGAATTACTCCTAAAATGTTTTAGTTTTAATAACTAAATATAATACGCATTATTTTAAGGTAGGTACAGATCAAATAGAGATATTTTCATACCTACAGCTTATTCTATAATATTTAATAAGTTACGTAAACTGCTGTGAACCTACCATAATCTTCATCCCTCTGCATAATTAATTTGGATGTGCTTGTCTTGGCTTTGTAGGAAAACATATAAAGATACACCGGTTGCTTGTAATATTTGGCTCTTAATCGTGAAAAATCCTCGGCACACTTGAAAAACCATCTATCGGTGAATAACTGTAGATAAATTAAATAGAAATAAACAAAAATTATTGTGGTTAGTAAATAAATAATTGGAAAATATAGGAATAAAAAATAGGAATACGTATCATAAACACTTACATCACCGATTTCTTTCAAGGAATTATTAATTGGTTTATTTGGGAAGTACATTTCCTTAATTTTGTTTGTAAGTGTCTTCGAATCCTTTTCATAATAATATAATAAAGACACTGGAGCGATTTCATCAAATTGTTCCGAGAATTCCTTTACCATCTTATCGTCGAATCCTGAAAATATTTAATCAACTTAATTGCATAAGACAGAAATGTGCAAATACAGAAAATTATTAAGGGGCTATAATATACAGAATTTACTTATGAATTAACGTGTAGGTAATTTGATTTAAAATGTTTGTTACCGGCTACTTTAAAACCACCATCATTCGAAGTGAATCCAAGAATAACAGGAACATCCATGGCTTCTCCAGATTTAATAATATCTATGGGTCTATCAGTAAGGAATGGATTTTTTGTTGATTTTGGTTCGATTACTGGTCTGAATGGTATCACTGGATCATAATCCCACACCTTTAACGAAAATGGTTTTAATATTAATTTTAATTAGAGAGGTTATATCTTACACATTCAAATTACAAACTAAGTACTTAACTCACCACGTAACTTTTAGCTTGTTCTATAATTTTTTGAAAGTCTACATTTTTAAGACAATCAACCATGTTTCTACTAGAATCAGTAGGACAATTAAAGTCCTTTGCTAATTTGTGTGTGTTTTTAATAGTTTGGTCATTCACACTTAATAGCCAAGGACACATGCTCGAGCCACTCTGACTAATTGATCTGGAAAATAATCCTAGAAGAAATATTAAAACTATTTGTAGATGGGTAATTGGCTTTACGAAATTTTTTCTGGCTTTACGAAATTTGGCTTTACCTCTGCTTAAAGGAGAAACTAGGTGAATATTGGTGCTACCCCCTCCAGCAGATTGCCCAAATATTGTTATTTGATCAGGATTTCCACCAAATTTCGCTATATTTTTCTTTACCCATTTCAAAGCCATGGTTTGGTCTTTAAATCCATTATTACCAGGAACAACATCATCACCTGTAGCCGCATATCCCAATGGCCCTAAAACAAAAAACCCATAATAAAATATTCACTTAAATCAAAGAAGATTCCATTATAAAGCATGATTTGTAGAAAAAAATATAAATGTATACTTACCTAATCTATAATTTATAGATACAAGGACAATATCTTTGTCTAACAATACATCTGGCCCATAATACTTTAAATTTCCACTGCCGCATAACAGAGCTCCACCATGTATCCAGAACATAACGGGTAAGAGACCATTTTCAAAATCCGATAACTTTAAATAAATAGAAAATTAATAATAAAAAATTAATTACTATAAAACTGCGTGTCTTATTTACCTTGGGAGTATAAACATTTAAATATAAACAATCTTCCTCTCCTTTAATTTCATTAAATGCGAAAATATCATTTTGAGGACATTCGGCGTGAACTCCTGTAGCATTTCTCTCTTCTACCCATGGATCATTCGGTACCGGAGCCTGATAGTATGTTCATAATCAATTTTATCTATTATTTTCAATATTTAAATATTATTATGTTACCTACTTCAAATCTTAGTTTTCCAACAGGAGGTTTAGCGTAAGGAATTTTCGTAAAACCACTAATTTTTCTATTATTCCTTGTGGTCATGAAAGCCCCATTCAGAATACCATCGCTTATTCGGACTTGAGGGTACTCAGCGTTGAAAACTGGAGTACTCAAGCATAAACAAATTAACACAGTCCACTTCATTTGAATTTTAAAGTACTATTGGTAAGTTAAAAGTGAATTAGTTTTAAGTTACTGTTACTAACAGATTAGGAAGGAAATAAAATTCTCAACACAAAAGCAGTGTTATAGTATACAGGGTGTCCTAAAGAAATAATTGGTTTTTTTGATAAAATAAATTAACAAATATCAAAAATACTTATGTCACTAAAACAATGTGTTTCTGCACAACTCTATATAATATAATACAAAACCTTGTATTAACTAATTATATGTAATCGTATAAGATGCATAATAATAATCTTGTTTTTTTGTCATACGAAATAAAGAATAAAGAATCGAATAATGAAAGGATCAGATAAATATAGGATAGAAAACAAGAAATTATACACATTTTAATTACAGGTAAAAATAAGTACCAGACGTTCTATTATTATATTGATTATTGAGTATGTTGAGTTTCGATCAAGTTTTAAAATTGCTTTTTTGTCCATGGAAAATTTATAAACTGCTTAAAAACTAGGAAAATAAGATAAAACTGAAGTACCCAAAATTAGCAAAATTTCTGCAGGTACATTAACATCAAAGAGTAACCATAATATAGCATTTTTTGTGATAAGAATAAAGCCACCATGTATAAGCAGATTATAATTATTAAATATATAACAATTATTTTTAGATCCTGATAAAAATTTTCGTAATTGGTATTGGAATTGTGTATAGTCGTTCTGACCTAATTCAATGTTATCACTGTAAATTGGTAAGTATAAATATAACAAACAATTAAATATGAAAAATCAGAAAAGAATTAACATTTCTACAAAATTAAATTGCACTCATATTATACTTTTCTTTCAGTGCATTTCTACAATTCATCCTTTTTATTATCATCGCTTTCAAGAAGTGGATTGTTTAGGAGGGCTCTCCAAAAATCAGCTCTTTGTTTAAAAATATGCCTCTTCGTTTCTGACACATTGTCAATTTGAAAATATTCCCCGTTTTCTAAAGTATAAGAACTCCATTTGTCATCAATTAACTCAAATTTATCCGGTGTAGGATTTCTAAAATACCATTCACATAGAAAAAATTATTAATATGATTATAATTACCCAAAATAAGCAAAATTGGTCCAGAGTGAAGTCATTATTAGAGACATTTCTTTATCTTTTTCTGTAGGTACAAAACCGAATGGAAATAAATACAGCATTTCATCTCCGTGAATAATTCCTAAAAATAAATCTCATTTTAAGGAAAAGAATCTGCCCATGGCTTTGACTATTCTATGTTTTTTGCATTCCATTAGGAAATTAAGCTCCAAAGCTTTCAAATAATTAATTATGCATGTAATAAATATTTCTAGTTCCTGATATGCATTTTTGTAATAAGATTTGGAATTTTCCGTACAATTTAATCGAAAAAAAATAAGATATTTTGATCCATAAAAAACTTGTTTTGACCCAATTCAATTTTACCTGTGTAATTTGCTAGTATGCACATAACAAGCTATTAAAATTAAAAACGAAGCAATTATAATACCTAGTTCTTTTACCTACCGAAGTTTTCATTGCTTCCAAATACTTTAGACAAACTGGAACCACCTCGGTATGAAAAAAGATAAAAGTACACAGGTTTCCTGTAATATTTAGTCCGTAATCGAGCAGTGGTTTCAAGACAATTCAAAAACCAACCGTCGGTGTATACCTACAAAAACACCAAGTACTTATTTTATTTATTTGAAAATTTTAGTTCACAACTAGCATGTAAAATTGGAAGAATACGAGTAAAAAATGCAGCAATCTAGAGATAAGCAAAGAAGGAGTATTTTCGTTGCAAAATGATGCTCAAAAGTCGTTAAGATAGCAAAATATTGCGTACTTACATCAGTAATCTCTTTTAAGGAATCTTGAATCTTTTTACCTTGGAAATAAAATTTCTTAATTTCGTCTGTAATCTTTTTATACTCTATTTCTGTCCTGCCATAAAATAAAGACACTGGAAGGATTTCGTCAATGTTTTCTGCAAATTCGTCCAAAAGATTTCCACCCTTGATTCCTTAGAAAATAGAAATAGTAGCAGGTATTAATTATTAAGCCGTAAATAAAAACGAAACTAATTTACACATCAAATAATTTCCGTTATGTAGTGTGCGAATTAGCCGATACATCATCATTACTCCCTGTTTTACCGAGATTTCCATCTGAATTATGAGAATTTTTAATACTTATTACCGACATGCATGCAACTGTAATGCCAATAAATGGTTTTCCATACACATTCGCGCCGTTTATTATTATTTACGAATAGGTACTTAAATTTTCTTTACCTGCCGTTTTAATAGCGCCGTCTTCTGAATTAAGTCCAATTATCATAGGAACATCCATACCTCCTCCAGATTTCATTATGTTTAAAGGATGGTCGGAAAGAAACGGATTTTTTGTGGTTTTTGGCTCGACCACTGGTTTGAATGGAATCATTGGATCAAAGTGCCAAAACTGAATAAGATAAATTATCGTTAATTTGGTGCAAAATTGTAAGTAGGTATATACTTTTTTGTCAACTGACCTCAAATATTTTATCTTGTTCTATTATTTTTCGAGCATCGATTTTCCTGAGACAATCTACCATGTCTTTACTGGAATCCGTCGGGCAATTGAGAGCTTTGGCTAATTTGTTGGTATTATTTATTGTTTCATTATTTTCGCTAAGCGTCCAACCACAAAGAGTTGTCCCGCTCTCGCTAATCGCTTGTTTAAACAAGCCTAAAAGGAATTAATTAAAAAAGTCCTTCACAAGTATCTTGTATATTATTTACCTTTACTTAAAGGAGAAATAATGTGAAAATCTACGCTTGTCGCACCAGCTGATTGGCCGAATATTGTTACTTGATCGGGATCGCCACCAAATTTTGCAATATTCTTTTTTACCCAATTCAAAGCCATTGCTTGATCTTTAAGACCGTTATTACCTGGAGCTATATCATCACCAGTAGCCAAAAATCCCAATGGACCTAAGGAAATACTTATGAAATGGACATTCAAATATTAACCGAAGATTCCAGAATCATATGGAGATTACATAGAAGATTTACTAAAAATATGGTTTACCTAATCTATAATTTGTGGATACTAAAACAATATCCTTGTCTAATAGGATAGCAGGATTATGCTGATTTATATTGCCACTACCACATAGCAAACCTCCACCATGGATCCAAAACATTACTGGTAAAAGACCATTTTCAAAACCTGATAACTACAATATGTTGTAATCGATTTAATAACAATATTATTTAGATGAAATTTGATCTATTACCTTCGGAGTATACACATTTAAATATAAACAATCTTCTTCTCCAGAAATCACTTCAGACCTTAGGTAAGTATTGCGTTGAGGACATTCTGCGTGAGCTCCTGTAGCATTTCTTTCTCCTGTCCAAGGATCATTTGGCCGAGGAGCCTGAAATACTCATCATAGGTTCTAACAAAGGGCTTCATAAGCCTATGACTTACTTTTTTCTATGAGCCTAAGGAATATTTACCTGAAATCTTAGGTTTCCAAGAGGTGGTTTGGCGAAAGGAATTCCCGTAAATCCACTAATTTTTCTATTATTTACCGTTGTCAAATATGCTCCGTTTAAAATACCATCGGTAATTCGAACTTGAGGATACTCATCTTCGGAAACTGATGCATATAAGGTCCCAAATAAACAAAAACCTAAGCTTAATAATAGCACACTATGTTTCATTTTAATTTCTTTGAGTTTTCGCCGCATATAATGAACATTTGATACTGTTGAAAATACATATGTATATTACTATCTAATTTGGAATTTAAATTTATACATATAGTTAAATTTTAAAACACAAAAATGTCAATGGTATTTTAGTGCCCCAGTTTGGTACGATAAGAAATAGGTGCATATTGAATTTAAATAGGTTCTTTGACAATAATAGAATTTGCAGAGTTTCTATTTAAATAACAAAAAGTGAGCCTTTTAAATATAATATTTTAAAATTAAGTTCTCAATCATGAATTTGACCAAAAGTTAGAAGTGCGCCCAAAATGTTCGAAAATAATTTACTTTGTCTATGAAGTCTATAAAAAAGATGTATTTTATGAAAACAGATTTATTATTACAAAAAATTACAACTCTTCTCTAATTTGTTTGGCAGTTTCGAGCAGTGGATCATTCAACGATCTCCAGAATTCAGCTCTGTCTTTAAAAAACTGGCTTTGCATTGATAGCCCATCATTATCTATGTGGAAATAATCCTCATTTGCTAATGTGTAAGGTAGCCATTTAACTGGAACGAGTTTCGAAGTTTTTGGGGTAGGGTTTCTAAAAAAGTATGTTTGGATAATTTCAAACTCTGAAATCGCAATTAACTTACCCTGTATAAGCGAAATTAGTCCAAAGTGTCCTCATGATTTTAGACATTTTTCTATCATTTTCTGTAGGCGGTTCATCTGGAAAAACGGTTTTATCAAACGGGAACAGGTACATTAGTTCATCTCCATGAACTGTCCCGTAATCAACATCACCGCCTCCAAAAAATTTCGAGAGACTCGAGCTGCCTCTGTATCCAAATTTGTAAAAATATACAGGTTGCTTGTAATATTTTGTATACAATCTTGCTAAATCGTCAGCGCATTTGAAGAACCAACCATCAGAATACAACTGAAGAAATACAAATTTATTGGCTACACAAATCTCATTACCTCATTTAATACTAACATCAGTGACGACCTTGATCGAATCCTGAATTTTTTTACCACTAAAATAGAATTTTTTAATTTTATCTGTCATTTTTTGGTAATCCTTTTCTGTACGATTATAAAACAAAGATACTGGAAGAATTTCGTCGAATTTTTCAGCGAATTCGTCCAAGAGATTTTCGTTTATGTAACCTAGAATCAGGGTAATTTAATTAACAACCTTATTTCCTATTATGCTGTGTAGATTGAACGATAACAGAGAAATATTAATATTTATGTACTCGTGCATGCGAATAAGCTATAAGCGTATTTATAGTGTTAGAAAAATATCGTTAATTCCTTTAAAGTAAACAGGTTATTTACAGCCAGTTAACTATGTAGGTAGGTATAATACCTGAGGTCTTAAGTGCCCCATCTTGAGAAGTAACTCCAATTATAACTGGAACGTCCACGCTTTTCCCGGATTTGATTATATTTAAAGGATGATCAGGAAGAAATGGATTTTTTGTCGATTTCGGCTCGATTATTGGTTTGAATGGAATCATTGGATCGTAGTCCCAAAGCTTAAACATAACGAATGTCTCGCTATTACCAGATTGTTTCTTTATAGATTTAACTGACTTTAAATATGTCATCAAGCTCAATAAAAGTTCGTGCATCTACTTTTCTTAAACATTCTACCATATCTTGGCTAGATTCTGTCGGGCAATTTAGCGCTTTTCCTAGCTTAAATGAATTTTTGATCGTTTCATCGTTTTCGCTCAGCCCCCATGGGCACATACTCGTCCCACTTTGTATAATAGCCTTATTAAACAGTCCTAAAATGTGAGTTCATGATCAATTACAAAAATTAATAAGTTTTATGACCACACACCATTACTCAAAGGAGAAATCATTTGGAAGCTTACGCTAGTTCCACCAGCAGATCCTCCAAACAGAGTTATTCTATCCGGATCACCTCCGAATTTTTGTATATTTTTCTTCGCCCATTGTAAAGCCAGGTTTTGGTCTTTTAAACCATTATTACCTGGCACTACATCATCACCTGTGGCAAAAAATCCCAGTGGACCTGAAATAATAATATCTAGAGTATGTTCAAATGTTGTTGATAAAATTTTGCTAGAGCTATTCTGAAAACAACGCAGATTACCTATTCTATAATTCGTGGTTACTAAAACAACGTCTCGATCTAACAGTGTAGAGGGATGATACGGAATTATATTCCCACTACCGCACAGTAAACCTCCTCCATGGATCCAAAACATAACTGGCAAGAGATCGTATTCAAAATCCAATAACTGAAAAATGTTCAAGAAGCAATAGCAATCAGTACTAATTAGTGGAAATTATTATTACCTTCGGAGTGTAGACATTTAAATACAAACAATCTTCTTCTCCTGAAATAACTTTCGACCTAGAGTAGACGTCACGTTGAGGACATTCAGCGTGAACTCCCGTTGCATTTCTTTCTCCTGTCCAAGGATCATTTGGTACAGGAGCCTGAAATTAGTAAAAAAATACAAAGCTGCATAATCTAAGAAATAATTTATATTATGTAAGTTTGATACCTGGAATCTTAGCTCTCCAATTGGTGGCTTAGCAAATGGAATTCCCGTAAATCCACAAATTTTTCTTCTATTGTTCGTTTTCAAATAAGCTCCATTTAAAATGCCATCGCTAATTTCAATCTGAGGATATTCATCATGGAAATCAGAAGTAAGTACTGTTCCAGATCTAAATAACACCCATAAACATATTAACGCCGTGTGTTTCATTTTAAATTCGCCAGCTTGTTTGTTGTCAAATACGATTTTTATGCTTTGTTAGCTGATACCGAAATACAAATTGTGAATTCAAGTACAGTTACAAGGGTCGCCTCACTAATGAGTCGGTTTTTTTTATCTAATTTCGATAAGGAATGTGTACGAACTGTCTTACATATTATATGGTGCTTGCTGGTGTATGAATGCTGATACATAATAATACAATGTATACCAACATAATTGTTTTAATATAAATAGGGTATTTAAGTATAACAATAAGTTACAATTCTTCTCTAATTTTTTTGGCAGTTTCGAGAAGTGGGTCATTCAATGATCTCCAGAAAGCAGCTCTTTCTTTATAAAGCCGATTCCGCGTGTCCAAAACATCGTTATCAATTCGGAAATATTCTTCATTCGCTAATGTATAAGGTAGCCATCGCTTTGGAATAAGTTCCGATGTGTTTGGGGTGGGATTTCTACGAAAAATTTCATTCGTTAACATTTCGAAGTTTACTTACACCTTAAATAAGGGAACTCACCCGGTGTAAGCGAAATTAGTCCAAAGTGTTGCGAAGATTTCGGATATTCTTCTGTCGCGATCTGTGGGTGGTGTATCTGGGAAAAGAGCCTCACCCATTGGGAACAAATATAGTAAATCATCACCATGAACTGTACCGTAATATTCATCACCACCTCCATATAATATCGAGATACTCAAGTTGCCTTTGTAACCCAGTAAGTAGAAATATACAGGTTGCTTGTAATATTTTGCGTGCAATCTTGCTATGTCATCAGAGCATTTAAAGAAAAAACTATCTGTATACAACTGAAAACAATAAAATTATTGGCTGCAATTCCATTCTATTAATACTTACATTTATGATATCCTTGATCGAATCCTTAATCGATTTGCCAGTAAAATAGAATTTCTTAATTTTTTCTGTAATTTTCTGATGATTTTCCATCCGGTCATAAAACAAGGAGACCGGGAGGATTTTGTCAAATTTCGCATCGAATTCATCCAAGAGATTGTCCTTTTTGAAACCTTAAATATTGTAACAAAATCAGTGTAATTCAGTGTAAAAAATATTTGTTTACCTGGTGCTTTAAAACCCCCTTCTTCGGATGTAATTCCAATTATAATCGGAACGTCCATGCTTTTTCCTGAACTGATTATATTCATGGGATGATCACTAAGAAATGAATTTTTCAACGATTTCGGCTCGATTACTGGTTTGAATGGCATCATTGGTTCCTCGCCCCAAACCTTAAAATTTACAAATTAGGTATATTCACTGCAATCATTTAGATTAAGGTGATTTAAATTGCCACTGAGCTATAATTCCTGGCTTTAAGCTATAATAGGAATCCAACTAACTTTAAATATATCATCCAGTTCAATAATTTTTGCCGCATCTATTTTTCGTAAACATTCTACCATATCTGCACTCGATTCGATAGAGCAATTAAGAGATTTAGCTAGCTTATGGGTATTTTCGACTGTTTCTTTTTCGCTCAACGCCCAACAACAAAGACTTGTACCACTCTGTAGTATAGCCTTGCTAAATAACCCTAAAATTAAGTGTCCCACTATTTTAATTCTTTCTTTATTAATGTTTACTACTACCTACCTTTACTTAATGGAGAAAGCATGTGATAATTTACGCTAACTGCACCAGCAGACTCTCCAAACAGGGTGATTCTATCCGGATCACCTCCGAATTTCCGTATGTTTTTCTTCACCCATTGTAAAGCCAGATTTTGGTCTTTTAAACCGTTATTACCTGGCACCACATCATCCCCTGTGGCTAAAAATCCCAACGGACCTAAAACAATATAGATTAATCCAGATTATAAGAGGAGCTGTGGTAAGGAGGTGTTAATATAACGATGAAGATAACGATTTGAAGCTAAACATAAGCACAAACCATTTACCTAATCTGTAATTAGAGGTTACCAAAACGATATCCTTATCTAAGAGTACATGAGGATTATACTCATTTCCATTGCCGTATATAAAACCTCCACCATGGATCCAAAACATAACTGGTAAGAGCTCGGTTTCAAAATTCGATAGCTACAAAATTAATCATTTAAGCAATTATAGGTTAAAATTAATGAATCCCGTTTACTTTGGGTGTATAAACATTTAGATACAAGCAATCCTCCTCTCCTGCCATCAAAGCTGGCATTAGAAAGTTGCGTTGAGTACATTCAGGAGGAGTTTCCACTGCATTTCTTTCCTCTGTCCAAGGATCATTCGGTACAGGAGCCTGAAACAATGCGGCATATTGAAGGAGACTATTGGAGGAGTGGATTGAAATAAGGTAAATTTATTTTATATGATCAGCCTACTTGAAATCTTAGATCCCCTACAGGCGGTTTGGCGAACGGGATGCCCGTAAATCCAGAAATTTTCCTATCATTCCTCGTTGTTAAATAAGCTCCGTTCAAAATGCCGTCGCTAATTTGGACTTGTGGATATTGTTCAGTGTAAATCGATGCAATCACTATCACACATAATAACAGCAAACCGAAGAAGAAGCAAAATATTATTGCTGTGAGTCTCATATTAACTTCGTGAGCTTTATTGTCCGGTTTATGTTGCAGTTTTGGTTCAAAACAAAATCCTACTGTAATAAACGCCATGTAAATTACAGGTTAATTTTAATAAATATACCTTATTAATTTTCAAGCGACGATAAGAAATAAGGACATATGGATATTCAAATAATAATAATAAATATTACTAAGTCGGACGCTTAAAAATAGGCTTAACTGAAAAAATATTTTACAGTTTAGAAATATTTAATGAAATGTATTTTTAATTTAGTTGTTGCGAGTGTATTCGCGCAGAAGGAGACAAGAAAATTATAATAAATATCTACGAAACATTTAAAATTGACACTAATTTGATGCCCCAATCCAATATATTTCTTACACAATAATTAATTATTGCCTTTTACGAAAATATAAAAGATTTATTATTTAATATGACAAAATTTACAATTCTTCTTTGATTTCATTGCTAGTTTCGAGAAGTGGATCATTCAACGACCTCCAAAATTCAGCTCTTTCCTTAAACACGTGATTCCGCATTTCCAATACATCGTTATCGATTTGGAAATATTCTTCATTTGCTAGAGAGTATGGTAACCACTTATTCGGAATCAGTTTGGAAGTTTTCGGTGTAGGATTTCTACAAAAATATTAAATATCATTCCAACTTTTAGGTAACTTTTGAAATTAACTTACCCTGTTTTAGCGAAATTAGTCCAGAGTGTGGTAAATACTTTAGCTATTCTTTTATCACTTTCCGTGGGGGGTACATCAGGGAACAGGCCATCACCCACAGGGAACAGATACTGCAAATCATCCGCATGAATTGTTCCTAAAAATATAAATTTATTTTAAAGTACTTGTAGTTATTCGACGTATTTACTAACCATAATGTTCATTGCCACCTCCGAATATTTTTGAGAAACTCGAGCTGCCCTTGTACCCAAACACATAGAAATATACGGGCTGCTTGTAGTATTTTGTGTACAATCTCGCTATATCATCAGAGCATTTAAAGAACCAACCATCAGTATACAACTGAAAACAATAAAATTATTAGCTACACAAATCTCATTACCTCATTTAGTACTAACATCAGTGACGTCCTTGATCGAATCCTGAATTTTTTTACCACTGAAATAGAAGTTTTTAATTTTGTTCGTCATTTTTTGGTAGTCCTTTTCAGTGCGATCGTAGAACAAGGATACCGGAACAATTTCGTCAAATTTTTCAGCGAATTCTTCCAGGAGATTTGCGTTCTTGTAACCTGTAAAAAATCAGGATAATTAATTAATTAACGTATTGCAGATTAATGCATAACTAATGGTGCGTTTGTATAGTTAATAATAGCTATAATACCTGATGTTTTAAGACCACCATCATCAGATGTAACTCCTATTATAATAGGAACGTCCATGCTTTTTCCGGATTTGATTATATTTAAGGGGTGATCAGGAAGGAATGGATTTTTCGTCGATTTCGGTTCGATTACCGGCTTGAACGGAATCATAGGATCGTAGTCCCAGAACTTAAAAATAGCAAACATTAGATAATTTAATAAGCAAGTTAGTGCAAATTCTACTAACTTTAAATATTTCATCAAGCTCAACAAATGTTCGAGCGTCCACTTTTCTTAAACATTCTACCATATCTTGGCTAGATTCAGTTGGGCAGTTGAGAGCTTTGGCTAGTTTGTGAGTATTTTTGATAGTTTCATCGTTTTCGCTCAAAGCCCAACCACAGAGAGTCGTCCCACTCTGCAGTATAGCATTGTTAAATAATCCTAAAAATTTGATTTTTCAATAATTTATATCTCACTATAATAATTGTTGCTATTGCTCACCTTTACTTAATGGAGAAATCATGTGATAATTTGAGCTAACTCCACCAGCGGATTCTCCAAATAGTGTGATTTTTTTCGGATCACCCCCGAATTTTCGTATGTTTTTGTTGACCCATTTTATAGCCATGTTTTGGTCTTTTAACCCGTTGTTACCTGGCACTATATCATCTCCAGTAGCCAAAAATCCCAGTGGACCTAAGAGGAAACAAATAAAAGCACATTTTACTTTTACTTCTAATTATGATACCTTATTAACAATTATGCATTCCATAAATAGACTTTTTAAAATTCTAGTAATTAAGAAAATAAACTATAGATAATGAAGTGTAAATATATTTTCATTTAAATTCCGAGTTACAAGTCAATTAAAGTCGCTTGGATAATTCAAGTAGTAATCAATTAGGTGCAATGCAATTAAATTAGCGCAGATTTCGCCTTCTACGCCGTTCTGCTTTGTTGATTGATCAACAATTATGATAAATTAAGAGGGAAATTTAGAATAATACGCGTATCCTTCTAACAATACCTGATTACTGTAAATAATTGCTTGTATTTAATATGTTCCTACCGTTTCATTAGAACCGTAAATAATTAAAACATACCATTATAACAATTTGATAAGATCGTTTAAGTCACAGTAATTATTTTCTAATTAATCAGACGAATATGGAATGTTTGCTTACCTAATCTGTAATTTGTCGTAACAAGAACAACATCACGATCTAAGAGTATATCAGGACCGTACCAGTACGAATTTCCGCCTCCACATAGCAATCCTCCACCGTGGAACCAAATCATAACGGGAAGCAAATCGGTTTCGAAATCATTTAACTAAAATAATTTTAATGAAGTTTAATGAAGTTTTTGGAAAAAGTAGGTAATTACGAAATAATGTCGTAGTTAATCAAACACGCAACACATGCAATATTCCGCGGTATTGAATAAATTAGTTTTGACAAAGCGTAAATACGAGTGAAATGTATGTAGAGTAAATTTAATAATGCGTAAATTGCAGTATAATGCAAAAAGAGAAAGATTAGATTCGATCAAATCACTGTTCGTACCTTCGGGGTGTATACGTTCAAGTATAGGCAGTCTTCCTCTCCTGAAATAATGGGAGATCTTCGGTAAACGTCTCGTTGGGGACATTCTGGATGAACTGCAGTTGCATTTCTTTCATCTGACCATGGTTCATTAGGCTCTGGAGCCTGGAATAAATTTTTGCAATGCTGGTAGATATTTTTACACAAAACAATTATATAAATTTAAGGACCTTTTAGATGTACTTTACTCGTCTATTACTTATCTTTTAATTAATACTATTTTCATTTTATAAAAGCACATGCATATCGATGCAACTAGAAGATATCGGTAACATTACTTTTCATGGTAATTATTGAAAACCTGATTTTTACATTTAATTTTTCCACGCATTTTGCTATAAATTAATAATGTTGCACTTGAACAAGGTGAGCATTGCAGCAAAATTGCAATTGATGAAAAAACGTGAACTTCAACTTGTTTTTTTTTTAATGTTAACCAATTATTTTTGAAATTGACCAAACTGTATGAAACTATTGAATCCGTTAGATTTTTTATCATTGAAACCATTTGACCTTTAGATTAAATATAATCGAACTCAATTTCACTAATAATAATTCTAGACGAATTGAAAATATAAATAAAAATAGAACCGAATTAATGTTTCACATTAGGTACTTCCCAGCAATAAAAAATACTAAATGGCCTTATTTAAAACGAATTAGATATAACTAGTAATTATCCAAACAAGTTACGTAATTACTTGATAGACAACAAGAACAATTATTTACCCGAAATCTTAGTTGTCCAACTGGCGGTTTTGCGAATGGAATTCCCTGAAACCCGCTGAATTTTCTGCTATTCCTCGTGGTCAAGAAACCTCCGTTCAAGACACCATCACTGATTTTTACTTGCGGATACTCCGCGGTGAAAACAGGCACAAATAAACATAAACAAATCCACAAGGTGTGTTTCATTTTATATTCGATGTTGGTTTACACGAGCCAAAGTAAATTAATAATGTTATATACAGATTTGACCGTAAAAAGTGGGATCGAAATGTTTTATATAGCGCGGTGAAATTCTACTCGAATCGAGGACGACTGGCTAATTGACCAATTTAGCGCGTTTGATCAATGTTCTCTTGATTTTGTCTGGACTATAATGAATTAACATTGACCTCCTGCATTTAATTAACGACTGGTTTTTAGAATTTTAGACACAGTACTGTAAATACTTTAGTATTATATCTATTTATCTTTGGATTAAATAATAAACATAGGTACATAAGCTGCTCGAATAAAAATTTGAATTTGGTTTCACCAAGGTTGTTGCCAGAATAATTCAATGTTGCCAATGTTGTCATCTTCAATAAGAAAATTCTTCATATGAAATATACCTGATTTCATGCTATCCATATTTTTATTAGACTGTTTCTTTTGCGTACTAAGAGCATTCAATAATTTCTATACTGCTTGTTTCACTAAAGCTATATCACTAGCTGTATCACTAAAACCATGAAATTTTATAGTTGATTATAAACTATTTTCTTAATAGTTAAATGCCTAAGACAAAATAGCTGAATTATCTATGACATTATATCTCACTTGGTGCAAATATTTAGATTCAAATTAATTTGTAGAAAGAAAATTGCAAACACTCTTTATCGTCTCTATGGAAAAATGACCCCCAATGTACCCATTGTACCTGTAATTTTGTCATTTAATTACAAAACGCACAACTTCTCAAGGATATTTACGCCAAGATTATATTAATTGATGAAATCTGTTCGCTTTTAGATTAATTGATCTACGCAAAGACCAGCGTTAAAAATTCTATGCAGCAAATGCTAATGACTTCTGCATAACACGAAACAATTTTTATTCATTAGATTGCATGATTATACCTGTGCTGCAGAGTAAATGGTATACCGTGTGAGTAATTTCGAAGCAATCATCGTATATTTCGATTTGTAAAGTAGGTAGAGTATTTTCCTATTTCACAAATCGTAAATAAATACAACACAACACGTGTGTCTGCCTACATGTTATTGTATGAAGAGTGTATTATCGAGTGCAACGTAATCACCCAGTGTCTCCAAGTATTTTGAATTGTTGGTTGCATAATCAGTAGCAAAATTAGAAGAAATCAGTAATCAGGAAGATTCTATTTGTAGATAACTTCTTATTCCTTATTCGCCAGTTGAAGGATCTTTGAAATGTTTCTAGATTTCAATTCCAAATGAATTCGTAGAATGTTGTTGCCAATCAGCTGATTTATGATGAAATTAAGCTCGTAGGTTGTATTTTACCACTTGCAAATACTATAAATTTAAGGAATAAATATCAATTGAAGTAATAAATTGTGACTGGATAAACTTCATAGGAGTATTACTAATTATTCTAGCTATTTGTAATATTGTGCGGGTTTGCCGTTTGATCTTATTTTAATCGTATGTATGTTTAAAAAGCATGGACATTTTCAATATCTGCCATGTTCATTTTAAATATTTACAGATACATAATTTGTTGTATGCAACTCACATTACACACGTAAATCAATCTTAATTATTTAACTGTAAAAATTAAGCTGTATGTTCAAATAATTATTATCACTTTATTATCCATTAAATATGCATTATGCATTATCATTAAATAATGCAAATATGCATTATTGATTCCTAGAATATATTTTTAGAGGCAGGATCATGCAGGGGAAACCCTCATACCTCATACGACTAATTATTGTTTCCTCACCCTTCTATAGCATCAAACGAAATTTCCAAGTCTCGTGCACCAGTAATAATCAGGAAACAAATATTATTATTTTTATAAACACTTAACGCCTACAATGGAATCTACTTAAAATTTTGATTTCCTGTTACATATTCCAATTTTTTTATTTAAATTTATCGATATGAATTACGAATTTTTCTGATTAGAGTTCTGAATTAGAGTTAAATCGAGCGGGTTTACCTGAAGAAAATATTCAAAAACGAACGGCCCTGTATAAGAAATCGCTTAATTACCCATCGTTACCGGCACATGAAACATTAATGAAATTTCAATGCTATTCGCAAGAATGTGCAAGGCACATCTTTGTGTGTCGGTCGATTCGAAAAGCAGTTAGAAAGTGGAGGCGATTCGAGAAAATTTTATATTTTATTTGCATGTGGTGTTAAAACGAGGATTACCTACCTATAGCGTTCTTGTGAATGTTGTGATAAAGTTTTCTCAAAAACACGGAGCCGTAAAAATGTTTGTTTAACCGATCAAGCTAGTATTACATTCGTTGGATATTATCGTTATAAATGAGGGCAATAATTTAGATAATTCAATTTGAGTGGAAACATCAATGAAGCTGTGAGTGGTCAGTGGTCATCAGTCACAATGGCAATGGAAAAGTGAGTATTAAGAATTTTATTTTTATTTTTATATTTTAATTTTAATTTATGTTATTCAATAACTAACTATTTTCAACACACTTTCGTGATTTCAGCTATTCCTGTCGCGTTCAGTATAATTTGAAAGAACTTGTTATCTATTTTCAATGAAGTATAAAATTAACATTTTTGCAAATTTACATGTAAATCTAGAAATTTGGGTAGTAATTAAGACCATATGTTCAAAATTATTTTTATTATTTTTGAAATTGAATTTCAGTGGTTACTGGCCTCATAGAGAAAAATAATTAAAACTTTTATATCAGACGATAACTATGTACTTCATTGATAACAATAAGACATGCCATTACTAAAGTATTTTGATATATTGAATTTTTTTAATAATAGTAAAGATATTTCCTTTATTATTTCGTACATGTGTTCATACGTTTGGTATTCAAAATAATGAATAACAATGGAGAGGATAATTTTATTTAATTTTAATTAATTAGGTACCTACCCACCAATGGATAAGGTAGAGTGAAAAAAGAAATTTTAGATTTTCCTACTTTAAAATCCTGTAGTTTTATCAAAATAATTTTAAGAACAATTGGCGCTTTAGAATCAAAAATCGTGTTCAGTTTGACAAAAATTGTGATTTTCATTGTACTTTTTGTGTTCGAGTAGGTACTTGATACTCTTATTATTTTTTTTCATTTCCTATTCCTACTTAATCATAAGGATTATAATTGACCCAAAGATCAATAAAGTTTCTTCAACTCTAAACACTTCCTAGATTAATCTCAACTCATTATTATCGAATACAGCCTTCATTTTGTTAATGACAAATAATTAATTTCATTTTAAAAATCAATCCATCATCCATCATTTTGAAGGCAATTACCTGATAAAGCAATTCCTTATGGATATGTATTTATGATGATTGCCGAAGCAACCTTTAGAAAAGGATTTAATTTTTCACTAAAATTTTCATGTTTATAACTATATAATTATTTAAAAAATATATAATAATTAGATAGAATAATTTAAGTTCATTTAAAATTTAAATGGGAAAAATGGATTATAGGACGATTTCATTTGATTGTTTAAAAGTGCCATAGAAATGTGTGGCTATAATTGCTTGATTAGAGTGCTCAGTTTTCTTTTAGGGTAAGCACAAGCACATGATATGAATAAACAAAAAAAATATGATGTAGATTTTATTTTAAATTATGTTCATATGCAGCTAGAAACGCGTTTTGTAATTGGTAAGCTGTTCAATCTGTAAATAGGACTATATAAATAGTTACGCAAAGTACACGGATATTATAGTAAAAAAATAATAATAAATTAGTTGCAAAATATATTTAACATAATACGTAATATGCACAAACTAAGGTTACTAATTAATCGTGCTTAATTTCAAAAATAATTTTATGACCATTAAATGTTTATTAAAACTTCAAATTACATTTACAGAGTGTTTAAATAGATAATATTCCCACCTATGTTTACCAAATTTATTTAGTAAATATTTACAAAATATTACAATCATTCAAAACTCAAGACTGTGAATGCAATACATTTATTATCTACACGATTTTGACTAAAATTTTCCATTGTTTCATTATTACTCTATACTACATTTCGACTATTACAATACGATTAAAAAAACCATATACGATTTAAAACGTGTTAGTTAGTCCATGACACATTTATCTTCACATTTATACCAATACCTTGAGAAAAATGCTTGATAATAACAACTAAATTTACCATTCCATTCCATAAAATATTTATCTGTTTTACTGTTTCTATAGAAGAGAAATGTTGTAGGAATAATTAAGAGGCTTCGTATTTTTCAGGATAGAGAATAATGAAAAAGCCCAGAGTTCATTCAGAGAGAGCCTTCCGCAAATTCTGGCCGTAAGCATTAAAAATGTCCTGCTTCTTATTCATGGAATGAGTCTAGGATTCACGACCATTCTTATTCCGGGAGTGTCCGGAAACGATATAAATGAGCCAATTCTACTCGGTCAGGAAGAGATATCGTGGATAGGTAGAGTATTGTTTTAAAAGATTCTACAATTCCAAAAAAGCTACCAGCATTTCGTTCCAATCCATTTGATTTGACACTTGCGATTCTACAATTTTACGCGCATCGGAATGTTCTATAAGCTATAAATTTTATTTTGTATTCTAGGCTCGATAAACCTCATATTCGTTCCGCTTGGGTGCGTTTTCTCCGGCACTCTCACGCAAATCGTCGGAAGAAAAAAAGCGATGCAATTTGTTAACATTCCATTTTTAACAGCTTGGTTGCTGTTCTATTTCTCCACCGCATCTTGGCATATCTTCCTGGCAGCTTCACTGTTGGGCTGGAGTGGAGGATTACTGGAAGCTCCAGTAAGTATAGCAAATAATACTAAGTATCTATAGCGCTTTATGTTTTAATTTCTTCCAGGTTTTAACATACGTAGCAGAAATAACCCAACCGCACCTGAGAGGTATTCTATCATCCACCAGCACAATGTCGGTAACTCTAGGAATGCTGAGCCAGTTTATATTGGGGGCAGCTTTGGACTGGCGAACAGTCACCTTGGTGAATTGTGTCCTACCGTTAATTTCGTTCTGTTTGCTGATGCTGATACCGGAAACTCCGGTTTGGCTGCTGACTAAGAACAGACACGAGGAGGCCAAGAAGAGCATCGCGTGGCTGCGAGGCTGGACCTCAGTGGAGAACATACTAGAGGAATACCAGGAGCTTTACGCTCAAATCAAAGTGCGGGAGGAGGTGGATAACTCTTTCAGGGGAATTCTGAAGAACAAGGTCAAAAACATAAAGCTCTTTGGACAAAAGAACTTCTTATGGCCTTGCTTGCTGGTCTCATTCGCTTTCTTCCTAGGCCACTTCAACGGGTACTCTCCATTCCAGGTGTACGCCATAAAGATTTTCCAAGCTCTGCACGCTCCTTTGAACGAGTATTACTCAACTATAATAGTAGGAGTCGTGCAGTTGCTCGGAACATCTATATCGGTGGGTTTAATACACGTGTTTGGTAAAAGAATACTTAATTTTATATCGTTGTTTGGATCCGGGGTGTGTGTCTTAATAGTCGCGACGTACTCTTATGTTTACAACATTACCGATTTTGAAGATACGAGCAATTCTATTACCAACGCGACGTTGACGGGTCCATTGGACTCGGAGCCTCATACGTGGATCCCCGTAGTGTTTCTGACGCTGTTTGGGTTCTTGTCCTACGTGGGTATCAAGATCCTGCCGTGGGTTCTTATCGGGGAAATATTCGCGGTGGAAATCAGGGCAACAGCCTCTGGAGTGTCAGCTGCGATTGGTTACTTGTTCGGTTTTACTGCGAATAAAACTTTCCTGCATATGGTCAGTAGTTTTACGCTGCCGGTGGTGTTTTGGGTTTACGGCGCTGTCGGGGTCATTGGTACTGTGGTTTTGTATTTCGTCCTGCCGGAGACGGAGGGGAAAAGCTTGTACGAGATTTCTGAGCACTTCGCAGGACGCGGGAAGTTAAAAAACAGCGTAAGAAAGGGCAATAAGCAGCAGTATGGGTGCAGTAACAGCGCTTTTGAGCACGATGAGAAGGACGATAAATTCGAAAGCAGGCTATAAATGTTTGGACTAGTACCAATAAAATAATTTACTTAAATGTACGAAGATTAAATGTCTGATTGTGATAGTACCATAAAAGTTTTGTTTAATTTAAAAAAGTCGAATAAAGAGCAATTTTTAATTGTTGTTGTTTATGTTCGGGTTTAATAACAATTTCGAAAAATTGCTGTGTGATAAAAATTATTTGTCTAGACTAAAAAACCGTATCAATATTTAGAAAGAATGTCTGCAAAAAATATGATTAAATTGTTAGGTCCACCTAATATTAAAAAATATATTGCCTTTGTGATAACCCAAGTACGAGTATAATTCGCAAGAGTAATCTGTATAAACAAATTAGATAAAATATAGTGATACAAAAAACAAAAAACAAGGAAATAAGATAAATAGAGCAATAAAAGAAAGAGTTGATTAGAGGCGCTAAAAAAACAATCTTTTTCAAGATGATTTTATTTAAATTTTTAACAAAATAATATATGTAAGAAGAATTTCACAATCGTTCAACAAGTATAGTTTTCAATTTTAATATTAAATATATGTTTCCTTTGTAATGAAACCAACTTTTTTTTATATTCATCTAAATAACAACGACAAATTTAGCTTTTTCAACTTTAACAATTTCGCAGCCTGCCCCAATTCAACAATTTCAACAACAGTATTTATACTTTCGTTTCAAATTATAATATCAATGATTGTGAAACCTTTTTCTTCATAATATCATTGAAATAATATACACTCAGAGTATCAAAACGTAATATTTGAACGCGGCTATTACTGCCTCATTGTCCTGTGAAACTAATTTTTCACTACCTAGTATAATAATACAGCCTTTCAGTGTCTTATGCACCAAAATTTGTCTAGATTCATTTCGCTGTAAAGTAAAAAAATTAAAACAAATAAAAATATGTAAATCAGCGAAAAACTAATACTTTGGTTGCATTTAAATTGTATTGCCTCTGTACATTTCGCGATAAAATACATTAATACAAATATAATGTCGTCAGTCAATGGAATATTTTTTATACATACATAAGTCTAATGACTAACTTCTTTCTACGAGGCATTGTCACAAAGAGCCTTCAGGGAACACCTGATATACTTTCTTATTTTCATTAATAGTTTCAACAAATTGAAACGACTATAAAAGTGGAAAATTCTTTAAATACTTGCGGGCACAATACGCTAATTAAAGACCAAAGCAAATGGAAAAGCTGCAACACATAACAATTCACGAAAAACCAATAAAATGATCCACTTTTAAAGTTCATACAGGCCTTTGCAACACTCATTATTCATTATTATCCACAAAAATACAATTTTTACTTATTTTTCAAATATTACATTTCCAAATACTCAACTTTTTTATTACAAAAACGCAATATCATTCAAACCTGCTAATCATAGAATCAGTCTTTTCAAAAAATAATTCGTATCATATTTCTCGTATCATAATATCCAAAAAAACTATTCATAAATCTTTACAAAAAATATATCAATCTTTCGAAACGAGGTAAAGTCCATGGGTATTACTTAAAGTCGAAAAAGCTAAATTAGTATCCATAAATTCGTACGTATGTCCATAATAATGGACGGACTTTACATTATTTATCGCAGATTGAATTTTGGTAACCAAATAATCGATATGTTCAACAATCAAAGCGTCGGGTTTTATTTGCTCTACCCCCTTTTCAACCATTAAAGACATCAAATGTCTAATACCTTTCACAGTACAAATAAACTCCTGAGTAATCGAATTTCCTTTAAAATTATTAGTATTATTACAATCAGGAGGTTCGTCTATTTTTCTAACATATCCCTCAACATTTCTTCTTTTCTCTTTATCGCTTTTTTCGCTATTTTCTTTATTACTAGTATCGTAAGCTTTGCATTTCGTAGGGATATCTTCATTCGAGGTGCTTCGTACATCTAATAATCTCTTCTTTTCTTCATCCGACGAGGCCCCTTCTTTACCATAATTGACTAAATTAATATCACAGTTCATTTCTCGAAGGGCCCCTTTCACATCGTAAGCCTCAGTCTTGGAATGTTTCGAGTCCTTGTTGCTCGCGCCCGAGCAATTAGTCCTTCTGAAGGCCTCGCAAAAATCCTCGAACGGCGAAGCACACCCGTCCGAGGTTTTAGCAAAAATATCATTCTTCGGCGCTTTCATTTTCTCCCTGCTCGATTTCTTCTTGCTTTTCGGTTTCTTCGGTTCCTCCAACGCAACGTTGCCAGATTTAACTAGTACTCGTGACTGTTGAAATGTCATTGTCGTTAAAACGTCAAGTAGATCCGACCAATCGGACGTGAGGTATTCCTGCGGGTGTACGAAGTCGTATTCGAAGAATTTCAGGAAGGATCTGATGACGTTTAGTAGTTCGATACACCCTTCAGAGGATTCCGATAAAAGTCCTGCAATACAAAAAATTGTAGTTTGTATTAAATTACGCGTAGAAGTATAAAACATACCGCTCTCTTTGACTTCCAAGTACTTAACGAATATTTGCTCGGTAAATATATGCGCCCTTCTCTGCACGTTGTCCTTCGACAGGAAGAAATCCGAGAGCATTTTGAACTCCGGAGCGACGTTCAACACTACAAACATGTCTCTCCAACTGGCTACGAAACCTCTCGTATTGTCCACGTGAGTTTTGAACAATACATCTCCGGCTCGAAGCAGATCTTGCAAACTGATAATCAAGAACTGTACATCGTAAATGTGGATAATTTCTGTTATCGGTTCCACCGAGTACGTGATCACATCTAGGTGATTGTTAATATCTATATTCTAAAAATACAATGCATTAATATGCAGTAGGCTTGTTAAAAGTAATGGCAGCTGTCAATAAGTAACCATAGCAACTTTGTTAACGGAAGAATGTGATTGGTTTATTTTCGAAATGACAATTGTCCGTAGGTATCCGTGATTGATAAATTTCTAATTGGCAGCTGTCATTATGTAACTACAGTATTCAACTGTCAATAAATGACAGTTGGGTATGAAATTCATTTGAATAAAGCTTACTGTGATAAGATGGCTGAGGATATTTTTGAACAGTTCGAAAGGGGGCGAAACGGTGGCTATCACGTGTAAATTCAATTTCCACAGGTCGTTGATGTAAGCCTTTACGCACTCGGCGAGGATGCGGCTTTGGTCTACGTGCTGGTAGGTGAGAAGGCCCCCGATGGGCTGGAAGACGTCGTCTGCAATAAATCTGATACAAAAAAGAATAACGTGAGTGGGAGCTTCGGAGTTCCTCGGATGCGCCGGATTTACTTTGTGCAGTTCGTAAGCATTCATACTGAGCAAAACGTTTCTTTCAGAGGGCATAAGCATTAATATCTGATCGGTCAGTATTGAATAAGCCGAGGAATGTATTAAATACGGTCTATGTCTATCTTCTAAAATATAAATGAAAAGTGTAAAAATTAAATTCGTAACTTTTAATCAAAATGCACATTACAAGAATAAGAGGGGGATATATTGGCATAATGCCGACTAGTTATAGGGTAAAGAAACATACATGCAATAAATGTTAAATTAATTATAAAGGTAGGTTAAAAAGAGAATAAGTATTCAAGAAAACAAAAAATAAAGCTGGTAAAATTAATCTCACCGTTTATTTCTTCCTTGTTAGAAGTTTCTAAATCTCTGTCGGATTCTTTTTGCTTTTTCATCTCTGGTTTTTCTTGCTTTTCCATTTTATTTTATTGAACAAAAATTGTGTCGCAAAATTTTTAAAGTAAAATAAATTTTATAAAAAGATAGGTGAAGGTAGGCTATTTACGTGGTCATTTTGCGTATAAAATAATTCAGTGCCCGACAAACTACTATTTTATCACGAAAACCGAGAGAAAAAAAACATAATTGTTTCTTAGGTTAAAAATTTAAATGGACATCGAATTTTGACATTACAATTTTTTTAGAAGAATTAACCGAATACTTACTTATGATTAGGCCACAATATCAACAAAGAAAGAAGAAAATTCTATATTTGGTGTCAATTTAAAAATGAATGAAAATATAAATCTTGAGACACAAATGATCTACTACAAAAAAATGAAAAATTGTTTTATTTTGCAAATAAAAATCTTACACCAATTAGAAAAAATAAATCCGTAATGCAATCAACTTATGCTCCAATAGCTTCCTCTTTGCCATCGAAAGTAATTGGATCAAATAAAAATATATTATTTACGGGGACCTCTTTTTCAGAAACAGCTTTAATTACTTCTTGTGCAATAACACCACCTACTACTGAACAAACCGGAACGACTTCTTCACCAAAAACGAGTTCAAAAATATCTGCAGGGAGTTTCGTTTTCAATTCATCGACTTCGTATAATTGAAAGATATCAGCTTTAATTGTTTCGAGCGTTTTCAAATCGCCTTCTTTCGATTCAATCGCAGGATTCCTGTTATTTTTATTTCTGAATTCCATCAAAGCTGCAAAAAAATCGAAATGTTTATGTTCGTTAAATTAGCTGAGATATCATGTATATTTAAAGATTCAAACACTACCTAGCATAATGTAAAACAACTCGTTTCTTCTTTTAGACTTTTTAATACTATCTGCACTTTGCTTGGTGTTGGGTAATATGAGGACTTTTTTGAGTTCTGGATAGTTAATGACTCCTTGAACTTTAATAGTTGTTTTTTCATGGTCCTTCTCTCCGTGAGTCCTCTTCTTACCAGCTAGCTTGATTTGATCTCTAAAAATAATGCAATAAAATTTTACCTTCCCTTGTAATGTGCTAAAATTTAGTTTACTAACTCATGATAATTGTGGTCTAGGAAATCTGCGACAGAGAAGCCGAAAGTTCCGAATACATCTCCGTAGATCAATTTCACGTTACTAGATCTGCACACTTTGTCGATTTTCAACAGTAAATCGGTTTTAATGCAAGTAGCTACGATTATCGTGAAGTTCTTAAAGTAACTGGAATCCTTCGAGGATGGAGGCTGTTTGTCAACTTTTATCTTTACTAAAGGATTCAAAGCTTGGGCTTTTATCAAGACTTCATCTGCAATCTGAATAACTAAAATTATTTCTGTAAGCTTGAAATGTCTTACAGCTACATACTGGATTTCCCACACTTCCTTTGTTGAGCAGAAAGTTTTTCTGTTGTTCTTCTTCGGTAACTGTTCCATCATCTAATATAGTTAAGGAATTGATTCCAGAGAGAAGTATATTCTTGGCGATTTCGGATCCCAAAGCACGAATATTAATCAGTAAAACATTAGCTGCTCGCAATCTAAAAGAATAATAACTATTATAATGTGGTAAAAAATGAGGTTAAGATACTTGCTTTTCTTGAGACTCTATTCCCCACAAACGGATTTGCCTGTCGTACAATTCCGCTTCCACAGCTGACAACTGTTTTTCCGCCATTTTTTAATTATTTGCTACCCGATAAAATGTAAATTAATAATGATTTCACCCTAAAATGTTGTTAACAAATCCCAAACAAGCCGGGAACCGGGTAAACAATTATTTATTTGACAACTTTGACATTTGACAGTGACATACGAATACGATTGAGTACGATCAGTAATAAAATCGTACGTAAATGGGAAAATATACACCGTGCTTCATTCGCCATTGCAACATGGGCATTTCTATGAGTTGAACCAAAAAAGATTATTAAAATAACAGTTGTCAGAGTGAAAAGTTGCAAATACATAATATCACTCTTTCTTTTTCCTTTATAAGTGTCTAATTGAAGTTGTCTTTGTTACACCCATTGCCTATGTTGCAATGAAAAATGGAGCAACCTGTATAATTTATGAAAAATGTATTATGCTGTTTATGCATTGACATAATAAAAAAATAAATTTAGTAGACATGTCTATGATATTTGCTATTCAGGGAAGATTAATAGTAGTTCAATTAAACCCAGTATCTGGATTCTAGATTATTTCCAATCTAGTTTCTATAATTTATTTCATTTGGGAAAATTACATACATTAAATACAATATTTATGTGAACTTTTTCACTTCAATAATCGTGTTCTAAAACCCAATTACTCGACTACGTGATTTTGCGATATTTAAAGCAATTCAACGCGAATAAAATACATTTCCGAATAAATTAATTTTCCTAGTTATTTTCAAGGAACTGTATTGGTTCAATCCAGTCCTGGATCATGATCGTAAATTTGTACGTATTCTATTGACCAAAAATTGACCAATATCAACAGCTCTATCGACGTCACAATTTAAAAATATCTTTACGTAACGAAACGACGCTGACGCTCGGCGTCTTGACGGGGGTCATTTAGTCAAAGTTTTGGCGATGCTACGCGAAAAGTAATTAGTTTTCGTCTTTTTTCTAGTTTTATCGCATGCGAAACTTTCAAAATTCGACAGGTACTCGTGCGAATAGTTTCGTTCGTTTAATTTTTCGGTTCGTTCATCTCCATTTGTGCTTGTTTCATCTCTCATTGATTCGAGTTTAGATCAAACATCTTGTAGAGCAACAAGTGGTAAATACTTAAAAAGTAGGTTTTGTTTATTATTGGGTTATTGTTTAAACAATTTAATAACTCGCAATTAAGTACCTGTAGGTATAGATACTATTATTAGTTGTAAGACTGTAATAGACGCTCTCTATTAGTGTATTTACTAAATTTACTGCTCACACTTCTAATAAATACAAAAATTACCATTATTTTTTATTATAACAAAAATTATATAATATACTATATCAGTTACATAATAGAAAATTGTAATTTTTTAAGTCTATAGCTATTTATCATATTTGATAGTGTGCCAAATTTAAAACAACAGTTTAATCTTCCTGTGGAGTGGAAATCTCCTTGATGGTCAATGATCTGATAGAGGCTATTTAAAATTTAGTTACAGTTACAAAAAATGTTTTTATCACGTTAGTTACTGATATTATAATATGGACTTTGTACTTTCTGCTGCTTGGCCATTGTTTATTCAATTTAAAATATTATCAAAAAATGAATAACTTGATTTTTTTATGTATGTAGGTACGATTAATAAAATCGTAGACGTAATTTAATTTTAATTGTGCTTTCCTCGTTTTTCTAATTAAAATGAGGAAATGCAAAATATATACAGTTGATTAAAATTAGGTATAATCCAAAAAATTACAGGGTGGCCAAAATAAAAATGATACTCATCCAGTTTGTTTTGTTTTATCTTATCCTCCTTTTACTTCTGAAAACTTAGCATCTTCACCTTGTATCATTATACCAATCTTCAAACCTATAGATATTTTTAATTTATTTATTAACAGTTCAACAAAAAATTCTCATCCTTTCTAGCTTTATCACACCCATCAAGAAATTCGAAGCCGATAAGGAAAGTTCGTTTTTCGATTCCTCCGACTATGGATCATGATGAAGATGAAGGAGTCGGATTCATCAGGCCCAGTCATTATCTCAAAAGCCCCACGGTAGCGGAACAGCAAGCAATGTCGCTTCTTTCAGTGCCTAAAGGAATGACGAGGGAGGGAAGCATTTCATCTAATGTCAGCGATATGGATATTCCCATTTACTCCTCAGAGAATTTAACCACTTCCCTGCGAAGAGAACCCAATGGGGTAAGTACATCCATTTAGAGATCAGTTTACAATTTATAATGTAAAACAAATTAGAGAAAGTTGCTTTGTTCTTATAATATTTATTAACCAGTACATTACTTATGCAGTAAAACGTTTTTAGTACTTAGTACAATATTATTTATGGCTTATAATTATGTCTGATGTATATACGTTTACCTATAATATAAACATAAATTAGTAAAGGGGAATTTCATATATGAGGAGTTAATTATTTTTTATATTTTTCTATTTGCATTACAATACACGTACGATACTTATTTTAATATAAATAATTCAAAAATTATCCTTAACTGCTGTATAAATAAATGAATTACCTTTTAGGGCAACATAAAAATATCAGAAATTGGTTGATTAATTTGGACTTTGCACTTTAAGTATCTACTAATTACCAAAATTTTAATTCAAGGCAATTAAAAAGTGGATAATAAAAAATAGAAAATTAAAATAAAATCAGCAGTAGGTATCCAGGAGTTTTTTTTTTCGACTAAATAATAACCAAATTATATTTCGCATTTAATGCATACTTAATTGCGTCAGTAGACGAATAATTACATTTTAATTATCATCCTATTAATGTATTGAACTTACGATAAGATAAACTAAAGTATGCTAAATACATACACACATATGTTCAGTCTTAAAACTTATAATGTTTAAGTACATGTAGGTATAGTCGCTAAATTTTGATAACAATTGCATAATAATACATATACCTAAGTATTCAAGTTGAATGAAGAAGATCTCAATGTGCTCAGAATCTCAGTGTGACACGGTCACTTGAATATTAATAAAGTTGAAGGCCTCAATTTGTTTGTTTAAAAAATAATAGTTAATATATTGATGCGTTCGTGCAATGCAATTGCGAAATGTATTTCATATTGGTAATTCGCATGTAAAACATTTCAATAATTTGTTCTTGGTATTCAATCAATATTTATAATAGGAGGCTCGTTCATCAGCGCAATTATTTCAATTGGTTGTTGGCAGGAGGTGCGTCACGTCATTGATAATTTTAATAACCTCATTCAGCAGTTTTAAATTTTAAACATATGTAAATGTTGTTTATAGACATAGATTTAGCGGTTTCTGATTGTGATACAAACAAATTACACGTATCCGATTTAATTTAGCAATCATCACACATTTATAAAACGGCGGACGATTTTTAAACATATTTTTGTTTTGTCTATTGCTTTTAGCGCTTTAAGGCATAATATTTGATACCAGCAAAATTTCTAGGTCGTGCAGGAAATTATAAATTTATTCACGAAAAAACCCAAATACCTCCAACATTTGCATCAGAACCGTTTGTTAGATTTAAAACAGTTTAATTGTTGGTATATATCTGTTTCAAATTATAATCTGAGACAATTGGCAAATAATCAAACAATTAAAATCGCGCATTGTAGGCAAGTTAGCTTGATTAAATCCAATTGGTTGGCACCAAAGGCTTGTCAGGGCGTCGCCTTCTGTTTATCTACGTACTTGAAGTTTTTGGAAAAATATTTGCGTCATTTCAATTCACTCGTGATTTTGCAATATGGCCGGTATGACTCATTGCAAATACTATTATAGGTTAGTGCAAACAGCTTCTCATCAAATATGTACAGGAGAATCTAATCGACAAAGTACACTAACATTTGTATCCAGATAGTAACTTGCTTATGTAACATTGCCTTTTATCTACGATGTATGCACTTACATACCTACAGTTTCTTTTTTTAGTATTTTTTAAAAACTGTTACAATGTCGTAAGGATTGCGCAACTTCTAAGATACAAAACGCTGTATGTAGCTTGCCAATTTTTTTATTTTAAAAATAACTGTTAAAAGTACTGTTTCTGCACAAATTGAAATATTTGCCTCAGAATGCTGGAAATAAATAGGCACTATAGTTACCCTAATTTTATTTGGATGCCAATATTTAAGAGTTGATGGTAATCCCAATTTTGATAAAGTAGATCTACTCTAGATATCTAACGAGAATTTGTTATTTTTCTGATTTTTTCATCCAATCTCTATTACCTAGTATATAGTTTATACTTTCCCAAACTTTGGAAACCTTAATCTTGCCAAATTAGCATTATAAGCATTATAGTTTTTCTGATTCCTTACCTTTCCAATATTTAAAAACCCAAGGTATCCTTCTCTAACATGTTTCTAGATTTCCTGTTCCCCAAAAAACATGTATAAGGTTTTAGGGAACTAGAATTTGGTCAAAATTGTTACTTTAATCAATCTGTTTGTTTAGCGTTATTGTTTATAATGATATTGAAAGGCAACATTATTTTTTGTTGTATTTACATACAACACAAACACACACTAATAAAGATACTATTGTTAAGAAAATGCAGACTTGTAAAAACCAAGATATCCATTTGGCAAGTACTTGGTACGTGCCAAGTTCGACGTAGGTCCCCGTGCACATTACCTACGGTTGTGTTGTAATGTTTCGCAAGAGCACAATCGCCGACACACTTAAAAATAGCGGCTGCGAAAGATGAAAGGTCTTTGGAAACATGCATGAATGCCGCCAACATTGCCCACAGTCTGGGCACACACCCGTTTTACCGACCAATGGCGGAGCCGGCAGCCGGCTGGTCACATGCCTGCAATTATCGATCTTAAAATAACCTAACCCGTTTTTAAATAACCTTGACTTTTAAGTTCGGTTTCACTGGCGAATTCGCAAGGGTGCGACCGGTCAGGACATGTTGTTAGACGCATTCTTTTCCGTCGAATATTTCCAGTTTCATCGATTTTGAAATGCATATTATTTATGTGTATATTATCGAACATGAGCGTCCGGTTTGGTTTCGTCGGATAATCTTTGTGGCTTTCCATGCGGTAAAAATAGATGGAAATTTGCAGTCATGGACTTGATCCCAAAATAAGCAATGTTTTGATGAATTCGGTATAATGTAATGAATAAAATCCCAATAATTATCATATATCCATCATAGATAAATATGAGACGAACTATAACTAATTTGTTTAATTTGTTTAATTACTGATTAGGGAATTACTAATTGATGCAATGGTAACCGAGTTACATCTACAATTTCGTTAGTGATTGTCCAATCCAGCAATTTTTTAAATTATTTTTCAATTGACTGAATAACAATTATTGCAATAATAATTGTATACGTATTTTTTCACTGAATGTTGGTTGAATCGAAGGTTATTTAAATAAATGGTAGCAATTTGTTGTTTTTTAAAAATATCGTTTTATCTTTTACTGTAGCTTTTGCAAACAGTTTCGATTTCTTAATATTTACTCTATAGGTATATGTATTTATTTAAAATGGCATTTGCTTGAATAAATATGAAAAATACATATATTTTAAGCTGGAAATTTGGCGGCGAAGGAATATTTTTCATGATACTGAATGAATTAGATTTTTTATGCCTAGGTGTTTATTACTGTTATTACGAAAATATTTCGTATTTTTGTATTACGTAATTTTAAATATAAATTAATAGCAAGTAAAAATTTCACCTACATATTGAAAATTTTGTAAGCATAAACAATACGCCAATTATTTTTATTTAATAAATTAGTTGTAATCAAATATGTATTATGAAATCAGGGGTACCTACCTATGTAGTAACACAAACCTGCTATCAAATTATAAATAATAGTTAAACAACAATTATAAATTCAGTAGATAAACTTTTATTATTACCCATTGATATTTGACTAATAAAGTAAATAAACTTCACAGTTATTTAAACATGCAAGTCTAATTAGGACTACCATAATAACAAACAGATGAACAGTTGCAGCGCTTATAATAAATACAATTTATCACTATTATTTTTATTTTCTAATCCATGTATTAAATAAATTGATTTTCCCCTCTGGATTATCCTCCCCTGGAAATGTGAAATAAACAGGTGGGCAGATCTCGACGCATGTCAAGTAAGCTTTAGGTCCCAAACAGTCTGAAGGCAATACAAACGATTCAGTTTTCCAGATTTCCCGAAGTGGCGCATGAAATTTTATTATTTCTATAAATTAACCACTGCGAAATTTAAGTGAATTACTAATAGTAGGTACGTGTTAATTCCCGTTTAATTGGCTTAACTTCCGTTTTGTAGTTTATTTCACGGTTTATAGATCGCATGAAAAATTCTGTGTAAATTGTGTCATGTGGTTTCGTAATTTTACTGGAGTTCAATGTAGGTTAGGTTGATGTAGATATTTATGTGAGGGGAAATCATTTTAAGTAATAATTTTATGGATTTGCAATTGATTAATCAATTTTGAAGTGGGTATATATCATTAATAGATAATAATTCTAAGACATACATGTGTTGAAATTCTATTGAATTTTTTAATTAGGTACCTACCTAAGTAATGAGAATATTATCAATTAGGTGTACCTATATATTTGCTATATTAAAAAAATGAACTTCATTTAATTAAGTATTGATATTGATTCTTCTATAATGATGCAATATGGTGAATAGGTATGCATCTATATAAATGCGTACTTTATTTACAATTAATGATCTATGTCAACTAAATAAACCATAAATAATGAATAAAATAACGAATAAAATAACCTACGAATAGACCAATTTTATTGAACCACAACAATCGTTAAATAAGTTGTTTCTTTTCTTAGAATGTCTAAAAGTAAATTTATGAGGTAGATCATTTATACATACCTGGAATATTTCCAAAAACGCATCTGAATGGTCAAACAAAAATATCTCATAAATATTACGTAGTTTCCTACATCCTACTCAACTATATGCAGGAATAACATTATTAGAATGACCATCATTCCAATCGATTAATACCGATATAAATCATCCCAATGATAAAATTAATATTTCTATTATTTTGTTGGTAGTTAATTTTTTAAATTTAGTTTCTTAAAAGTCAATTATGTTAGGTACTGATACATCATTTAAAAATGACAATAAAACAATTTTACATTCGAAACCTAATGATTTTGGCAAATTCAAAATATTGTCGCCAAAATAACAAAATTTGCACTTTTCCGAATAAAATTACCATTTTTTTCCTAAATATTTGCGCATAAGCTAAACAGTAGGAATTAAACAATTGTTCGTTTTCCATTCCAGACGATTTTTTTTCAGGCGCCAAATGATTGTTGATAAATTAAAACGATCGATCAATTAACTATAACAATACGGAATATCCCGTTCAACTTGTACATCAAAGTAATTCTCGGTTTGTGTCACGAATGGAATTTTTAACAACAATAGGATAAAAGATATTTATGTAGTTTTACGCATCCGGATAATAAAAAACATTAATAGACTATTCATCATCTATTTAAACTCTCAATCTATAATAATGTAATGTTCAAGATGCGATTATAAACTGATCTTTATAGCATATGCAAGAAATTTTCCATGACTTTTTTTAATAATTAAACAGATGCTATATCGTTTTAGGAACTGATTTTCAAGTTAACCTCTACATAACATTTACATTTTATCGTCGAATCTAAATAGAATCACGCGGTCTTTCATTAATTTTCCATAAATTTCTTGTCAACTCATATTTGTTCGTACTTTCCCAAAAAAACCATTCGGTTAAATTTATGATGATCGAACATAAAAAATTCAAAATTTTGATACCTATATTGGTAAATAATAACACTTAAAGTACGTCAAAATAACGTAACGCTATATTTATTTGCGTAAATTTGCATTAACTCTCTATTGTTCAATTTAAATTGAACATTTTGCGACTGAAATTAAAAAACCAACCAGTTGAAATGGCCAAAATGAACGTGTAATTTTGATTTATTGTAAATAAACGATTTTAACAATTTTTTATTAGTAACAATTTATTACTTCAATATATTCAAGGATGCTCAAATTTATATTAATTTGTTATATCTAATTGGTTATACATTTCATATCAATTACTCGGACGAACTCAAATTATATAATTAATCTAGAAAGGCCTTATGATATTAATTATTTACATTTTTTAACGCAGCTGTAATTATGGATCCTGAGGTAAGAATTTAATTTATGCCGAAAATTGATTATCGATATTTTAATGAAAATTAGATTTTTCTATATTATTAACGTAGGTCTGTTAATTCATTGATTACTATTACCTACTATATGCAAGTATGTGAAAACAAATTTACGTTTCAATGAAACTGCATTATGTAGAAATAGTAATTGTTATTTCGAAATTCAGATTCATAAAATTCTATTGAATTAAGTACTACATTAATGTCGATGCGTGTTGTAAATCTTTACTATTTGCGAATTTTCAATCTTCATCTGGAAAAATTCCTATAAACTAATATATTTTTCAAAACAAATCAATCTAAATAGTGCATCTTGAATTGGATTAAATTCGTAATAAAAATCATTTGAAAATTACACTGTCACGTTCATGTTGTTGTGTCTGTGCAATTTCGACCAATCTACTTCAAATATGGAAAAATCTAATACTATTTTATTACTTGGGATTTATTTTCTTATTTTATTAACGCAAGCAATCTAAGGAACTTGAAGCTAAAAAGGAAAACGATCCTTCTCATGCTTCCTCGAGTAATTCAGATAGCATAAAATCTGATGTGGTAAGTGTTCTTGTTTGACTTCTTTTCCTCGGGCAAGTACTGCATTATGATGAAATACGAAAGTTTATTACAGTATACATAGAAGACTTGTTAAAAAAATATATCTTCTCGAGTTCGTTTAATATTTTGATTTTAGTATCTACTAGTTTTTACTAGACAAAATTAATTTTAAACACATCCTTTTAACCTCTTAAATATCCTAGATTGATCAGATAAATGCGTCAATACAAATACACATTGTTTGTTTACTGAGAAGTTAATAGGCAAATTGTTGATCTAAGATTCTAATGGAAATTTTGATTACAGTTAATACCTTACAAATATTATTTCCGTTGGTTTTCCTCGAATTTCATTCAAAAATTATCAATTGTTAGAACAATTCATTAAGTACACATAGTACCTCTTATAGTATAATCGTATTAATAGATAAATTAGGAGTGAAGTCCCAACTTCATGATAGAACCATAATAAACAAGTCAATAATTTGTACTGATGATAAGATTACTCCACCTGTAATAAAAATTATGAAACAACCAATCAATCCCATCCAACGCACTACATGCCCTACATTTTTCTATAGATATTATCTAAAAACCCTCCCATATTGAGTAAACCTTGGCGCCCATCGATTAAGCGATACAATAAACAATTTCCTGAGTCATTACTACCCATTTATCAATAACTCATTGACTTGAATTGTACAATAAAGTTATCATTTTCATTTTTCGCCAACGAACTTATCGTTGGCGAAATTAAATCGGCGCGTGTGACGGGGGGAGGTGTGTCCCGCATAAACCGTTTATCAGAAAATAAAAGGAGGGCGGCTGGTTATGTTGTAAACAATTCTTTGCAATAAAATTATTACACATTACATTTATCTTAATATTCCAAACAAAACCATGACCAGGCTGATAAAAATATAATTGACTTGCCATCAAATAGAAGTAGATATCGTGTATAGAAATGTAAATAATGATTATATAAATGTTTCTCTAGGAATAATAAAACTATTAATTAAATATTATTGCATGCGAATTTATGTTTGAATATGAAAATGATTAGTTAAATATCACGTTGTAAGCGAAAACGATTAAATTAGGTAAGGATGATTTAAGATAATAAACTATCGGGCATCTTCTCCAGCTATTCCTTTCGGTCTACAGTAGTCTGTACCTACAAAAGAAGCATGAAAAACTAGAAATACTTTAATAATGATAAAGTTATAAACTGGAGATTTTCTGTCAGAGTAAAGGAACAATATTTCCAGTACCGGTAAATTTAATTGAAATTATTTTCAAGGAAAATCTGCGGTTCAATGAACCTTGTACAAATATAAAATACCCAGAGAGCCAAGAACACATATCAGCGGAAGACACAAAGAATCTTCTATGAGCATTTATTATACTCTTGTCAGCTATAGTCAGCTTTCATAAATCGCCTATTGTTGCTTATTCTGGCATTAATAATTTGCTATCGGCAAAACTAAAATGGCCAACGTCCTACATGCTTCATATTTTAGAACGTGAATCATACTATAAAATAGTCTAGACTCCATGCTCTTATTTTATAGCATGTCTCTCCCATATTGCTTTAGGAGAAATATTTTCTAACAACCATTTGTGCGTCCGTTGAATTTATATTATAAAAATTATTTTTGTTTGTATTCCAATTCTGTCTAAAACAACAATTTAATTTATAGCTACTTTTGTACTTGTAGTATAAACGATAGCAATTTAATTGAAAAATAAGATGTTATGTTGTTTCACTGACTGTAGAGATCTATGCGAATAAACGCAACATATACTTATTGTAAATGATAAGAATTTTTGCTACCTACTAAAAATTTAATTAACATTTTTCCAGACTATGACGTAAATATTAGCCTGATTGTTAACTTATATTAGAATTATGTATTTCGGAACATACAATACATACAATACATTCTTATCTGCTATTAAACCATAAAGTATCTAATAAAAGAGAGCGCCGAGTCACAAGACTAATAAAGTTTTAGGGATTAATTGAATAATCTTGAGCGGAATGTTATCTATGTTTTCTCATAGGAGTTTTCTCATAGGATTGAGGAAAATTTCCTCAAAATAAATAGAACTAAAATTTCTGTGTATACGAGTAGGATAAATGAATTCTTTGTGTTTAACTACATACATATTTCAACTAAGATAGGATTCAACTATAGATTGTATTCTCATATTTGGTTACCTAATTATTGCAGGTTAGGTTCGTTACAGATTTGCGTAAAAATAGCGTTAATTACGTCAAATACGTCAAATACCGTGCCTACGTCAATGTTATTTTTGTCTATAAGTATACTCTATAGGCATAACTATAGAACTAAATTGTTCATTTCCAGACTACATATCTGCATAAACTATTCGCAAATAAAACAATTTACGTTACAACAAATCCGTAAATAACTTCATTAAAAATTATTACGTAAATCATGACAAGCTGCAATTGATTTCAATAGCAATGGAAGAAAAAAAGAATCATCGGATCGTTTCATAGTTGTTTGTTCGTTTAAATACCCTTTTCCTAAATAAACATGCAAAAATGAATGTTAATGGGTTATTACGTACAAAATTTACTCTTTTTTGAATAATTTGGTCGGTTGCAGAATAAAAATTACAGCACAATGAGGTTTTGTTCACATTGCTGACTGAAAAATGTTTTTTTTTAACCTACAGTGCCTTCATAAAGTTTAAGAAATTATAAACTAAAATATATTAATTAAATTGATCGTTGATTTAAAGGATTTCATAAAAACCCGGTAGAACTAACAGGAAATATTTAAGTGCGTTGTTTAAGTATTCTATAATCATTCATTAATAAAATTAGATAATCAAACAATGCATTTAAAGTGATTGAAAAAATTCTTACATCTACCTGATCTACCACTTAATTGCAATAACTGTTATCAAATTGCAGCTTCTTTAATGCGTGCAAACATTATCAGACAATCAATTGAGCATCTTCTCGGTTCTTTCTCTACCCGTTTCTCTCTAACTGATGGTCAATAATCATTTTGTTTATCGCCTTAATGGAGTAGCAATTGAGTACACGTAACAAAGCGTAACTAAATTGATACTCATCATCCAATAAAGTAAGGAGGCCCCGGTTGATGCGAATCGTCCGCAATGGAAACTTTGAGTTTGGTTTTAGAGGAAATAATGGAAATGTTTGGTGCTAAAAGTTGGTAATAATGACATTTAACTTGCGCAAAAGTAGCGAAACGCAACATTAAACGGTTGAATAAACACTTTTGTAGTCTTCTAGAAATATTTTTTTGGTCCTTTTGTCAGTTGTGACCAGGAATGTGTAATATTTTCCTTCCTAGAACAGGCCCCCTTTCTTTTAATTTCTGGGAAGCAACGAACAGTTAATTCCAGCACTTAAAGGTGATATTCATCTAGGGAAATCAATATGAAGTAATAGAATACGACGCAAATAGGAATGGAGTAAATTGGGTTTATTTTTAAATATGCCAAGTGGGTCAATTTAAATAATTAATTCGAATTCTAAAAACAGGATGCAAATGCGCGGTTTTTCAATTTTGAAAATGAAAACTAATTTTCTATATACATTTTCCAGTAATTCTGTTAAATATTACGTTACATTACGAATTAATTCAGGTATAAAATGAAAAATGCAGGAAGGTATTCGATTACACGTATTTATTAAAAACTTTATTATAAATTGTATGTATGTCAATTTAAAATCGAATCTTGACTGGTGAAGTGACAGTGGTGAAAATGATAAAGGTCTCACGTTCAATATTTTTACGATAATTTTAAATTACTTTCGCTCCTTCTTAATTATGTCACTGTGCATATTTGCAATTTTTAATTCCTTAAACAATCGTATTTTGTTAGGTGCAGGTCACTGTACGTATATCGTCTGTTTGTGACGTTAATTTATCGTATACGAGTAGATATATGAAATTTGTTTAACGCCTTCAAAACAAAAAATATTTGTTATGTCCTTAATTTGTAAAGAGTAATTGGTTAAAAATAATCGGTGCATTTTAACAAATAATAATTATTTTTTGGTAATGACCGAACAATTATTTTTTAACCAAGTGTACGCTTAATAAAATACAACAGTACTTATTATAGATTGTATTGATTGGTCAAATTTGTTTAATTTTAAACATTTAGTATTCTTGTCCTTCGCTTTTATTTGCATTAAATAATATAATTTGCATACATTTTTTTTCAATTTTATACATGTGTGCTCTGCAGGAATATTGTGAAACAAAATGCAAATACGAGCTAAATGCATTTTCATTCTTCATATTCTAAATAATGGTGTCGTTTATATTGACCTTTCTTGTTTAAAAAGTGTTCTTGGAAAAATGAGTTTTCCCATAAAAGAACCGCGATCGTGCTAACGTCACACTGCCTGTCAATCGTCTACGCAGACTGTAGTTATCTTATCTATTGCGGGTTCATAAATAACTGACCGTTGTTATCAAATTATAATGTGGAAATGCCGCCGAGATTCCCGAAACTGATTGTGGGAATTTCTGATGTCGAATTCATATAAAAAAATATAATATTATTAAAATTAATGCATGCATATACCCACGTATGTAATATTCATGTTTTAAATGCAACAAGTTTTTTTTTCATTTTAATTTTCATACACTAAAAAATAGAACACTAATTAATAGTAACTTTTTTACTATTTAAAATAAAAGGTTAATTATAATTTTTCCTTGAACTTGGTATTTGGATAGCCACATAATTGAAACAAGTTCAAGCACACTCCAGTTTATACAGATTGGAGCAAGTTTCAAGTTAATTCTGACCATTGTTCAATCCTTTCCAGTAATACTTGTTTGGAACAGATTCTACCAATTATCTCTACTTCATGAACAGAATGTAAATAAAACATCTTATAATTAATTTCTCTTAACCAGGGTATTCCAGGAAACAAGAATTAATTGTATATAGGTAGCAAGTTACACAGAAACCTTGAATTAGCTCCATGGCCAAATAGGTTACGCTGATATTTTTAATCAAGTGTAATTATCGTTCGTCTAGAAACTGTAATAATAGCTATGCTATCGTAGAAGAAGATTTATTTTTTATATAATTATAAATTATCGAGTAAGTAGTACATCATCGGAAAACAATGAAGTATTACGTTTTGGGCAAATATATAGGCTGTGATTTTAAAATTACTTCCAAACGATGAAGGTGCTTTTGTGTATTAATACAAACATAATGGTACCATTTTTAGCACATACAACAAAAATTACCATTACAAATTAGAACTGATTTACAATACAATACAAAATTTAAATCAACAGCATAAATAATTGAAGCATCTTCGATTTTATAATCAGCAAGGTAAATCAAGGACCTCAATATCAAGTTAACTGTAAAATGTACTGTTTATTTTGATTCATGTGCGTTTGATTTGAAATTTTATAGTATTGTCCTAGGTGATGGGGTACTAGAAGAATAATTAAAACCCATACAGGATTTAGTGAAAAGCTTTTGGGAAATATAAAATCAGGATAGTTGAAATCCTAAACAAAACTATTAATTAGAGGTGCATATATTTGCTTATTCATGAGTTCATCTGCAATAAAATAAGCGTGTAAGTGCAAAAAATAATACAAAATGGAAGGTCATCTGAATATTACAAACGCTAATTAAGGAGCGTTTGAAAAAAAAATGAATTCCCCAAATTATGAATTTTCTACTACTTTGAAGAATACGAATAACATTTTTTTATAATCAATTATTGTTGCGATTTTATTATTATATACTTAAACTATCAGAAAATTCTAAACTCTAAGCATACCTAATTATTAAATTAATCACTTTTTTAGTCAATATAGCAATAAAAAATGTTGTAAAATCCGATAATTAGCCATTATTTTAATTCAAGTTTAATTTTGAGGACTTGCTAAATATCCAGCATAAAAATAAGATTAATCATCATCTACTTTAGCATTATTGTCGATTTTGTCTTTGCAGTGTTCGCAAAAACAGAAATATAGGCTTTTATTAAAATGGTTACGTGATGATCAACAGCAGCACTTAATTGTAGATGATCAATAATCAATATCTGCATTGTTTGCTTGCCAAAGTAGATTGTTCTACATCATTCGCGTTTAACGAGCCGTATTAATTGATCGTTTATAGCCTTATTTGTTGAAATTGAGTTTCCATTAATCACATAAAACGAACATAAAAAAAGCAGTAACCTGAACGCGATTATTAATGCGTACTTGATTGAATTATCAAGTACGCAGATTAATTTTTCAATTTGGTTTTGTTTTCAAGTTGTTAACTGTATTAGGGAGCTTTAAAATAAGGATAAAAGCTTAAGAGCCGCCCTGTATAATGTAGAACAAAGTCTATTACAGTGTCACCCGCCCTATACAATGTAAATATCATATCTAAATTAATGATTTTTGATCGATTGTTAAATGATTAATGACACGATTATAGGATCAACGATCATATTGTACATTTCTTGGTAAATTACATCAGTATTCTATAATTATTCACATTCTAAAGTGCAGTTTTAAATAAGTAAATAGACTTATATGTCAATAAATCATTCGTAATAAAGTTCATATTTTAATAGGGTATTTTACTGTTCAATAGTAATAATTTTAGGTAATTCTTAATTCCAGAAAAATGTTTTATCTATGTACATGTAGGTACTTTTATAATTTTATTTAATTATATCAATTTTATGTAAAATATGACAGGTATAGCTAGAGACGCCTCGCGCAGTGATTTTTTCGTGAACCACTTTATGTATCCCATTTATAGTTAAATATGCACGATTTTAAGCATATCTAAGTTACTTTAAATTTCTATTACTTTTTCTACATGCCATTTCCCTATCTATTTCGTCAAATTTGCTAATTAAATGTATCACTGTCGTATGACCGTGACAATGAGTTTTAATATTTAACACAAATTAAACGTTTTCGTTACCACTTAAATTGTAAGACGTAGAACGAATTGATGTATTCCAATATGAACTTGCTAATTCTTATATGACTGGAATCACTAATTTCCTTTTTCTTGTACCTTATTAATAGAGGAAATATTGGAGTTTCGATTATTTTAGTTAAGATTAATATTTAACGAGAGTTAACTCAATTTTTGCTGAAAGATGATTTGCATATTCAGTGCTGAGTCATGCGTTTAATGTGCATTAAAAATCTCCGAAAATTGCGCAATATTATGTAAAAAACGCTTCAAATCACATGGGTTTTTCGGCGATATGATGTAACACGCAAGTATAACTTTAAACGAATCAGACAGAATAGGATTAGACCCAATAAATTTCAATAAAAAAATATTCCACGGGTGGTCAATTACAAACGATTTCTCGCTTCTCTCACAATCAGCAATTTCCACGTTCGCAAGCGCAATGCACATTCCTCAAGAATGCAATTTTACTCTACACATGCGTCCGATTGCACAACTCTTATTGAAATTCGGCCGAAAACGAGATCATTAAACATGCAACATAGGCAAGAATTGCGAAAGCGTATGCGATAGGTAAGGTAAAAACCATTTCAAGCATTCCAGGTGTTCCGAAAACATGATAGAGCCCACCATTTGTAATAATTCCTTATCGAAATAAGACAGTTCCAAAACAACAAGTATATTGGCCGATTCGATGAGTATTTTGGACTTTTTCGCTGTTATTAATTCCCTCATTTCTCTCAGTAATTGGTTTTTCTACATAGATATCTTAATGAATATTTAAGTCTTTTATGAACTAGGTATGCACCATGCAAATAATTCTGGCTTATGAACTAGCTTTTTCTATGTACCAAGTAAATATTTCTGGTGTATGAACTAGCTTTTTCTATGTACCAAGTAAATATTTCTGGTGTATGAACTAGCTTCGTTTATCTACCAAGTAAATCTGGCAATGCAGTTAATCTTATTTACAATACCAATTTGAAGGAATGCCAATCAGAGCACGAATGCAGTACCTGCTGTAATTTACAAACAACAAAAAGGAGGCGCGTCGCTGTTTGGCAACGAACGCTTCGGGACCGCTGTGTGGCGGACTCTGCTCTGAAAAGCAACGAATTAACAAAATTATTACCCACGGACTTATCAGTCCCAAGTTCAACCGTCGTGTTCCGTACCTTGTCTCGCTGTCTACGTCACGCCGTTCTAGTAGAGCGCCGCACCGCAAGCCCCGGTTGCGCCTTTATTTCGGACCAATGGGAAGGCGTTCCTTTAACTGTAGTATAAAAACCGTCGGCGATGGTCCGACAAGCTCAAGTTACTCGCGAGGCACGGCAATTAGAATTTTGAACGCTCGTTCGGTTTTTAGAGGGAAATTTGATCGATTCCGATTCGAGGGTGTCGCGGTGATAGAGTTCTATCAGCTTAATCCTCTGATTAAAGGGTAATTTTTCGGGAGTTTGGTACGATGGGTAAAGGTGGAGATACGTTCATTTCCGACTCGAGTGCGCAACTTGAAACCGGCATCAAAAGAAAAACCGCTCCGTCGGCCGTAAGTGCGATTTTATGTATTTTTTACCTAATTTTAAGTCCGTTTTCTGCGTTATGGCTGAGTACTGAGTTTCCGCACGAAGCAGGCTAACGTTGTGACGTTGGCATATTTACCTGGTTATTGACTACACGGTATTTGATACGCGCGAATTTCCATTATTCCGAGTCAGTAAAAATTGCCGACCCCGGCTGTGACCGGTCGAAAAGCGAATTTGAATAATTCATTTTTAATGTGTAATGGTGCACAGTTATTTTCGATTAAAACTCTCTTTTTCGATTAAATTATGCAAGTGCTACATTATGGGACATACTTGTTTAGAAAGCATCAGAATTTTTGCAAATATTCAATAATTTCCCTCGATTAATACCCAAAGTGTACGGAGCAACCAACGTGTAATAATTTAAATTGTTTAATGTGTTTTGTACGTATACCCGGCTTCAACGTAACAGTAATAAAAATTTTAACGCGCCTATTAATGTTTTGAGCAGTAAAACAATTTCAAAAAGTTGTTGTTGATCCGCGTTTGAAATCCGCGGTTTCTTGGGCTGCGAGTGTTGGTTTTGAAAGAGAACCACTAGAAAACGAGTTTCTTTAATTTTATTCAAACACTTTTAATTGCAGCTCAATGTGCTTCCGCGTGGTGCACACCTTTATGTTCGCAACACACCCATGCATAATTCTTTTTTTAACCAATAGTTGTGTGCTCAGCTAAAAGTAATTTGCTGGTCATTCTCCGGGCTTGTTATTTTTCCGGGCTTGTTAAATAAAACAAATTTCGTTGCTATGCCTAGGTATATACTTACTTCCGTTAAAATTATCTGGTTATTATGAAAATTATTTGGAACTATAAACAGGAAGAATGGATAATAGAAGTAGAACAATTTGAATTTTTTATTTTTTTTATTCAAGTAATTAATGTATTTTATTTATTTAGGCTTTTACTGGTAAATTGGCCTTTGCTATTGCGGCGGCAGCGTTGGGTTCATCATTTCAACATGGTTACAACACAGGGGTGCTCAATAATCCTCAACAGGTAAGGCAAAAACTACTCAAAATAAATAATTTATTTATACTTTGAATTAAACCCGATTGAACCTTCTCATTTATTTTTTTTGTCTCAATACATAGGTGTAAAAATCATTTTATAGTTAATTCATCAATGGAACAAATATTTGATTCTGTTTAGCGAGATCCTGCAAATATAAAATGCAATTAGAACAATTAGAACAACATTTTAGTTAGCATAAATAACCATAAAATCTTTCCTAAATTAACATCGTCGTGTTATTTCTAGCCGTGATTCGTTGATTGTACAAGTCCCATTTTTTAATCAAATGATATTGCTATAATCTTTTCATCAAGTTGATACGAACGGAAATGTTCTCGTTGGGATTTTACTTACTTATAGAAACGTCAGAAAGATTAATTAAATTCATGAATTTAAACGGTTCAATTTCATATCCGAAAAAAGCCTACGCTTTCCAGCCTCCGCTTGCGATAAAACAAGAGGCCTTCGGCTTTTCGCTCCCGCTATATTTAGACATACTTAGACTTCGAATAAAGTCAACGACGGTTTTAGAACTAAAACAAATACCCTTCCACAACCGTTAATACGACAATATGTGAATTGTGAGGCTATTATTCCGGCTAATAATGCATAAAAAAGGGGCTATTATTCGTTTTCTGAAGACCTTGTTTCTTTAAAAACCTTGTTCAATAGAGGTTTTATGCATTATTATTGAAATCACATTGCAGAAAAAATATAATTAAACTTGCAGTCAATGCCAATACAAGTTTCTCACAAAAATAATAAGTCTTTGTATTCATTAAAGGTAATTGTTAAATATTATATTCACTCATTGCTGTAAACAGGGTGTTTTTGCCAATTATGATGCGTTAAATTTAGATAGTAATAGAGGAGGTTTAATTAGGAATTTTGTCGTTCATTCCCGCCTGTTGAGCAGGCAACCAATTAACCTGCGCTCCTGCCTACAGGTGGAGGATTTTGGATCATAGAAAATCATAATTTCTCTTTTTTCTTCGTTAGCCTCATAGAGTAAAACCGTGCATTTTCTTTTCAGGTTATTGAAAGTTGGATCAAAGGCAGTATGACGAATCGAACAGGAAAAATTCCGACTCAGGAAAATGTTACATTCGTATTCTCTTTGATGACCTCAGTGTTTTGCATAGGCGGAATGATTGGAGGAGCAACTACAGGTAAATTGATTTACAATCTTGAATATTGTTTCCATTAACTTCAAGAAGAAGCAGGTATTTTTGGGAGAAACAAAGTGAAGTTAACGCGTGATTGTCTTCTTTCAGGACTTGTTGCTGACAAATTCGGCCGAAAATTGGGCCTTCTACTCAACAACATACTGGTAATTCTCGCTGTTATCTGCGAAGCCTCGTCCAAAGCCCTGACTTCGTACGAGCTAATTATATTGGGTCGTTTCCTCATCGGCGTCAATTCCGGTCTGAACGCCGGCCTGGCGCCCATGTACTTAGCAGAAATATCGCCGATAAACCTTAGAGGAGCCGTCGGCACCGTGTACCAGCTCGTCATTACCATCTCCATCTTGGTCGCGCAAGTTCTCGGCTTGAAGAATATTTTAGGAACCGACGATTTGTGGATCACGCTGCTCGCCATGACGATCGTTCCGGCCATCTTCCAGTTGATAACTCTACCGTTCTGTCCCGAGTCGCCCAAGTTCATACTCTCGTCGAAGGGCAACGAAAACCAAGCCAGAAAGGCGCTGTCGTGGTTCCGAGGAACGATGGACGTCCACGAGGAAATGGACGTGATGAAAGCCGAATCCGAGGCGCTCAAACTGATACCCAAAACCACCGTTAGGGAACTCGTCACGAACAGCACCTTGAGAATACCTCTGATCATTTCTCTTACTGTGATGATCGCCCAACAATTGTCTGGAATCAACGCCGTCATGTTCTTTTCGAGCACCATCTTCGGTATGGCCGGTCTGACTGGCGACAGCCCCACGTACGCCACCTTGGCCATGGGCGGAATCAACGTGATGATGACCGTGGTGTCCTTGTTCCTCGTGGAAAGGGCCGGAAGAAAGACATTGCTGCTTGTTGGTTTTGGTGGAATGGCTGTTGATACTCTTCTACTTACCATTGGAATGCTCTTTGCTGTAAGTATCTACTCAACTTCTAGTACATCTATCCATGATCTACATGTACAGTTCGCTGCGCGAGCTCGATTTGTGAGTGCATTTAGTCATTTTCTGTGATTTGTTGCAGCATACCGGATCAACGGCCGGCATCTTCTGCGTTATCTTCGTTCTAATCTTCGTGGTGATGTTCGCTATCGGGCCTGGTTCCATCCCGTGGTTCTTGGTTTCGGAATTGTTCAACCAATCGGCGCGTCCCACTGCAACTTCGTTGGCTGTTTGCATTAACTGGACGGCGAATTTCATCGTCGGCTTGGCCTTCTTGCCGTTAAAGGTAAGCACGATTTTTTTGCTAACCTCGAGTTATAGCGAATTTTCGGTACTTAGCACATATTGTTCTATTATTTACTAACCTTGAGGTACTAGAAAGCGTACGGTATTTTTAATTTTGTTGAGTTAATTTCGGACGTGATTCGGATTGAATTAACAATTTCTTCCATTTAAAGTATATTATAAAAGTGCTAAATTAAATATGCATAGTTGTTAAATCCGCGATCAAGGTTGTGTAGTGGAATATAAAATTTATTGTAATGAATTTCTTATCTCTTACGTAGGCTTACACGGTTGTTAATAATTAATAATTTCGCTTGTTCAGTTAAATGAAACTTTTAAAATCATTTTTAAAATTTTTAAATTTAAATAAAATCATTTTTCATTTCAGGATTCAATCGGTTCGTACGTATTCTTAATATTCTTCGTTCTGCAAGTGGTTTTCTTCGTGTTCATCTACAAGAAAGTGCCGGAGACCAAGAACAAAACGTTGGAGGAAATCACGGCCATGTTCAGGCAGCAGTCCTACCAGTAAACTAACCAGTATAACCATGTACCTTGTATAACTTATATGCGTGTTGCATCGTGACTGATAGAACAGTATGTAAATACTTTTAATGCAAGAGGAAAAATAGGTGGGTCAATAGCAACGAACATTGCGATGGCGGCAACTGAAACGAGACAAAACCGAATCCATGACTTTTCTAATTTATGACAATAAATTTGAATTTATAGTTTGTAGATAACTTTTCGTTTCGGTTGTCCTCGACGGATTGATAAGACTGTTTAACCAAACGTGTAGAATATAAATTACTTAAATACAATTAAATCCTTAAAATTCTGAATCAGGATAATTAAACAAACTTCAATCTACTTAATTATTGAAGATTTCTGGGCTGCTTAATTTCGGGTTGGGGATATTTTGGATGAGCTGTTAGACAGTTGCTGTGTGGCTGTACCTATTTTGAACATTCAAATGGTGAACTCAATATTTTAGCTTCATGTTAGTTGAATTCGAAATTATTTATTTTTGATACTTGGTGTGAATAATGAGCTCCAGAAGAACTGGACAATCGAGTTCATAGCGAATCTCTCCAGTGATTCTAGTTTTGAATGACACTATTGTATTCTAATTGATTGGTTTTTGTGAAAAGACAATTAAGTTTTATAAGTGTATGCTGTTTGTTCCTAATTCAATTGAAATTTATTCGCGCAGTGTCATTAAGGAATTTGCGGTAATAGAAATGCTAGATTTTCGCAATCTGATCGAAATTTTTGCACAAAATGTATGAAGCAATAAATCGAATACTCCATTGAAGATTTCTATAGCCGCAAATTCCACGAAAGGAAAACGTTTTGTGATCATATCATTTTCATTGTAAATATTTTATTAATTTAGTTTTGTACAGATGTGTTTGTGTTTCATGTTATTTAAAATTGTTTTGTCCGTATATAGATTGGTGCAGTTTGTTGCACATATTGGAGCATCTGTTGTACAGATTCAGTGAAAGACATTAGTAGGTATTATTTATTTATTAATTGATGCATGTTTAGTTTTTTAGTTAAATTGTAAATAGTTTTTTTAGTATATTTTGGAGATATTATAACTAAATTATTTACCGTGCTGGCCGCAGTAAAATCGTCTCTTGTGTTGTATTATGACAATTTGTGAAATTTTTGTTGGATTTTTTGTACCTAAGCAATTGATTGGCTAGTCGAAATATTACAGTATTTTTCAAAGCGACCATAATTTCAAACCAAATTGCATTGCTCGCAAAAATACTTTAGTAAATTCAATAACAAGTGGCAAATAATACTTCTTGCTGTGTAGTCAACGTAGATTCGATGTAATTTAGAAAAAAAGTGACTGTATTTATTTAAATAAAAAACTTATATGATATTGAAAATGGGTATTTACTTATTCTTATCAGTTTATTCGTATCATTTTATCAAAACTACAAACATCACGGAAACCGTTTATTTCGATATATCATTCGATTAATTCGTCTATAAATGTGTAAAAATTCACCTAAAACCTACGAAAATTATAATACCGCAACACATAAAACTTCAATTACAATCGGATTGTCTCACAGTCGGATGATAAATGTTTGAAATAAATGGGACAATTACTCCACGAAACAAAATAGCAGATACCCTTGATAATTCGATTTGGTTCGTTTCTTCATTTGGTATGAACGATCAACCGCCAAAGACTTTGGAAATGACTAGTGCACAGAACACAGATTCTCGTTTTTTCACAAGAAGTCTTCAAACTCTTTGGATGTCGCTGTATGAACGTTCTAAAACAAAAAAAAAAACTCACTTAGTATAAAAATGATACCCAGTCAAAATAGCCCAAAAACAAAATCGCTCAAATACAAAATCACCCGAGGTAGAACTCTACAGCTATTTTGTCTTTGGGCTGTCCCATACCATGGGGTAAATGTAACATATTGTCAACATTTTAAAAAATATGTAAAATTGTTTTCTTCCTTTTTCAAAAAAACTTTTTAATACCTCGATTCTTTAGTTTAGGAAGTTGTGAATTTAATGTGGTATCAGCATTTCTACTAAGAGAAAAAATAAAGCCACATTTTAGGATTTAATTTGAACTATTCAAATTTTACAACCGATTTGCCCCAGTCTACCTTACCAGAATCAATGAGCTTTCTTCCTCAAGTAGACTATTGAAATCTTATTGGCGAAAGCTCTACATAATATGTTTGGTTATAAGCTTATAATTTCATCAGGCTTTTTCTGATTTTACTTTGAGAACATTTACACTAAGCTTACCTCTAAACTTGAAATATTTGGTATCGAAAATATTGCCGTTTTCGGTACTGGCGTTAGCAACACCATGGTGTACTGTAGTACCGCTCTCTCTTGAAGATCTAAAGGAGCCCATGGCCCTGTGGGAAGGTGGTTGAACGCAATAAACGTCGTCGCTCAGTCTATAAGAAGTCACTGAAGGCGTTCCTATGGTGCTATCATCGTACGTACTAATATCGATGTCAGTCAAAACTGTAAAAAAATAATTCACAATTTAATATTATCTAGATTGAATTTTAAAGTATAATAAAAAGCGAATGAATATAATACACTTTCAATTACTTTTAAACGTATTTCATTAATAAAAAGAAGTAATTAACCCCTTTTTAAGCTAATCAACGGAGTGAAACGAAGAAATGACTTCTGTCTGGTAGAAATTATTGACCCAATTTAATCGGCGCGTAGAGGTGCATATTTAGAGAAACTGGAGGTGCGCTTAATTGATAATTAAAAAAAATGAAAATTAATTAGAAAAATGTCTATTAAAACCTTATCAGATTCGAGATGCGGTTGCGCAATATTATTTTTCGTTAATCTTTATGGTTCGATTACCGAAAAGAAAGTAATACGGATTGTAATTAAAATGCACTACTTTCTAACTCACTTTGACGCCAAAGACGTGGTTTGTTTAATTTTTACAAGTTATTTTTTTACTAATTACATTTTAGTAATTGATTTGAAAATGTTTCATGATCCTAATTTTTATTCTCTAAAGTATTCTCTGTGTTTACCTCAGCATTTAACAGCTTGGTTAAATAACTAAGCCTGAAAATATAATTTGTATTCGTTTTTAAAGCATTAATTCGAAATTAAACGCTCTAATCTTATTTAGTAATGCTAAATTCTCCCAATTTGATATCTCCAAGATTGATACTCTCACTGTATATAATTATTATGCTCGATTATTTTTGCGCCCCCCATAGAGGCGCCACCACTGCCTAGTTTCAATGTTATTAACAATGCGAAGTAATTTTCTACAAATGATTCACGACATATTGTTTTCTGTTCCTCTTTCAGTTTACATGGTATCTCTTCGAAGGCTTCGCGATTATTGTTTCATTATGCATTGTGGTAGGCGTAATTAATGACAACAAATGCATTTACTACGGCCAGCTGGAGTTTTAATTTCGCCTCCTACAATTCGTGCACCTCATTTCCATACCGAATAATTTACATGTTTAACAGAAGTGTCTGTTAGAATGAGTAAATCGCTGTACTGGGTGGTTTAGATTATATTTGCACCCCTGTAACTCTGAGAAAATAAAATATTCTAAAGATACTACTTATTTAGCATCGTACTCAATTGCAGATAATTAGATAGGTTAACATGCAACAAATTAATTTTTGTCGCAATTAAGACAATTTGTAGGCAGATGTAACGTTCGATTAATTACACACCTAATTGCGTAATGCTTTAGCAAAATTATTGGTTGTAATTAATAAATTTCGAATTTGTTATCGATGTTTTCGAGCGTGTTTTGCTCTACTAATGCCGTTAATTACGGAATCGATTTAACTACAGGGTGTACTAGAAAAAGCGTTGAAAAACTTGTTTAAAAAAGGGATCAAGAAGCTCCATATACGTACGAGAAAGTCTATTATCCAATGTAGATCTCCAGTCTTCTTCGGCGTGAGGCCTTACTCGTTTTTTCACTGTTTCCTCTCTCGAATTAATGTTGTCAGTCACGAATTTATCCACATCTAAAATAAAATAATGATAGATTTTTCACGTCACTTAGGTATAGTTGAAAAATAAAACAACAGGGGGTTTCTCTTACATGAGTTCTGATGTGACGGTACCCAATCATCCAGAGAGGAAACATTGTTGTTATCTCGAGGCCTGTTGCTGTCGTTGTGCGAGTACCTCAGGGCTTTTCTTCGTTCCTTGCTCGTGTACATGCATTCTTCAAGGAGCTCGAACCAGTCTTCCAGACCCTCGGACGATCTGAGGTAAATTTTTCCATCCCTTCCCAGCGATAGGGCAACTGTAAAGAAACAACAACTTATCATATGCAAATATTTACATTATGAGTCAATTTTACGATTTCTTACGAGTTATCGTTATGACAATTTTCTCGACTCGTTTCTGTTATTTCCATTTATCGATTACTCGTAAAATTACGGTTGTTATCGATGTTTTGGGTTTACCAAACCCTTATTTATAATAAATCAAGACAGAAAGGAAAATTCCAGTTGTGTAGAAAAGTATTAATAGAATTTACCTGTGCTATAAGTCTTTTTGTTTTCCCATTCGATTTTTACGACGTCGATGAGTTTAATCTTGAACAAGAATTGCCCCATTTCTGATATTCGATCCGAGCCCGAAGCCCTTCGGAATACGTGCAAATAGTCCTTTGTGAGGATAAAATAACGCTCTTTCCATCGACTGAAGAGTCTATCTCTCTGTTGCCACATAAGGCCTCTCTTTATCACATGTGCCGACTCCTTGCCTAGATTGGGAAGAAGGGACTGCAACGAATAAAAGAAATATGCTTTATTATTTACGAATTTTTTACTAGTCACATTAAAAATAGTAATGGCTATTTCTGAATGCAATACTAAAATAGATTATTAAAAGTAATTAGTCCTAATGACACCGAATTTTCTTTCCTTTGTCGTTACTCATATTACTCATTTTCTACTTCTACTAACTCTTACAAGTACTAAAAAGCTTGTTAGATGAGGAAATATACGTAAATAAAGGTTCTTTGTTCCGTATCTGACCAGATGCAGGGTATTTCTCTGGTTAATCGATAAAACAAGAGTCAAAAGCCATAGTTTCCTTCCGGAAGAAGAGATATAATTTCATATCGATGCTAATTATAATTTACATGAGGTTATTATAATATTTACGTACGTTTATTTTAATTGCTCGGAGATTCAATTAAAGCAATAAAAATTTTGTTGTTTACATTACATTGACATTTAACTTTATAAATCACTAATTGATGGCATTGTGAACGGGTTCAACGTATTTGTATTCATTTTTTTAATATCTTATTGTTAAACCAATGATTTAATCGTCAAGAAGTATTTTTCTGAGTTACATCATTGATGAATCTTTAAGTTTACAAGGGACTGAAAACGCCATTTGGTATTGAATTTTAAAAATTCAACATCTAAAAGCAACGAATCTAGCAGGAATGTTTTACCAGGCATTTCGAGATATTTCACAAAATTAATAATGAATGACAGAAAATCAATAGAAGCAAGATCGAGGAACATATGTGGGTCATGCTCTATCGGTTTCCTGGATACTTGAAAATTTAATAAAAGAATTAACCAACGTTACAGATGAATAATATACAGGAAACGAAATATAGCAACCTAAACCACTCGCTTACTTCTTAATTACTCAATAAAAAATGCGCACAACAATTTCATACACCGCATTACTAATAAAATGTTAGTATAATTAAGTCAGGCTCGAATAATACAGATATGATTAAGCTGCATGAATTTGTGCATGCAGCTGCCTGCACTTAACCTCTTCACTAACAATGACAGACCTCTTTTAATAAAAAAATTACAACGCATCCCTACGTAAAACGAAACTAGAGGCTTCTCGTGTATTTTTTTTTATAATTTTAATACAGTCTGTATAAAATCGACTTGCGCAACCACGATCCTCGATTTGCGCATAAAACTCATTGCAAAGGCACTTTTAGGCGCATTATATGCGTATGTGTCATCTTGTGACGGAAATTGTTGCACGAGTCGAATGCTAATTTGTTGGTGAATTGTCCCCTTATGTGTCCATTTGCATTACCTCGATTTCCGTCGCGAATCGTGTGGTTAAATGTGAATTAGCAATTAATTATCGGTTTGCTGTCCCTGAAAGGTTTATTTCAAATATAGAAACTGGTCGTCAGGTTTTGGATTTGTAAATTTACCGGATTCCCTATATCATTAACATGGAGTTATTGCGTATTAACGTAAAAATAACGTTGCTACGTTAATTTGCTTGCTTCAAATGTCAACTGTACGGGAAATTTAATAGCAGTTTATTGATTTAATTTAATAAGATGTATGTCATAACATTTCAATGACCCAGAATACTGTGTATATTAGATGCGTTTTAGTTATTAATGTGAGTTCTCTTCTTTAAGATCGATTTCAAAAATAGTTGATAGTAGATAATAAATTTATTGGTAAAAATTCCGCGTGGAGATCGAGAAAAATAAAAAGAATTCCTCGTTGAATACCAGACTTTCTCTAATCATTCTAACAGAACCATATCAGCGGTAAAAAGAAAGTCGTTTAGAAATAATAATCGAACAAAATTAATGCATTCGCATGCACTCCACTAAACGGATAACGCTTAAATTGTATTATTTAGCTTATCTTAAGACAACATAATTAGCTTGTTTGTAAAATTTATTGTTGCCAAAGTTCCTTCACCAGCGGCATTGAGTTGACATGTTAATTGAATTTAAACATCGTGGGTTTCGGTTATTTAAACAATTAAATAAGTATAATTTACTCGAGTCGCAAAAATAGGTTTCGGGCAACATTAATTACGATATGTAATTACTAGAGAGTTTTAACAATTTTACCTAAACATATCCCTAGTACAAATACATACATAGTTTATCATTGACTAAGTTTGCAATGAGCATTGATTTTCACATATTAAAATTTATCAACAGATTTCACAATCTTAGAATTTGGTACATACATGCATACGCATTACAATGCCCGAAATTTGGTTCTCAAGAACTTCCATACCCGCAGGAATCGATGTCGACACATCGGTGATGTAACATTCTATTAATAATTTCATGGTTAATGCCGCATCGCATAAGTTAGAAAAGTACATAGACATAAATTCCGAAAAAAAATACAATAATCCTTCCCACGCGCTGCTGACTCATCTCTTCCAGATACACTAGGTTACTTCCTTTTTAGCGAAATTACGATCCTACCCGAAAATTGAATTTATCGAGCGCGGAAATACGAAAATGTCTACGGCCGCTAATCGGTCTCGCATGAATGAATTGAATTTTATTAGAACGCCAAAAAATTACATCTAATGGACGGGCTGGCGTTACGAAAAATAAAGTGCGTGACGTGCTTTGAAAATATAGTGTAGGTTTTTCCGTTCGTCTGGCGCACACGAATGTTCCGTTTGACCTAAGTTATTTATACTATAAAAAAAACTCGAGACGAAATAAATCACACAACGAATTAATTTCAAAGGTGCCACAGCGTGGGGCTCGCAAAGATTACACTCACCTACAATGTACATGTTGGTATAAAAGAGCAGATAAAAATATAACCAAGAGTTTGCATGTCAAAGGACAACGGACAAAAATAAGACATCAGGTAGTTGATCTCGTAAAAAATTGAATGCAAAGGGCATGATTTATTTACGTACAGGCAGACAGGAATAACACGAGACGTGACCAGCGCGACTTTTAAATAAATAAAAAGCCATTGCGCAAGGAACACAAGAATATGTTAAGCAACTCGTATCGACTGGATAATGTGAAAATATTAATGATGGTTATAAAAACATTGTAAACCAAAATTAGGCAACTCAACATACTTCAACGTCATCTACTTGTCACATTCGTGAAAGATACTCGAGTATTCCCTGTGAAAACGTATTTTATTTTCAATTCGAGCATCCATCAAAAATAAACCGCTCGTCCTTTCTGATCGAACAATGCCTACCTGAAATTTCGAACGGTAATCTTCCGGTCAAGTGCTCGCGAAAATGAATATTTTTTGGCGATTGTATAGTGTCAATAATCTTTTTATTGGATCCTCCTTTAATCGAGGATAATTGGATTCCGAGAAGTTTGCTGTTCCAAGAATGAGTCATTGCTCACTTGCTAGTGTAAATAATACCTATGCATGTACTCGAATATTCAGTCGGCGTACTTACGAGAAAACGACTGAGGAATGCAGGAAAAACTTCCGATGTACGATAAATGAAATCTCTTTTACACAAAGGCAACAAACCCAAAAATTTGTGATATTTTTTTATTATACTTTTCTTGTAACATATTTTTCCCAAATCAAAGCAAAATGTTTTAAGTGTATTACCAAGAAAATTTGGCGATGAAAGGAGATTAATAAAAGCTTCTTATTTCCCGCATAATCCGCCTATAAACGAGATATTGACGCAATGATAACTTTCAAATGCGTTTAATTTAATTTGAACGACTATAAATAGAAAAGTGTCTAATTTTTGATTGCATGCAAGTAAAAATCATTGCTTACATAAGTAATTTATGTTATCTATTCAAATATTAACAATTCTTATAAACATTGATTACGCTCAACAACAATTCCCAATATCTATCTAATAATATAAAACAGAAATAAGCGAATGTATTTTGTAAAAGTATCTATTGTTTCGATGTTAAATTAGTTTTACATTACGTTTCACACAATTATCAGCACTAAATATCCTCAACTAGCGTTTCTACAAGAGAGCTATTATTATAGTATAATTAGAGAAACCTACCGCTACCGCAGGATTTAAAAAACCCGTATAAAAATTGGAAATTTCGGTTGATAAGACAAAGCTACAATAAATTTCCTGGTACTGATAAAAACACCTAGGAAATAGCTGATATTGCATTATCATCAGGATTATCCCAATTAATAATTGCGACTCCCAGATAAATTTACAGGATCTACTGATTACAAAAAGTCAATCAACTTGTCGATCCTAATGAAATAGTGGATACTGGGAAACGAAAATCCGGAAAGAGCAGATGGTTACTTTTATCAATTAATAAAATTTCCAGAACCCTCGTTTCCTCAAGTTGCCTAAATTGAAAAAAAAAAACATGAAACAAATTGTGTATTTTTATTGTTTAAAATAACAAGCGTCAACTCAAGCAAAAAAACCAATTACGTGTTGTATGAAGTGATCGTGAAATTTTATATAACAAAATTATATTATTTTTAGCTTAGCAATAAATTTCAATTTGATGATAATTGCTAGTGTTATTGAACCGAGTTTTATTTTATTAGCGGAATAATCGCTAGGTAATGAACCCGCAAATTTTAATAACGAATTAATTATTGATTATGGGCAATATATGGATGTGTACGTTGGACATTTTGGACGTCGTGAGGAATTCGAGTATCGTGTATTTTAGGCGCGTTATTGGTAAATGAATCCAGGAATAGAGGAAGCCGCATCTCAATAAACAAAGGCCAATGCAGTTTTGTTTCTAGGCTTTTATTTTTAACTTTCGAATAATACCAATGAAGCTAATGTCGACAGGACGGTTATTGTTCTCTGCGCTGTTCTATTTTTCATTTTACTCATCAACGGGACTTTTAAAGATTATTTCAATTCGAAAATTTAGTATTGCAGCGTTTTTAGTAACATGTATTAATGGTAAAATTAGTATGAAGTATATTACAACATCTATGCAATACTGATAATATAGATTAACAGGTACATCTGGCGCCATTTATCTAAAAGCAATAAATATCCATTTTATAGAGATGTTTGATGCATATCTACAATTTAAAAATTAGTGGGCACCATAGTATTTCAAATTAGTTTTATAAAACTTCGATAACATTAATATTTTCAGATAAATAATGTGCAACATTTCGATTTCAATTGCATAGTTTTAATAATTTAATTGTTTTATAAATAAATTGCATTATTATTAAATATTTTACACAACACTTCATGCTCTAGCACCGGTGATATATGGCAAGTGTGTTACTGAAATTTGTGTTCTGTAAATTAGGCGAAGGTTTCAATTTGAATAATATATTCCTACGCCTCTTGAATATTACCTACAGACTGCTTCTATGTATATCCACAAGAGTGAATTAAGCAAGTGAATAGTGATGTAGGTAAATGTATTATTCAAAGGATAAGGAGCTTGAAAGCTCCAATAACCACTGCATTAAGACTTACCAAGTATATATCAAAAGGAGTATTACAACCCTTAATTTACGATAATGCCATATAGCCATTAAGCGCAGATATGGTTATGTTATAAGATGTAAGAGCGGGTAATTATTTTTTTATAGATGTAATTTTGTGTTGCACGCTAAATAATAAATATTTGAGACTTTCTAAACAGTAATTATCTCAAAAGCCGAGCATCTGTAAATATTTGTCATATCTCACTTTAGCAAATAACAGTGAAACGTTTTATTTTAAACGCGTACCTACTTTTGTATGTATTACATAATAAAACATTACATAATCAAATAATTGAGCTCGGCTTATTAGCCCGCGGAATTCGATTAAAATGTGTGGAAGCCGAGCAAAAGATTGTGTGAAAATACATACTAAATTCGCACATGCATATCAGATGGTAATATATCGGGAGTATACCGTATTTTTTATACGGTGGAATCCGAGACATTTCTACTGCGGTTATAATGCGAAACGTGAATTGTCGACGATAACGAGAATAAAAAAAAATAAATGAAACACCACACACTAATTGCACCGAAGAAATGCGATATGTTGATTTAATTTAATCACTAAATTATTCAATATATTTGTGCAATATACAATTATGCAATGGAATTGTTTGCGTTCAATTTGAAACTGTTTGGAAAAATTGAGAAAATGTTGTTTGAAAATAGCTGTTGTAAATAATGATTTTATTAAATTCAATATTAGCCAATCATTGACTAAAGTATTGTATAAATTTGAACATTTTTAATAATCTATACGATAAAAATATTATGTCTCTGTACAAACATTGTGATTAATTAGATTAGAGTAATGAATGAGCGCATAAAATTATGTACTAATTAATTCAAAATACCTGCCTACCTACTTTTAAAAGCACACTTTTTTTGTAAATTTATTACATGCATAAGCAAAAGTAAGTTTTTTATTGCTTTTGAAACGAAATCGTTTTCACGACGACACGACACCTATATATTAAGGTGAAATTAGGTTTTTTAGCGTAAAGTGTCAATGGCCCCTTCAGCCGTTTCTATATCTATTTGGTTTATATGCTGCTCTGCTCAGAACGCGAGCGAGTAAAAACGGAAAGTTAATGGTCGAGCATACGATAAGAGAAAAATCAATACATACTCCTAACTTGTTGAAATTTTAACAAGAAGGAAATTCGACAGACATACATTTCTACTTATACAGACATCTAAGTTTAAAATCATTGCACTCGCATTACAATGTAGGTACACTTCAATAAAATATAGTTTATGCTAAACATAAGTCTAATCGAAAACTGTAAATGATAAGGAGTAAGTACACTTATTTACTTTTCCCTAGACTAATTTGAAGTAGACAAATTAGTTAGTTGATATTTCTGGTGTAATTTTATGTATACTGTGAACATAGCAACAACTTGGAGTAATGTATTTCGAGTTTAAAGAAAAATTCTTTAGACGGGTACTATCGAATATCTGCTCTTCGTCAATGTTATTGTACTTAGTATGCAATGGTACCCATGAAAAGTCCACAGGATAATAGAATAATAACTTTCATTATCACCTTCAAGCTAATGCATTTGAAAACAGATCGAATGGTTGATGAAACCCGGTAGATTAATTACCGATTGACCGGGAACGAACATATCCGTTCTCAATTAATGCCCTCTTCGATATGTTTACATTCTTCATCTAATGCGTCTGGTGAAATTCATATGCAAATCTGAGTGGGTTAGTGAAAGAGTGCGCTTTTAGTGCTGTAATTTCAACGTCGAGGGATCAAAAATGTTAAATAGTTACAATTTGTTTCAAGTGCCGGTGAGTCATTGTTGTAAGAACATAATCATCTTTCAGTTCGCTACCATGTTTGCTTAATGACCAATAAACGGGTTTACGTATTTGCGATTCGTCAAGGTAGCGTATGGTTGGCTTTTTTTAAATTTAGCGAGTTTTTGCAATTGATTAGCGTGTCAGCCAATGATGCACTTTATTAGAGACAATAGGAGCAGTTGATTCGCTGGAATTTTTTCGCTCTTTGCGAAAACGACGTGATTAATTTTAAATCTTTCAGCGAATCTCCGTATTCCCCAAATTATTTTCGTTTGATTGGGCAACTTATTATTCGAATTCAACGTTCTTGATTTTCGATGGTCATTCAAATACCAAGGTGGACATAAAATTAATTTTCTCGAAATAGGGGATTATAAAATCTAGACAAAATTCCGAAAACTCGAGATTTCTAAAAGGCCAAGAACGCCCACGATTTTTTAAGCAGGTAAAATTGTCTACGATTTTACCAATTGCAATGAATTGATGGAAATATTGCAATAAAGTGCTGATGAACTTGCTCGTGATGAAGCATAGAAAAATAGTTAAAATTAGATTTCGGTATCTCCAGTCATTTGCTTGATTAGTTTATTAATAAACATGTAAAACTTATGTATCTATTCAAATTAATTCATTACCTTTGACAGGTGGCATTTTAATAGATCACAACAATTCCTTGGATTTTTTTTAATTGTCTCATTAGATATCTGGTTCAAATTTAATATGAATTTAATTACCAGTTAATTTTCAACCTACCTAACAAAATTTATTTTTTTATGTAGGTAGGTAACAGAAATAAAAATATTGATTACGTACAAGCCTTTAATAAATTCGTAATTAATCATCTATTTGGGCTTGTAGGAGCGTTTTATTTGACAAGTTTAGATGGAAATCAAAAAATTTAATTTCATAATTAGCTCAAGTATGTTACTTTCTAACATTCGTGTTTGATTTGCATCGGGGTTGTAAAAAAAATGGTAAACCGAGCTCACCTGTGTATACTGAGCCCTGAGGATGTTCTGCCCCTCGCGATTGGACCCTTCTTCGTGCCGCAGCATCGCTCTTTCGACTCTGGCCAGCGTGGGCGAATCTAGGATGCCTCCGGCGGGCCGTCTCGCGCGCCCCGGGACGCCCGGGGGATCCTGGTACGTCTGCAGCAACATAACCGGCCACTTGTTTCGGGCGACGCACGACGGGCACGTTCACACTGGGCTTCTGCTACGCAAGACCGACGGGACCAGCTCGACTGCACGGCGACGTCGTCGTCGCAACGGGCGAAAGGAAAGTGTGCAGAACGCCGTGCTCGGACCGTTCGAGATTATCAGTTATCGCGATTTCCTTCAAGTGGTTGTGCGAAATCGAACATGCGCGCTGCACGCCGGCGTCGTCGAAGGAGTTCGAGGAGTTTTTCGTTTTCGTCAGGACGACGGGGCTTTTCGTGAATCATATTCGAGAGAAAAAATTAATTTTTTTATCTGCGTATATCCGCCTACGCGAAAATTGGAATTGAATAATATCGTGTGACTAGGGTACTTACTGACTAAATTTTTATGAATCAAAGGATAAGAGGAAAAAATTTCTATTTACTAATTTCTAAATTTACTTTTTATTCAGTACAATTTGTATTTTTAAAATATAGTCTTTCGAAGCAGAAATTATAAATATAAAAATAAACACTTACCACTTAAATACAGTGTGTCCTGCGTAAGAACAGATACAGGCCAGGGGCTTGTAGATAAACCTAAAATACAGAGTCTTCCAATGAAAAGTAACCCCTTTAGCGAGCTAATAATTTTTAAACGCCTAATCAGAAAAAGATGCGGTTTTTGCAGATATACTTTATTTTGCTATAACTTTTTGTTACAGTGACACAAACATTTTGTATCGCCTGTACAGGGTGTTTCATAAAAATCCCCTCTTTTAAATTCACATTAACCAAATTTTATGAAAAAAGAGATCTTCTTTTGTAGAATAACATGTACAAATAATACATTTTTGAAAATAATGTATATACGTGGTGTTCTGTTTAAAAAAAATTGGTTGCTGTGAATTTAAAAGAGAGATTTTGATAAAACACCCTCTATCTGTAATGCATAATTTCTGTATCACTATAACAAAACATAATAAAATAAAACATATTTGAGAAAACCGCATGTTTTGAGTATTAGGCGCTTAAAAATTATAAGCTCATTAAAGGGACTACTTTTCATTGGGATACCCTGTATAATATAAACCCAATTTTAACTTAATACATACAGCAAAATTTTGAATTATCAACGATTTTAAGTAATATTGATAATGCACATGACTCTATTTTTTAGCGTTTTTCATCAAAATTACAAAGAATTTAAAAAATCAAAAACAATAAAAAAAGTATTATAATGAAATTACCTACTAGATAAACTTATAATTTTTAATTCATCCATCAGGCAAGCAAATTCTGCAACATTTTAAGGGAGCATCATCCCTAATGAACCCTTTAAAATACATCAATTGATTTTCCTATTGGTTAATGCTCTTAGCAAACTCGAAATGTATAACAAATTCGGTTCGTTTTAAGTTTGAGTATTTCTTCACTATCATGGCTCTGTATCGGTTCTCATGCGGAACACCCTGTATTCTGGTACAATTAATAAAATATCCTGGGACATGTGAGATAACTCTTTTTTACAAACGGTCACTATTCCTCTATTGTTTCCATTATAACCATTCTGTTGACGCTGTAGACTATGGGAGCAGTATAAGCCGATATATATTTGGTCTGAATTCCGGTTTCGACAACAATCCGTTCCCATTCCTCTGAAATGGCTAGATTAATTGCCAACAGTATTTCTTCGTTATCCCTAAACTGTTCTCTCCTTATCAACATCTCTTTTAAAGAGCTGTATTCGTCTAAAAATTGTCTCACTTCCATTGTCATGCTGGGAAAGCAGTCACGTATGTAAGGGTAAAGCATTTCCGGAGTATATTTTCTGCACAATTTTTCATATTCTTTCTTCATTTTATAGTTGAAATAGTTTCTACAGCCGTTTTCTACGATTTTGGCCTTTGTTCTTTCAGTTGTGTAGTAAACCAATTTTTCCAGGTGACGCTCTTTTATTTCAACATCCTGGGTCACTGGATCAAGAGCACCAGGATCCAAATTGATATCGTCTTCATCGGGTAAAAAATCGGGAATATTTTTGCAGCTTATTAGTATTTGATTGTTATTTTGTCGCTTGGAGTATTTCTTAAGTAAATTTGAAAATTGTTTTCTCCTCTTATATCCCCCTATAACAATTCGTAATATATTATTTATTAAAACAATAGATTTTAGGTACCTACCTTGTTTGAGACTATTTATAACATTAGTCTGATTCATCCTGATTTTCAGATAAACATGAAGTAATCCACAAAATTAGCAGTTTAACTGGATTTTTAAATCATCAGGTTAGTCTGGATTGTTTGGCTGACTGCATATGTGGATTAGGACAGCAAAATAAAATACATGTAACAGTTGAAAAGTACACCTATTTGATTTCCAAATAATATTTTGTTGAGAATCTATCGTAGAATACTTTATTGGATTTCTTCGTTTGTTAACTGCAATTGTCTTTCGCAAAACAGCTAATTTATGATACTAAAAGAAAAAAGGCAAATTAAAAACCAAAACTGGATAACGAAGCTAAGAAAAGCAGCAATCAACAAATTCAAATAAAGTTAGGTTAGGTGAAGAATCGGTTGACTTATGTCAAATGTCAATATCCTTAACTCATTCTTCTTCTTATTTAGCAATCTCTGCTAATGTAGCCTCACAGACAACTTAATTACAGGCAGGAAATATCATAGACAAAATAAAAAAAATCTTTCTTTCTCTATGGGAAATATATTTTGACAGTTAGTTTCAAGGCAACCAGTATAACATAACGCAATAAATTTACCAGTATTCTACAGAAATTAAGACATTGAACAAATTAATAAGTTGAAATAACTTAATTAATAAAATTATATTAGATAGTTGTTTATATTAATACAAAATCTTCGGCGATAAATCAAATTATGGGAAGTCCTTCTAAAAAATTTTACGGTTTTCCGCAGACGATTCGAAAATATTATTTTGCACTCCTTCAAATTCTTTTAAAAATCACTTCCTGTTAATTAATTTTCGTATTCTAAGATGTGAAAGCTCCTGCTCACTACCTGTATTTTTTTAATAAATTATCTTAATTTCATTTATTTGACCTTCATAATGGGTTAATAGATATTTGTATAACAAAAATCTGAAGCCAAATTTGAATCTTACTGGAATTACTGAACCTATGTTTTCCCATTAAAAAATACCCTGAAGTGACGCCCTTAAAAGTCTCTACTTTTACCTTCTTATTAACTTTATTCTTTTAAAATAAAATTACTTCGAATTTCTTGTAAATACTTTGATACATTATTATAGGTAGGTACTTGAGTTACTTAATATTTTATTTTTATAGTTCTCACATATTTTGAAGCCCATTACAAAATTTAAAAAAACATCTTAACAATATTTTATTAACAAATTATTACCACTTTAAAATGTTCTTTGTTTAAAATACAAAATTTATTTAAGCAAGTTTAAGTTTTTTGGTTTTTATTAAGTAATGCCGGCTTCATCGTGTAGGTACTTTCTCCATGGTCAATGAGTTTTTACGTATCTTAAGTGGTATATACTCTAAAGTGGGGAATCTTTGGTAGAGGTACTATTATCTAACTTTCATATCCATCGCACTCGTAACAAAGTGTTGCATTAAAGGGGTTTTGGTGATAGGATTTTGTGTTACACCTATTATAATACCACCACTTTAGTGATGTTTCGAACGTGTTTAATTATTTTGGGTGCTACATTAGTTCACTGTCAAATTAAATTAGGTAAAAATATTTTTTATTTATGTATCTAGTTTGAATGAAAGTATTTCCCACCCTTAAAAATACCAGCAAAATTTCAGCAAATTCGTGCTAGTTAACTTTATAGGATTGTAATTGGTTAGTAAGTATAACAAAGTTCCTTTGTTATATTTTGGAAATAGAAATTCCTATTTTATTAGTATTATTTGTTAATATTAAGAATAATTAATTTTGGGTACCTACATATGTAAGAGGAATTGAATTTGTCTAGGAACCTTCACCAATTATTTAAATTTACAGATTTGTTTAGACGAAGAAAAAAATTATAAATAGCTGGATATTTTTTCAAAATATTAAAATAAATCAAATAGAAAGTTTCAGTGCATTTTTTTATATTCAAAGTTTAATAATACTATGTAATTAAAATGTATTGTGCTCTCCATTTCATATACCTAAATAGTAGATATAATATATAGATAATATTTAATTATTAGTTAAGTAGTGGCGAAATATCATAAAATATTATACAAGCAAATTATACAGCAATGACTATTTAGGATATTAAAACACCCATACATGTAGGTGGAAACGCCAAATGAAATAAATTCATTATTTCGGTTACTGTACATATTTAAAGAAAATCCCGAAACATGTCAAATTTTAATTATAATTTGACATTCCTCAACGTCAAAATGTAAGCCCTATCTTCAACCCCCTTCGATTAACAGTTACAACCCCTATTTTTTTAAATGGGAAGTATATGCTTGTGATATGTCGTTTGAAAGATATCTTCATTCTCTATTCAAAAATGTTATCCGTTTCCACCTATATTTCGGTATGTATGGGTGTTTTAATATCCCAAATAATCATTGCTGTATAATTTGCTTGTAGATTGCAAAGTTTATACGGTGTGTTTTTTAAACTGTATGAAGATATTTCTACCTCCACATCAGTTCTTCTTCCAAACATAAAATTTTCTCTACATAGTGAGATATGTTAGAATATTTGCATCACTCGTGCATAAATATGACGTTAATAAATAAGGAGTTTGACTTACAGCGTCCTTACATAAATCCTTCAGAGGCTCGTTTGGTTGTTTTCCTTTCTTCTCTTGAACTAGGATGTATATTTTTTTGACGTCGCAGTATCTCAGAAGTTTATCCAGCAGCGCTTTTCCTACTAATTCAGTATCGGTTATAAAAATCGTGCTGTCGAGAAATGTTTCCGAAACGCTGTCGGTAAATGCGATTTATTTATAAGGAATATTTAAGTTCGAATGTCCCATTTCTCCATAAGTTCTTTGGTAGATGTTTAGAAATAGACATTTTTTGCATACCAACATATATAGGGTGTAAGAAAAAGGTGGGACTTAAATTACACGAAATCATCTGGGGTTAAAGTTGAGTGTGTTGGACCTATAATGTCCAAAATGCCATACAAAACATATATAATTAGGTATAATTAACATCGCATAAGATTTTCATTTCAAAAGATTGCTATGTACATTGTGCACTGTATAATCACTCTATTTGTTTTTGATGAATTTTAAAATTGTTCATTAGCCCTAGAGTTAAATAAATTAAAATTATTACTGAAACAAGGTTAAACTGATTAAAACTATTTTACATTTCTTCTATAAACAATGAAAAACAATTTCCTTCAAATATTTGGTACATACTTTAGCAATTTAGGAAAGACATTGGAAGGTCGAACTGAAATAAAAAATGGGGGAGAATTACCATGCAAATAATATAAGATTTGTGGAAAAGTACCTAATGATTTGAATATTAATTGTCACTTAAATATTGACCTATTGAAATATTATTTAACCAACGGCCTGGGCACTAAAGAAATTAAATAATTAACCAGTTTGCTAAGTTACTATATTGTTTTTAAAATATTTCTATAATCCACTAATGTTCAAAAATATTAATGTTTTTAAAATATTTTAAAACTATTGCTTAATTTTGTTTATACCTAATTTTAATTAGGAAGATTTGTTCTAAAAATAGTCTTATTTAAAGAGGCGCGCGGTATGTAGTGTACATTACAGGTACATTAATTTTGTAACACACCTGCATAACCAATAATAAAATTCATATTTTAAAAAAACCTTGCAGTTTAGGTACTTAAGTTACGAATATACTAAAATTTATTTACATAATTTTTAATATTTATGAATATTTGCCAATATTTTTTAATTTTTAATAATTATTTATTTATTATTCGCCAATATTTACAGTCTATTACATTTCTAGGTGTATAGCTATAGTCTTAATAATCCATAAATTTTAACTTCCTGACCTAAACTTGATTATTTATGAATTTTATATTATAGGTAAAAAGAATAGGGAGGGTCCCAAATAATCAGAACTTAAAAGGCTCGCAAAATATACATACCTACATAAAATAAAAAATATTCAAATGGTCAATCGATTACCAAATATTTAGAAGAATTTACTCAAGTCTTAACGACTTTTACAGAAGCATTTTTAACACACATTCTTCAACGCTACACTGCATGTCCTACTAATATAGGAATTTAGAATAATCAAGTGGTTACATAAACGTTTGACACGATTGGAGAAGATATAACAGAGTCTATTATATTATTTTGGAAGAATCGTTATTGTAAATTTATTATAAGTAATACATTTTGTAATTTGCATTATAATTATTACAAATAAAATTAGCAATTACAAATAAATTTACCTATATTCGTTATGCATGACTCATGAGGAATTATTATGATACAAATAATTTAGAAAATATTTGGTAAAAAATATGAAACAGATAGAAAGTGTTTTTTATCTCCTCCACATCTGATTTGGTAAAATATAGTTGCGGGTACGCTTGGTTGTCTATCCACCAGACTCAGAAAACATTACTATCTTACCAATAGGTACTTATGAATCTTGTGAATGTTTCAAAAACCATCATATAGTGTTAAACGTATAATTTTTTCCAGAGAAAATTTTTGAAGAATGCCACTTACAAATGCCCGACTTCGAAGATTGCCTAAAGAATGGTATGAATCAACTAAACCCCTATTTTCGCGAAGGTACTTGTGTGGTACACCAAATTGAATAAATTCTTCGATAGATTAAATTTTTTGTTTTAGGTCTTCCCGATTATGGCATAGAGCCGTTTGATCCATTTTTCGCAGAGGAAGTTCCATTCAAAAGCCGAATGCCTTTGTTTAACTTCAACCTGATACTCAGGAACGTAACAGAAAGTGGCTGGACGTTATCGCATGTCTCAAGTGTCAAGTAATTTATCATTTTTTTCAATTAAGCGCGTATTTGCACAAGTCATCATTGATTTTTCCGTTCATTTCTACACAACCTTGTCAGCATTCATGATATGTTTAATGGATAAAAATCGTAAACCAAATCATTAAAAGTGCATTAAACAAAACGAAAGTTAATGTTTCCTTTTTCAGTATCTTTTTCCTGGTTTCAGAATGAACCACAACAAAAACGAAGTGGCGATTACCCAGTCGTTTCCTGATAAGCGCCTGAAAGGTTGGTTCGAATTCGATGGAAACATACTCGGAGCAAAGGTAAAAACGCAAGGTCCTTGGAACTTGTCGCTGTTCGACTACACCCAGACCTTGACGGTGTCGCGAAAACCGGCCGGTCCATCAGCGCCTTTGTCCCATCACCCCATTAAAGTCAAATGCAATTTGCATACCTGCAAAAATCTCGAATTGCACGTTGGCAATTTGGCCGGTGGACGATCTTTTCTCGGTAAGTGGATTCAATTCAAGGTCGTAAAAGAGGTTTAATTATAAGTTAATTGTTTTTGTTTCAGAAAATATGTTAGACCGCGTGATCAACGCAGCGTGGCAACCGGGTTTCGTCATTTTGAGCCCCATAATCAACGAGCTCGTCGGCACAGCTTTCACTGACATTTTCAACAGGAATTTTCAAACGTTTCCGTTTTCTGCGGTTTTTCCCAATTAACTGAAAAGATTTCGATTTTGTTGTCCGTTCTAATAATGTGCCACTCAGTTTATAATTGATAGTAATTGAAAAAGAATCCTTTTATAAAAGAATTTTGATAATGTTAGTTTAGAGGAATTTTTAGTATATTCTTAAATGTTTAAGTAATGTGATACAAGTATCTCGTTAGAGATTGCTCAAAATAATGCTGAATAGTTTTTATTGGTAAAATTGTACTACTTAATAAATATTTTTTGTAATAGTATTTTATATAATGACAAAAATGTGATAAGTGATAACTATCGATTTCTGCAACGTCTGAACTGAAAGTGTCTTTGAAAATTTATTAATACTTCGAACTTCAGCCTTTATTAGCACCACCAGTAAATACCTTGACCTAGACAATGTTGATCAAAATCAATAGAAACCCACGTACATTTCCCCTTTTTTTAATCATTTTTATTAATAACAAAAATCAACCAAGGAGCTTCCCCGGATATTAAAAAGGACTAAATAATTTTTTAAAATAACGAAAAATCGATTCCTGCCTACTAAATGTAAAAAACAGAATTATTTTATATTTAAATAGTTTGTACCACATAATATTCAAAAAAAGCATTAAAATAGGTGATAATCATATAGGGTGAATATGCAATCAGCACCTAAAACATCATTTTATTGATTTATTAATCACTCTCATAAATTCCAGAGCTTTTGCCATCTTCTGGAAAATTTGCTTATTGAATGCATTTGTTGATGTCGCTTTTTTAACTCACCCTGTATACTTACCGTCTACGTGTTGAATGAAAATACCGCAAGACAAGAAACGATTTAAAATTTAAAGAATCAAACTTCGATTTTCCCCCAACTAATGATGCAATACATTAACTTAATGTTTAAAATACTCGGTTTGCGTGCCAACATTCGGATCAAAATAAAACACGCAAGTGGTTATTCGAATTGTCGTTTTCTTTGATTTTTCGTGATTTAAGTTCGGTTTCCAAACATAATAGCCGTGGAATATTTTTATTACAATGTAAACCAGACTGAAAAAAAAGACAATTCTTTTGTGAGAGCTTTGGAATATTATAATTGCCTATAGTTTGAAATATTGTAAGGTAATAAGGCAATTATTGTGTGCTATGCTGGGGGTTCGTTTTTTTCGGGATTATATTTCTGCTTTGATAATTATAAGGTAAGCATAGAGGTTTATCTTATCTAGCAAAATTAATCAAGCTTCAATTCAAATCAAAACCAATTTGGAAAAATATTTTGTACCAGTTCGAGTAGTATAACTAGAACCGCTGAACTTCGCGCATTAGACCTTGGTATCTCCAGCTAGTTCGATCAATCTGTGGATAACTTTAATGTCCTAACAAAACTTTCTGTATGTTATAAATGAAGCGTGGTTCACTGAGTTTTATGAACAATCAGGCTGATCGCGATGCGCAAAAGTTTCGTAAACCCGCCCTTGGGAAAGTTTCTGAAAAAAGTCAGCCGGCGTGCGATCGCGATAAATAAACAACAACTTGAAAACACGAAAAATGCTCCGAATACTCCAATAAGTCATTTTCCGCGGACATGCCAGTCGGGCGGTAGTTTGGCGGTTTATCGGCGGTTTTCCTCCTCTAATCAGTTTGCTTCGGATTGTTCGCTCTGCATGCCCTTCCTGCACGTGAGTTATACCGCTCGTCTGCGATCGGTCTGATCTGCAATTAAAATTCGGAGAAAGTAAGTACTGCTTCACTTTTACTCTTCGAATCGGTCACAATATTTTTTTAATTAGGTCCTTTAAACCGTGAAAATACCCGCTTTTGTAACAAAAAATTACAAGTCGGGTATTAGTATTGTTTTATTAGACAACGATCGTTTTTAGCGCTTTCAGATTGTCTTCGATTAAAAAATCAATTAACAATGAATCGCACTGTAAAATAAGATTTCTCTTTAAATTGCTTTAATGAAAGGTTAACTGCTGCAATCAAAATATAAGCGATTGCACTCGACCAAGGTTATGAAGTTCCTTAATTAAACGATTTCACTAAATTAAAAAGACTGCAATAAGTTTGCAGCGGTGAAACAAAAAATTAAATATGCGAACGTTCTTGTACAAAATAAAAATAATAAATCAAGAGCCAAGCGATTTTTAATTTAATTAATTATGCTGCTTTTAAGATGCGAGTTTTATTTATTGAGTGTACACACAACATTAACGATTAAATTAATTCTCTGAATTATCTTGCACATGCACAAAATAATTAGCTGATATTGGTTAGTTTGATTATGAAATGACATTTAGCAATAAGAAAATATATACATGTATGAACATAAAGAACTCATTGGAGTTTTTTGAGCCATGTTATTTCTCTATTATTTAGCAAATTGAGTTTTGAAAATGGGAGACCAAAGGAAAAGACAAAGAACCGAATCTATGATCAAGCTTTCCAATCAATTGAAGGAATCGAAATTATGGTTCGAAGAAGCCAATAGCCACATAAAATCTGGAAATCTGGCTAAGGCTGTACAATCTTATAACAAGGTAATTTTTTATTCTCATCTTATCTTAAGTTTTCGTATCTTATGTGACATATCCTAAATGTGAAATAATTTTTGGTTCATTATAATTACATACAGGTTGCTCCATTTTTGATTGCAATATAGATTACATAGACCATGGGTGCGATAAAGACAACTTCCATTAGACACTTACAAAGGAAAAAGAAAGAGTGACATTGTGTCATTACAACTTTTCACTCTGACAACTGTTATTTTATTAATCTTTCTTTGTTCCACTCCTAGAAATGACCATATTGCAATCGGAAATGGAGCAAGGTGTAGGTATAAGAAGATTTGCAAAGTACAAAAAGTACTCTTTGTACAGTGTGTATAAAAGTTAGAGAAGTAAGTAGTTATTATTAATTAAACAGTAATAGAAAGATCTGTATAATTTTAAATCTGATCCATTAAAAATTTTGATTGAAAATCGAAACTCTATTCGATACATTTTAAAATTCAATTAAATGCCCCTCTCATTGATATTACCATTCGTATTAAAACAATTTTATTCTTCGACACTTTGTGTACATGTCTATAGTACTAATTAGTAACTAATTAGCTACAAAATAAATGCTAAGGTAATTTATAAAAAACCGGTATAACCCGGTGTCTATCTGCGGCAACTAAAAGAAGCAACAGACCCAATTTAGATGGCGTTATACTTTCCACCCATTGATCACACCTTTTGAGTAACCATAGAAACCCCTAAGGTGTTACTTTCGCAGTACACCATACATTAATGTCGTGCTAAAATATCCACCAATTTGGCTAAAATCGCATTTGCCACGTACACAAATACGTTGTACATGTAATTAAGTAATAAATCTGCGGGTTACGTGCACGCGGCTTCATAAGTTTTTCGTATAATATAATTGCGAATAAAAACAAAAATGGATGACAACAAAAGTTTCGCCGAAAAAAGGTTGAGCATAACACGAGAGGCGGAATTACTGCAGAGCTTCGTCAGGGTTAATATTCGGGAATTTGACGATGATAATATCGAAGCAGATGATCATAATGCAGATGCTAAGAAAACCGAAGGTAATAAATTACACACGTTATTAAAATAGTAATTAATTATTTAGAAATAATGTTTTAGCTTCTATTCATATTAAGTATAATGTATCATTGTCCCAATTGTATATTTATCACGTACGTTTGTTCTAAACCTTCTTGCCAATTTGAACCCTTTAGAATTCTCTAATATCCCTTCTGGAGCAAACTATCCCGGATTTATATCGTCAGGAATTTAATTTAACATCCCTCATTCCCCTGAGGATAACCCTTCATCATCTATGATAACTGCAAGTTTGATTCATTACCGTTACACAGTATTTAGGGTTGCGTGCCCCACAACGTTTAATCGAACATCTAAATTTGCAAATCAATTTTATGAAATTAATCAAAGAGGATTGGCGTATGTGAAATTAACAATCATCCGTCTGCATGCGAGAATTCCCGCCCGGAGGGCCCAAAGGCCCGGATTTTCGTGCGGCCGTGAATATTCGCCGCAAATAGATTAGAGGCTAAGATCGCCTCAATATCCACACGCCTAAATTACCACTGTTGATTAATCTACCCTCGAAAATTAATACAAACAGTATTCAAACAAAGATTTCCTGAATTTATGCAACTCTATTTACTCTAACGCTTTTTTATCTAATCCATGCAGCATCAACTCTACTCTTTCTCAACTCGCTTTATAACCAATTATTTTCATTAAATTTCGATACAACGTGTACAGATAGCGAGGCCAAGAGCAAGCAAACGATTCCTGCTGATGCTTCCAAACGGCTGTCGAACCAGTTCATCGAGGAATCGAAGAAGCGCGGAAAGAAACGTAGAAGAAGATTGGGCATTCGCTATGAGGAATTATATTGCGATAAAGACAGGGCAGCCGCGGTTAATTTGGGCTCGAAGGATATCAAACAATCGTTGAAGATAAAGCGCAAGCAGGACCGTTCCAAGGCGCTGCAAATACCAGAAGAAGCGGAGCCCAGCACGTTCCTGGCGCTCGGGAATTACGAAATGTGCAGAGGGGACCTGCCTATCGCCATAAACTTTATTTCGAAGGTCTGGATAACGAATAGATTGTTTATTAACTAAGCTGTTTGTAGGTTAGTTATGGAGCGAATGAGTGAAAGGAATGTTTATTGATGTTATCTAACTTTGCAAATCTTCTTTATGCAATATCTACATGACATAACATGCGTTTTGCACCTCATAATTAATTATTTTAGTCGACATAATTCTCAAATTAACCCAGCTAAAAGTCGACTACTTCGCAAGAAAATATCGATCAAACTCTTTTATTTTAAGTTTGTCAACGTTAATTCATTCGACGTGCATGCATTTAAATTTATATTAGAGAAGCCGAAACATGCGAGGCACAAGTTTATTAAACCAATTCGGTTTATGGATATTGTGCATAAGGTTAATTTATTGCGGGATACACTGTAGGGCACTTAATATTTCACCAACTGATACGGCTAAAAGCCATTAACTGGTGGCGGAAGCTCCCAGCGGGATAAAAAAAGTATTGGACAAAAATGCGAGATCGGAGGGGCGATAACAGTGATTGGAAATCCGCGGGTTTTAAGGAAATTAACGGGTTTTTTCGTACCTAATTATAGATTAAACACGAAATTTCGTTATTGTGGAAATATATCTACGTACCTATAATATTGTTTATACACTGTCTATCAAGACCTTTGGGTATTAACTAATCGATTATTCCAGGCGCTAGATCTGAATCCTAACGAAAAGAACGCTTTGGTTGCCAGGAGCAAATGCTACATTCTCTTAGGTCAGCCCAAAAATGCTCTGGCAGACGCCGAATTTGCTTTACAAATAGACAAAAATTTCATCAAAGCTATTTACCAAAAAGCAGAAGCGCTCTATTACTTGGGAAATTTCGAGCTCAGCCTGATGTACTATCACAGAGGACTGCACGTTCGACCGGACCACGAAGGTTTTAAACTAGGCGTTCAGAAGGCTCAGAAAGCTATAGAAAATGCCATAGGCAGTCCTGATACATTCAAAGAAATAACGAAAACTCTAAAGAACAAGCCTTTAGCAACAACAGAGGAAAACAGAAACGAAAGTAAGTACATTGAAGTATCTTCGTGAAGAATTTTTGATGACTGTGTGTAAATTTCAGGTCGATCTTCCAAAGAAAGTAATAAAAGCGCCACAACTTCAAAGTCTGGAAGAAAGAGCAGACTTCTACGCGAACTGGAGGTGGACAAAGCTTATCTGGATAACCTCATGAACAATCCAGATATTAAGTGCAAGTTCAAGGAAAACAACGAGTCGATTGAAAAATGCATCAAGGATACGGTAGATTATTTAAAGGAGCGGCAGGAATTTTGGCGGCAGCAATTACCACCTAAATACAAATAAGAAAAAATTGAGAAAAATGAAATAGTTTTGCAGTATTTATTATTTTCAAATGGTTATTGAAGTTATAGTAATAATGTAGTACCTACCTATGCACATTTTTGTTGAACTTTTCCTGTAGAACATTCCTTCTGTTGAACAGGAAATTGTAGGTATACTGATTATTTAATTTAATATTGTAATTATTATGATTGTTATTAAACATAGTAGCTTGATGATTCACTTTTTAGTACCATTTTTAACCAATTTTCAGAGCATAAAACTACTTAGATTAACAACATACAAAACAAGGTTTTCCCATTCATTGTCAATCTTCTGAAGAGATAGGTAAATGGAAATTTTTTCGAGTCGAATTTCCACATCGATTAGTCTTGCTGAAAGCATTACTTTATTGCTAAACAGCAATAAACATTACGCACATACGAGTACGTTCAGGGGCAATGTTCCAAATGGTATAGTGTTCTTTTTTTTATTCGTATTGCACTCATGCTAATTATCTGCAGTATGAATGGTACACGAGCACCGCAGAGTTTGCTCAAGATTTTAACAAGAGAAAGCGAAATAACCAGAGACGACTGTCGCATTTATTAAGCATACATCAAATAGGCAACGTAATAACAGAAATTTAAATAGCAAATATTATAGTGGGTTTTTGGTGGGTTATTATTTGAAGTTTGGTGAAATATGTGGAGTATTTATGTACTATTGGCGTTATGGATTAGCGCTGGTGAAATTTATGGATCGGATATTCGTAAGTTTTATTTTTGTATTAGTATTATTAAATATATTAGCTATACTAACTCATTTAAAAGAAAATTATAAAATTAAGATAATGACTAAATTAGTAGGAATTAGTTTCAAAATTTTGTAATATTAGGTATTAAATTTTTTACTACGCTTTTGCGGTTCATATCAGATAAATTGATCTTTATGCGTTTCTACGCAAAATAATTATTAACTGTTGGACGTTTGTCCATGTAACAAAAAAAGGCCATTGATTTATTTTCAAATTGATTAAATTTATGGTGTTAGTTTAGAGAAAATCGTACTAACCATGAAAGCGATAAATCGAGAAAAAAGAGGTTTTCTTTTTTCAGTAAAATTATACCTCGAAACAACAAAAAATTGCGTTTACTGTTATTTAATATCAGATACAGGTACTTTCAATTTCACTTTTCTTCAAGAGGGGAATTAACTCATCGTCAGTGAAAGTCATAATTTTTTTGTTCTTTCGCTGTGCCAAAACGGTTCTTATTATAGCTAATTTGCTTAACAAGATAAAAATGCATTTTTTTCTATATTACATAATTTGTCGTTTTATTTATTGGCAACTTTTGGTAGAGAAAAATAGCGATTATGCGCATTTAAAAAACATATTATCCATGACAATGGTATTTGGCAGGAATATAAATTTTTAAAAAAATCATTAAAATATTTTTACGACCATTTTTTTATGTTTTAGACAATTTATTATAGTTTGTACGACTTGTTCATTTATCTTTATTATCTACATATACATATTAAAATTTTAAATATATTCTTACTATAAATTAATACTTAAAAAAAGAGCCAGTGCAAACCTGAATATGAACAATTAATTATTAATAAAATTAAATGAGTATGAAATTACGTTTCATAACAATATTTCTTATACCTAATCATGATTAAAATACTAATTTTTACGGTTTGTATATTTATAACTAGAATAGAATTTGTTGTAATTATTACTTAACAAGCATTAAAATTATGCGCTATTATATTAATTACAATATCTAATTGTTTTTCTTTCAAAGAATATGGAGGTCAATGCTAAAAAAAACATTTCAATGAGACAGATGGTGACCGCAATGTTTGATATATGTGGTCAATTTCATGAAAATATGCCATTTTAAAAATGATCTTCTCTTAGCATTCGATTTGCAGCACCGTACATTAAGCAATGCCAGGAAGGAGATCCAGAAGTTATAAAATGTTTCATACAAGCTATCCATCACTTGAGGCCCTACCTAGAAAAAGGCATCAAGGAAATAGAATTACCTTCAGTGGAGCCCTTCAAAATGGACGAATTAACTTTATCATTCACTACAGGTCCCAACGGATACAAAGTTTCCCTAAAAAACATCGACGTATTCGGAGCCAGTAGATTCCGAGTAGAAACCTTAAGGTAAAAAGATGTATAGTACCTATGGTAAATTATTTAAAATATAATTGTAATTATCTTCAGATTAGCCACGGAAAAGCGTCCTTTCGAAGCGAAAATTCGAATCCCACAATTAACAATCGATTCTACATATGAAAGTAGTGGAGTTTTAATTATTTTGCCCGCTAGTGGAAACGGAACGTTTAATGGCAGATTAGGTAATTCACTGGTGTTTGAATAAAGTAGCGACTTAATAATCTATTAGGTATACAAGTAAAATAAAACGTCTTCTTACTCTCATATTAGATTATAGGAAGTCCAAGATTACATTCAGAACACGTAGGAAGAAGTTTAATATTAAAACATTCTTATATTATTTTTTAGAGGATATTTTAGCGACAGTCAGGGGAACAACGAGCGTTATGACAATAGAAAATTCGAAATATCTTCACGTAGATTCCCTGAAAGTCGACCTGGATGTTAAAGACCTTGGATTAGAAGTTAAAAACATCTACAGAAATAACTTGATATTAAGTAAGTACACGCTACCGCCGTTATTGTGGGTGGTTTAATTTTATTTCGTCCTTCAGCGCAAGCCATAAACTTGTTCCTTCGGCAAAACGGTAAAGAAGTTTTCAACGTCATGCTGCCGCAACTGAAGACGAAGTTATCGAAATTATTCATGGATATAGCCAATTCGCTGCTCTCGCACGTTCCCATTGCTACGTTTTACGTGCCCAAACTAGCGCAGTCTGTATCTTAGGAAAGGGCTAATTCGATTTTATTTATTAGCTATAGCTGTGAATGTTTCCGAGTTAACTATTTTGTATATGTTATTCATAAGTCCGGTTAAGGTAAACTGTTTAATGTAGTTTAATAGATACTTCGAATGGTAACTGGACCTAAATTTTGTGATGAAAAGTTTGTTCGATTTGGTAGTTTTAAAATTAATTTGAGAAAGTCATTATTTCCAATTCAGTGATATTCCGTTGTAAGTGAAGTGAATACTTTCGTCGTTTGGTAGAGATAATAAAGAGCGATGAATATAAACTGAATTGAAAGAAACGAAACTGATTAATTTCCGGCAAAAGCGCAGGTCAACTACCTTTGTCACATTGTGTAAAAATTTAATAGTGTCAGCGAAGAAACCGTACGGGTATACTTTGCGTACGATGCTTTCATTAACTTGCAAAGAACAAGAATCCACAATTATGAAGAACACAATATAGAAGATTTTGGAAAAAGCAACTTGAATATAGCACACCGGATTTGTAGCAGAAGTTTAATCGTAAAACAATGTTTTTTTTTTAATTTTGCACATTTTTAAAATTAGTAGGAGTATCCTTTAGGAAAATATTGTATATACATGACTCCCTAAAGAATATTGTTTTTGAGATAGATTGTGTGGCAAAATACTCCACATATTACCACCAAGCTCCAGTTCTTCTTATTTCACCATTTTACTCCACTTCCCTACACCCTCTTTTTATTTCAATTTTTAGCTCAATCACCACATGAGTTCCTGAATTAGCAATTTTACTAATTATAATTACTAAATGAAACTAACGTATACCGGACATTTCTCGCCAGCCATTTATTCTACCATCAACGACTTCGTAATTAACATCAAGAATTATGATTCACCTATAACTGTATCCAAAACGGCCGTAACCGAACCAACGTTACGTTAAGCGGTGACGTAAACGAAACATCCCTGCTTCCTCGGAACGAACGGTCTTCAACTTCGATCCACTTAAATCCCCTCTTCGACCTTTCCTCCTGAAGAGCGACGGTCACGGTCAACACCGCCAAAGGAGGTCAGTCTTCGACGACCAGCAGCTTCTTCTATCCGAAAGAAAAAAATTTCGACGAGCGGCATGAATTTTTGGTTGCTGTGCGGTGCATTTATCGCTTTGTTCGTTTGTTCGGTGGCGCAAAATTGTAAGTAGACGATTTCACTTCGAGGGATTCGTTTTTAGGGTGCAAATCTCCCTTTGAGAGAAATGCTTAGTAATTTGAATGATAAGGATTTCAGTTGCAGTTTTTTTGAATAATAATAAATATTACCAAATTAAAGTTGAAGTCGATAAACATGCAAGTCTCAATTTGGTGAAATTACTTGTCGAATTTCTCTTTTCTGTTGGTCGTGGAATAATTTTTAATAGCACTGAAGGATTATTTCAAATAAAATATCTTTACAAGAATAATCTAAAAAAATTCTTGCCATTATAAGTTTTGATACAAAAGGATAATTCTAATAAACAGATCACTCCATATAACCAGTATTCATGTACCATTCTACCATTACTATACTTTATCTTTTTTGATTTGCATGAAGTAATTATAGTTGAATTTTATTAATTTCTTTACAAGATGTGAAAGCTAGACGACTTTAATCTTATTTTATCGAGGACATACTTTCAGCGATATTAAATGAGCTGAGAATGAAAAAACATTAAAAATGAAAGTTAGCAGTACAATTAAAGTATTATTAATATTTATTGCTTATACTGCAGGCTGATAAAATATGAGAAGGGATTACTTATCGCTTCCGGCAATTAATCACAACTCCTATTCATTTTCATCTTTTTCCAGTTTATTTCATAAAGTCATGTTACAAAGATGATGAAAACGTCAATGCCTGCATCAGGCAATCAACGAATTTCCTCATTGCGAATATTAGGAGAGGGATTCCGGAATTGGACATTTACGATCCCGAACCAATCGTCATTGACCAAATACAGCTAGCCCTTGGCACGGGCCCAGATGGATATAGAGCTACATTTAGAGATATAGAGGCCTATGGTGTTAGCAATATTACCGTTACAGCAGTTAGGTAAGAGTACTAAGACGTCTCTAAAACGTATAATAGTGTGAAAATAAAATGTTCATTACAGATCAGATATAAGTACCAATCAGTACCAATTTACAATGTATATACCAAAGATCACAGCCAAAGCGAGATATGAATCTAGTGGAGTTCTGATATTAGTACAAGCATCAGGAGGAGGAAACTATTGGGGAGAATATGGTAGGTAGCAAAATTAATACAAATTTACTGAATTCCACATTAAATATAGTTCTTGTATAGTTTTGTGAGGCAGAATAACTATTCCTTTTTGTAGAGGGTGTGAAAATTAAAGCGTACTTAAGAGGCGCGCCCAAAGAAATAAACGGAAGGCAATACTTAACTGTACAGCAGATGAAAATGGACTTCAGCGTGAAAGATATTAAAATGGGTGTAGACGGCATTCATAACGGAAATACTGTCTTGCGTACGTAAAAATTTATTACAATACGAAGTTATTTGTTAACTAGTATTAATCCCCACTCAAAATTGGTGGGTATGCAAATTTTATTCAAAAAGTATGTATTGATTCTTTCAGAGGCCGCTTTGAACTTGTTCATCAATTCCAATTCCCAAGAACTGCTGAAGGAAATGAAACCGCACCTGAAGAAGAAACTTCTTGTACTTATGAGAAACTTCGCTGATAAAATATTTTCTACAGTACCCTACGATTCGTTCTTAGTTTAATACAGATGCACTAAATTTATGCTCTGTTTTCTAAGCACCTCTCTAGTGCTCTAAAAAATAGAGTTTAGTTAGATATTTAAGTATTGTGATTATTTATAAATTAGTTATTTATAGAATATAGCTAATTTTTTTGCAACTTTAAATTAACTGACATTGTTTTTAATGTTGAATATAATATTAAAATGTACAAATTCTCTTTCATCGATTGTAAAATCCCTAACCTTTTAACTAATTAAAATATACAAATTTTTACATACGCTTCAAATTTTAGAATTTATCATAAAATCTCGGAGTTTAAAATAAAATAACCTGTAGATTGATGTAGAAGAAATGTATTCAGCAATTATTCACCAATTAATTAACTTTAGTGGAACATGCAAATATGCCGCTTTAAACAGCATTGATATACAAAATAAATACGTTTAATTTGTTTCGCTAGCAAATCGGATCAATTCCACTTTTGTATCGCATATTGCAAGAATAAAATATGTAATTACGGCGTCTATTTCAGAAATTACCGTGCATTAGGGAGTAATTGCATGTGATTGTTGCTTTGAGAGGAAGCTACTAATGTGTAGATTTAAAAAATTGATTGGAAAAGCTTGTTCGTATAATTATTTTTAATATCAGGTACCCATACGTCATCTACTTAGTTGAAGGCGACAAAAATTTTACCTGCATCGAAATAGTAATGGAAATATCGATGGAAACAATTTAATCTGTCCTAAGTCCAGCAGAACGTATTATTTTTGAGGGATTGCGACATTTGGAAAACGACCGTAAACAAACATTTCTAGAAGAGCTGGTTTATTTTATAATTGCTACTCGCAACTAACAATTTTCCTTGCAAATGATACGTTCTCCTCTAATCTGTCCGATTTGGTTTTCCGGATATCATTTTCGGGATTATTTAAGCATGGTAAATGGCGAATTTTCCGCTATTTTATTTCGACATCGGCGCCGTTGATACGCGAAAATGATAAAACGATTTTTACTCGCGACGATTTATTGCGCTTACTTAGCATCATCAGACGATCTCCGTAAGTATTCCATCGAAATATTCGATTTTCGGTTAAATTTTCCCTCGAATTTTCAGCCTCTTTCATCCATGTGTGCCACAGGGAGGATCCGAATCTAGTGCAATGCTTAATGGCGTCCGTCGAGGACATTCGTCCTTTCCTCGTGGACGGTAATGACACATACAAATCCTTAATTTAATAAACTAAAATTGAATTTTACACGCAGGTGTTCCCGAGCATAAAATTCCCAGCTTGGAGCCGCTGATCATGAAGGACTTTTTTTCTGAGCAAGCAGCAGGAATGAGAATCACCGTGTCCAATGTCAGTGCTTGGGGTTGTACTGATTATTTTGTACGTGGCATGGAGTAAGTATAAACCATTGTATATATTGGACCTCGTGATTATTCTTTTCCTCATTTTCTCAACAATTATAATGTATAATACAGTAGTTAAGGCTGTGCCGGTTCTGGACCATGCTAGATCCATCAAAAGTGGTCTAGAACCGGCATAGCTCTAACTACTTTAACTCTACAGATCAAATTAACATAAAAACTATTTATTTTAGCGTTAACTTGGAGACTAATTTTTTTACGCTATACATAGACCTCCCGAGGCTTCGAATTGAAGCTCATTACGGTGTGGACGGTAAACTCTTAATGTTGCCCGTCAAAGGAGACGGAAATCTTGAAGCCAATATAAGTAAGTATATTTTTCCGATTTCCTACAATCACACGGCCTTTTATCACTTTAATTAATTTCCAGCTGATGCGCATGCAAGGGCGGGACTTAAGGGCGAAGTGAACGAGAAAAACGGAAACAAATATCTAACTTTCAAGGAATTCGATCTCCACGTAGATGTAGGAGGAGGTAACGTTCGATTGGAAAATCTGTTTAACGGCGATAAAGTATTGCGTAAGTATTGCAAGCTAAGAATAGCACGGTACGTATTGCAATGATAAAATTAACCGATGTTCCAGTGGGGATGATTAACGACGTGGTTAACAAAAACTTTGACATGTTTTTGAGGGAACTGATGCCCATCATCGAGAAATCCTTGTCCGCTGTATTCAAGGAGGCGGCCAATGCTATTGTCGAATCTTATACTTACGATCAACTCTTTCCTCAGTAATTGAAATAGTTAATAAAAACTATGCCTATATATACTTCGATAAATGTTTTAAAATAAAAATAAAGTGTTAACCTAATTAATAATATTTGGTGATCGCAATTGTGTAACGATAATTTTGTAAAAGTTAATGTATACGTTATTATTTTAACAATTATTATATTTTGTAGAGTAACCAATTAAGTTATTTTTCTAATATACAATTCAATTTTCCACAGTTTGTAGAAGCAGAATTGAAGAACACGTTTATAGGGTTTCATAAGGATCTCAAAATCTATTAAATTTATATCTGATTAATCAACAAAAAATCATATTAGACCCATAACGGAACACCAGAATCTCAGAGAGATGAAGAGAAAATGTTTAGCAACAAAAAAAGAATAAGAATAAGAGTCTCGATCAATAAAACAATCCGTATAAAACTAATCTATTAAAGCAATCGAAAGGTAACGTTATCAATCACCGGCAAACGTAAATCAATTGGTCCCTTTCGCAGTGCTGGCACTCCACCTGGTAAGCGCTCTCGTTGCGCCATCTACATCTGCAGGTCTCTTTCACCGTTTCCACGGAGGTGTCGAATCCCCGGCCGCAGCAGAGCGTGTCGCAGTTAACTGCATCCTTGCACCGACGCTTGGCGGTGAGGGGACAGAAGTTCGGGCTGCTCTCCAAGTACACCAGGTTCTTCTTGATTCCTTTCGTGCGGAGGTTGTAGTTGTTGCCGGATTCTACCTTGATGGCGTTGTGGTATTGGTTCTTTAATTCCTCCACGATGGTTTTGAAGGGGCGGACTTTTTTGAAGCAGATTTTGTAAGTGCAGGAGCCTGGGGAAAGGGGATTAATTTCGATGTTGTATAGGTGTTTAATATTATTGAAGTATCGAAAACTCAAATTTACCTGATAAGCCGTGACACTTGCACATTTTTTCTTCACTTTTCATCACAGTTCTTATTCCAATTTCACTATTATGTCTGTAAATTCCTTGATTTGTATCACCTAAAAAGAAGTGTAAATAATGAATAGCTGAATAAAACAATTTCAGCTTTTTGGAAAATTCAATTTTGAAGTTTTACCTTTCCTTCTGAGTTGGAAAAATCTGTAGGTATAATTTTTCGCGAATTTGACGTTGTCCCCGCACCCTCCCCATTGCCAATTCGACGAGTTATCAGACTTTCCATGACTAGCACATTTACAATTTTCCAGTTTTCCAGCAGCGCACGCTTTGGCCACCAAATACATAAAAGCCGACGTCGATAGCGAGTACATTAGGGCGGTTTCCCTGTAAATTTTTTTGAAAAATTTCCTCTCAATCTTACACGGCCACTGCTCATATCTATAAATTTAACATAAAAGTTTCTTAATTATCTTATACACTATTTTACAAGAATTAATACAAATTTTAGGGTGGTTCTGTACACTCAATCTTTTATCTTACAGTTGTTTAATGCCTTGTGAATGAGAAATATGCACCACGCCTACTAAATATCTTATTGGTTGTAAAAGTATTTATCACCACCCAATAGGTTAAAAAACAAACTTATATGTAATTCAAAATATTGATAATTTTAGAGAATAACTTTTTCAAAATTTAGAATTTTGTGTAAACTCTAACAAAACCTTAGTGAGTATAAGTATAAGACATTTCTTTATTTTGTTATAACCTGTCAAATTATATCACCTGAAATGAAGCGAGCAAGATTGAATGGTTAATTTTTTATACTCATTCAATAACTGCGCTAATCCTTTTCTTTTTAAGCACAATCCTTTCTGGTGTTTGAATCCTCTCAACCATCTACAGAGTCCTTTAACGTTCGTCGTTGCGTTAGATTGGGGCATTTTTTTCGTGTACACGGCTGAAATAAATGATTTTTTCCTGCTGTTTTGGTGAAATCTAAAAAACGAAATAACCCTGCAGGACGGTTTTTCTAATGTGATAAAGGATTTTTATTTCAATTTTTCCATGATTTTTCCACAATCATTAAAATATCAAAATTTGCCGAAATATTTAAAGAAATTTAAAATAAAAATACTCCACTTTTTCTCTGTGAATTTTTGAACATATACTGTTGTGAAATTATTCCTATAATACATAGGTACATGAATATAGATCTTAGTAATAAACTTTAAATTTAGAAGACCGCTCCTTATAGGTATTTTTTCTAATTAACCATTAAGCAAAAACCCCACCTAAAAGCGAGTAAACGCGACTTACTTGTTAGGGGTGCCACTATCACTATGTATTATAGAACAGTAAACCAATATTATCACTACAAGGCATATCAGATATTTGCTCGTCGAAAATTTCATCGTTGGAACTACATGGCGAACCTGGCATGACTGAAAGTAACTATGCCGAAGTCTCGATTACTCAAAACAAATACTCGGGTTTACTTATGGGACATAGAGGTGTGCATATCCGGAGAAGGCTTTTATCTCGATCCAATCGCATCGAACATTAGGTCGATTCTGTTTGGATCTTCTTATGAATCTTGCTATGATAACCATTTTGTTATATGTTTAAGTTATAACAATATTGCCAAAAATTTTCTTATTCTGTTTCGATTAGTTTATTAGCAATGTTAATGTTGATTATATTTTTAACGCTTAACCATATTGCTAAAAACCTGCTGTCATTAGTGAAAAATAGAGCTGACAATACTGTAATTATCTCAATATAACCGAAATAAGATGAATCCTCCCCAAAATTTAGTATTTTACTATTATATACAATTGACGCCTTTGACGGCAGCTTTTCATGTGTTTCTGCGGTTGAAGCGGAGGCGAGGTTTTTACAAAATGATGAAAGTACAAACAAAGAAAACAAGCAAGGAACAAATGGAAGTAATAGTTAAAAAATATTTAAAAACCCTAAAAAAATATGAGTAATTATTTTTATCATACATTTCTGAACTAGGGCAACTTGTAGATGAAAAGGTGTTGTATCTCTTCGGAATGGTTTTTCTAGAACTTCTGACAACTGTTGAATTAAATTTAAAGCTGTAGCCTTATTTAGGTTTTATACATTTTTCATTTAGACATTGTTCAAATAGCCAGATTTATAACAAGATATCTTTGCTAGTAACAGATCATATTGTTTAAATTACACGAACAGAATAGGTTATTTCTTAGAACATTGCTACAATCGACCTGATTGTCAGATTTTCCCAACGAAATTCTCCGGTTTTAATTTATAGCGACACGAATGCGATTCGCAAAAATTGAGAGCGATATTGGCCCACCCAAGACCTTTCAATTATTACCTAAAATGCGGGTCCTATAATAACCGTGACAGGTATATCGGTGTGATATTCGTCACTTAATATCGTTAATTATAGAGCTTGCCCTCTTATTACCGATCCTCCTCCTCAATTATATTTTCTCGAATCACTTGTTTCGAGAATGCTTTTAGTCGGATACTGTGCACCTTTGTTATTATGTTAGTAGCGTAAAGATTTATCGTCACGTGTTTTTTCGTGAGATCATGGGAATATGCCGCAAAATCGAAAGTCATTTCGAAAAATCGAACTAGACTAGAACTACAATAAATTAGATAAATTTACCGCGACGTTTTCTAAAAACGACGCTTCGAAATTATCCTTCCTGTGTGCACGCTTTGTTTACAAAAATCGGGTCTCTTTCGCTCTTCGTATGCGCATCAGCTGCTTCGGGAACGGCCTTAAGTAGATATACGTGTAGCAATTGATGTTTAAAGTGAATTTAAGTGTTCAAATAAACACTTGAAGGTTGCACTCATCACAAAATTCGTTAAGTGTTTTCTGAACGCTTGGGGCCCTTTTCAGGTTTTACGCTTCTTAATTCGAATGCTGAGATAATTCACGGGACGCCTACAGGAAGGAAATGGCGCAAAAAACTGGAGAGAAGAATTTCTAACGCAATCTTCAACGGGTGTTCCACAATCCTCAAGAGGTGCTTCAGGGCTTCATTTTGCTAGTTTACTGAGCTGTAATAAATTGTTATTATTTTACCATTGTTGGGTACACATTAGATTAGAGTACTAATTTGCGAAGAAGTTAACACCAAATTGTTTGCGTAAATAAAAATAGTCGATAGGAGGGTTGTTGACAATAAGAAATACCACCGATTTCGTTGGGGATTTATTCAAGGGACGTAATACCTTTTCATGGGTCGTTGTAACTCATTTACTACTATTTGTTTTAATCGGGTCGTGTTTGCAGTGGAACACCCTCGAAACTGTTTGATATTTGCGTGAGAAATGGGTTAAAGGTAAATATTTTCGCAGGTATTCTGTTTTACCCTCAGAGAAGTTGTGCACAATAGGAAACGCAGTATTATTAAATGAGGAAAGTTTCGTTAGAGCTCGAGGATTGAACCGTGGAAAACTATAATAAATTATATGATTTTGTTACTCGCTTCCGTACCTATAATTATCCTTATTTGTATCCAACAATAGGCCAATAGCCATTGTCCGTTTAGCTATCGCTGGGGAATTTCGTACCATAAAGATAAAAAATGGTTCTGCTGGAGATCAGATGCATGCGACTTCTTTATTTGTTAGGGTGCGGGTAATTATTTTATAGACTCGAACATAGCCGGGTAAAAGTATTTTCTTAATAAAAATATACCTACAAACTGAAAGTTAGTAGATATTTCTGCATGTAAGACAAGCCAAATCAAAGTAAGATGGCACTAATAAGTCACCAAATAGTATAGGTATTAAGTCGAGTGAAGTATTTGTAGGTGTAAAATGATGATAAGAGGTGAAATAGGCAGGATGTGCGCCACTGATATCGACGATCGGGTGCGAATGTCGGCCGAACAAAAAAGGAGCGGCACGGCTAATATGTTTGGCGCCGAAAAGGGCCATTCACGCTTGTGATTGAGGTGTCCCGGGTACTGCTTGGGTGGCGCCCTTCGCCGCATTTCTTAAACACCTTTATGTTAATGCTCATCGACGGGCTCATTGAAAATTATACCTCGGTTTCTTCAATGAAACCGGCGCACACTTAGCCGATTACTCGCCATCTCTTCGAGAAACTGGACTAATGAAATTTAGTGTACCATCCTGGAAGGTTTTGCTGCGGTTAATATTTGTGTTGTATACGAGTCATATAATGAATTCTAAACGTGTATAAGGTCACCGCGACGTCGGTCAGTGGCAACACCGATTTTTTTTTTTCCTTTTCGGTCGGTCCAGACCGAATCGAGTTACGACTCTATTAGCGGTTACCTGCCAGAGGTGAGAACTCGGGACTCGTGATTCAACATAGGAGGTCAGATTTCATTATTACTTCAAAGGCGGGCCGGTGTCCTAATTGTTCTTTCTTTCATAACTCCGTAAAAGCGCAAGGAATCGGCGCGCGGATCCCCCCGAATCGGCGGCTCGGATTCCGTGAGAATTTATTTCGATTCGCAGAAATGGATCCCGCTCGAACAGGTTCCTGATGTCTTCGAGATTTTCGCATCGAAACTGGCCGGTGCGCGTTTCGACTTGCATCCGAAACGCCGCTTTCCCCGCATTTTAGCGCTCCATTTCGCGTTATCGGGGCGAGTTAATTGACCGGCGGGCGCGCGTCACGCCGATCGCAGGACTTTCGCCGCGGAAAACGCGCCAATTATCAATCTTCGTTCGACTTCGACGACAATAAAGATGAAAGGATAACAATGGAGAAAACGATCGTCAAAGAATGAGCGAGCCTAATAGACAAGATAAATATAGTTGCTATCAATTACAATCGAGATAAAATCTGAAATTTTAAGTGACTTGTTGAGGAATCAATTAAGGTCGACGAGGAAGATGATGCAGGAAATCTGCAATGGAACGAAGGCGATACGAAACGGGGACGGTATCTTCGGATCTAGAGGGCCGTGTAATTCGAAACAAAAGACGTGGAATATTTGGGGTCCACTCCCACGGTACTCAATTCGGTTGTGATGTCGATTGGAGATTCTTTAAATTTTTAAATTATAGCTGCCTGAACTCGTTAAACGCTATTTAACTGCTAACACGTAATGCGACATTACAAGTGTCGGGGTAATACACACAATTTTTTCTACAGGCCTGCAGTTATGGCGACTCCTCTAGGTGGTCCTGTAGATAACTCTAATTGGGAATTTGTAAGGGAATTACCTTCTGTGTATCAACAATTTAGTGGTATACAATGCAATAAAAGTTCATTAAGGTCGAACCTTTTGTAATTTTTTTATTGCCTACTCTTTGTAAAAACTTAATAATTCGGGATGGATGGATTTCCTAGAAAGAATGGGAAAAAATTCAACCACCTTGGTCGAAGACAATAAATTGTATAAATACAATAAAGACAGCGTTTTATGATTCTATGATTGTCACGGAACCTGTTTTCAACTCAGGTGTTGACAAAAGGTATGTTTATGGGGCTCTTACCAAAGATTCGTTCGCTGATAATCTTTTTGAATGTTGCCAGGTTTGGTGGATTTTCCAGTACCTAACTTCGTTAACAACAGTTTTAAGAAAACTTCAGAAAATGACCCGAAATTATAGGAAACAAATATTGAATCAATAACTGAAGCCCCAAAATATACCTCCTATCCTATCCTTAAAATCCAAATTTTAAATTTTAATTCAAGTTTTCAAAATTTCGTCCTTAAACCGCCCTAACCGCAGTAGCGACAGTAGAACATGAAAGTGCATTCGTCACTTTCCTCCCGAAACCCCAACACAATAAATAACATTACCCAAGGCATCAATTAATCTTAAATACAAAGGTGTTAACATCTGAAATGGGTAATAATTCCCTATAGAAAAACCCCACAAATCGGTGTAGTTCCTTCAGGTCTTTTATGGGATGTTTTGTGTAAAAGTTATAGCCAACAAAAGGTGACAATATATCGCAGGCCACCCTAGAGTAAGTGCAGGAAGGCATTTTTCTTGAGCATTTTAGGAAGTACTCGGACGATTTGTAGAGCACCAACAGATGTTCTATAAAGATTTCGATGAAATAACGCAACTCTGATGCGCTAGAAATTTTTAAAACTCTACAAAACAGTTTATAAAGAAAAAGTATAAAAAATGTTCAAGGATGATGGGATGCTATGGGAAAGTGAGTAGGCGTTGTATCGGACTCATTATTCATACAACTGCTCTGCAGGCATCACTATAGAGATCTTAAAGATTGATATAATTAAGCAATGATTGGCGTTTTACTGTAATCACTGAACGAGCTTTTGTTTTTTTTATAAGGTGAAGGTTCGCCTCGGCATTTTACGACTTACTCATTGCTCAATATCGAGTTTTCGACGTTACCTACCAATACAATTTTAATACAACTTTAATAGGTAAGTACACAAACTTACCATCGATTCCGTTCGTTTAA